TTGAACTTGACTTGAAACCCCCCCACCATAGAAATGACCTTTTAGCTCTAAGAAATTTGTTGGCTTTTTAAAATGGGGCTCATGGTAGATAGGGTGGCACAGTACCCATCAGAGTTGTGCAGAATTTCCCATTTACTTTAATTTTAGTTTTTCCATGTTTATTTAAAGGTATTATGGTGAAATTTTTCCTGGAGAAACACTCAGAGCTCTGTTAATGCTGCTGATCATCTCATGGGCTCCCTCTCGTGGAGAAATAGTCTAGTCCAAAAGGAGGCGGCCCATTGGTGCACTGACGTTAAAGTGGACCATATTTCTTCCATCATCCTGGTTGTTTGCGAGGAGGATGAAAACTTTAAGATAAAGAGTTTCTTGTTCTAGGATCTCTTGGTTGTGGTTTAAAGACAAGAACCTCCCTTTAGTCTTGGCCCCTATATCTGTTACAATAGTAGAGATGGAGGCTTGTTATTCTTTTATTTTTCCCCCTGTTCTAGAGTCTTCTCAGAATGCTCAGCTAAGGTCGCAAATCAACCACATATGTGATTTCTGACCCAGGATCTTCACACATTCTAGGTCAGTTTGGTTTTTAACTAGGCTACTAAATTCAGGATGAAGTCCCAGTATAAGGATTATTACACATTTTAAATATGTAAAGTACTTAAATAGTCCCTGTTCATATAGTTAGTGTATTAGCAACCAATATACCGATTAAGAAAACCTTCTCATTACAACATAATGAAAACAATATCTACTGTTTTCTTCCCAAACTTTTTAAGTTTGGCTTCACGGAAGTGGCATTTACTCTTCCCTTTCCTCTTCTGTCCCCTTTCTTTCCTGAACAAATCCATTCCTAAGGCTGTTAGGTGGGGTAGACAGGGTGGGGCTAAGGAGAGCCTCTGTGGTCTTGAGCAGTCTGTAGGAGCCCAGGTGAGGTGAGTAGAAGGTCCATGTAGGAAGGTGGCCTGAGGTGAAAAGTCCCACCCCAGTCAGGGTGAGGAGTATGGTGGTATGGCCTGGAGTGGGGAGGCAGCCCAAGCAGGAGAGGAAACAGAATGGAGTGTCAATGGACATGGGAGAGGACAGGCCAGCCCACTTAGGAGCTGGAACATCACCCACGCAGAAATGATAAAGGGCAGTGATAAAAAGCAAGGAGAGAGGGAGAATTGGGAATGACCTTGTAGTGTGGGAAGCTGTGTCTCAGCAAATGGCAGAATGCAGGATGTGAAGGAGGAGGAAGAGGATTCTGAGGTCTTGAGCCTCTAGGACGGGGAGAAGAGCTATGCCTATAACTGAACAGGAAAATAATTGGTTTAGAATTTCAGAGACTGAGGACAATTGAAATAATGAAGTGTAAAGTTACTTTAGCATTCTGTAGTTCTCAAAGCTCATCATCTCTCTGGTGGTAAACATCACTGGATACTCAAAAAAAGGGTACTCCTCTTCAACATGGAGACTACAAATAAATGGGCTTTCCTGATTCTGCCCTGGTTTTCACCCAAGAACCCAAACTAAAAAATGAACCAACCTTCAGATCTTGCTATTTTGTTTCTATAGAGCTCCCTAGCTGAGGGAACCAGCATGGATATTCAGAGCCAGGTCCCTGACACCTGCTGGTTTAGGGAGGAACTGGTGCTGTGCCTATAAATTATCTTGCATGAAGCAAGGTGGTTGGGAGAGGCAGGTAAAATCCTAGGCTGTCATACCTTCCTGCAGGTTGGCTGCCGCCAATTGTTATTGGTAGGGATTATCTTGTACACTGGGGTGTCAGTCAAGATTGGAGATAAAAAATTAAAGATTCTAACTTGAAAATGGTTCCCATTCTCTGACCTTAGACTTACATCTACGGTCCCAGCTAGAGTTATTTCAAGTCCCAACTATAAAACAGAATAAAGGGAACAAGTGGTATTGTGATTTCCTAAAAGGCACCTGAAGCTGTTTTTAGGTCCTTCTAATACATCCCTCTGTTTACTCCCTGGAAGGGTTGACACCCAATGATCTTCAGGCCATATCCAGCCTCCCCTGTTCCTTTATGTACTGTCTGTGACTGCTTCTGGGCCACAGGACCCAAGTTGAGTAGTTTTAAGTAGATACCATATAACCTAAAAAGTTGAAAATTTTCATTACATACATTCTCTTATGAAAAGCCTGCTGACCCATTCACTAGCATGTTAACTCCATGGCCAGGGTTGGTGGCACATGCCTGTAATCCCAGCTACTCAAGTAGGAGGCAGGAAGATCACAAGTTTTGAGATCAGCCTGGGTAATTTAGCGAGACCTTCTCTCAAAATAAAATGTAAAAAGGGGCTAGGAATGTAACTAAGAGGTAGAATGCCTCTGGATTCAGTATGGGGGAAAAAAAAGAAAAAAAAAAGATAGTCAAATCATGAAGACAAAGTCTGGTCTTGTTCACTGCTTCATTACCAGTATATGGAGTTTCTGGGCGCTCTTTGCTCCTCTTCTGCTGTTTCCTCTCCCCTATCCCTTCTCTCTTACTCCTTTGCTTCTCTGGTAGCTATAGGAGGATCAGCTCAGTGGTCAGTATCATTCAAGACCAAAGAGACTACCAAGCTGTGCTGGAAACCAAGAACAACTCTGCGACTGAACAGCATGCCTGAAATGTTCTCTGGCCAGGTGCTGTCTCTGCAGAACTCTGTGAACGGAGTGTCCCCTGAAACTCACCACGACACAAGATCATGGGGTTTGATTACAATAGGCTGTGCTCCCTTGTGAAAGCTAACAGTATACAAAATCAATAGGAATACTCTAGTCTGGGCAAAGCTTGCCTCATGGAAGACCCACATTCAAGCCTTGATAAATATGGACACCTGTTCAGAAAGCTGAGCATGTGGCATGGTGAGCTATGGGGAAGACCCCAAGGAGAACACATATTTTGGGGATCCTCATACTATACCATCTCAGTAACTTATAAACCAAGTGAACCAACTACTAAATAATGAACTTCTTAATGACCTGGGATCAAATGTCAACTTCTTGGTTTCCTTGGAGTTCCACACTGGACGATGGTGGTGCAGAGTGGGCTGCCCCATGGCTCTCTCTCCTTTCCTTCCCTCTCCAGTTTTCACATGGGTTTCATGTGGCATGTGCAGACACCAGTCTGCATGATTGAGCTCAGCCTTGCTTCAGAAAGGGCTTGGAAGCAGGCTTTACACCATTTGGACAGAGAATTTCAAAGTTCTGGGGTCAGAGGTCATGTCTCCTGGTACCTGTGAACTCTGCCTGTGAGAGAAGCAGCTGGAAGAGGACCAGATTGGGTCCCGCAGGGAAGGCTGAATGACCAGTCAAGGAATCTAATTTTTCTAGGACTTTGTTTCATTATCAAGTAAAACAATGGAAACAAAACAATTATATGGATCTTAGATTTTGAATGCTGAGGTATTTTTTAGCTCCGTAAGCCTGCTTTTGTGAATCTGAATCTTCTCCTACCCATACTTTCCCAAATCTGATGATCATTTTGGACAAAATATGATAATTATCTTTTTACTTATAAATATTAGGATTAATGAACTGTTATTCTCAGGACAACTGTTGAGGCCCTAAACCACCATACTGAGGAAACTTGAGCCTCAATTGTCTGGGTTCCTGAAACAGCCGTCCTTTAAGGCTAACACTCTCTGTTACCAGGGGAAATGTTCTCCCTTTCTCCACCATCTCACAATCCTGTTGGGGCAGAACTTCCTTCATAGGGGCTGCACTGCAAGTCCCCAAGCTTTCACAGAGACTCTTTCCTCCAAGCCCCGAGCTTTGCTGCCCCTGTTTTTTCTTCCTGTCTCTTAGGAAAGCTGGAATGACAGGCACACATGAAGCTCTCTGTGAGCTCTTTACTCACACTGAAAGAAGCTTCTCCTTTGATTACAGCTATTGGAAAACTTGAGCTCCCCAAAGAAGAACTGGAAACTTCAAAAATCTGAAAGCAAGTCATATGCCTGAAACATCTTTTATGTGGTCTTGTTTTCTGAATTGACTCTCTCTATTTCTTCCCCTCCTTTTTATAAATCTTAATGAACCAAGATGGGGGGAATCTTTCAGTAGGTTAACTCATTTTCAGGGAGATTTAGGCTAACCTGCCAACTTGAATACTCCTCAAAAATAAGCACACTGGGTATGAGCACTACGAAGCCCAGCCACAGGTCCTAGAGGGAAGATTGTCTTGGTAGAGAAGTCAATTTGCTTTCCTCATCCACAGTCTTTTGAATGATTTGATTTAAAACTATCATTTTCTAGCTCCTGGTGAGCTTTTATGTGCCCCATGACCCATTCCCTCTGATACCACTGCATAGGACACACTTGTCTGCATGGTGGGTGTGGCGTGGTGTTGTATGAGGCCTTGACTTCTAAGTTTACAAAGACATGTCAGATTTCATCCAGCCACTGAGCCACTCCTACCTATCCATGCTCTTTTGTTTCCTGTCCTAATTATACCTGTGAGGTAGGCATTCAAATGTGCCGGGCAAACAGATGTGAAATGTGGGTTCAGATAATACCCACTGACAATGGACAGTGTTTACATGCATCACCAGATGGATGTCTTCTTCAAACCCTATAAAGATTTGACATGCAACATGGACACTAGTCCATTCACTTCTACCTATGTTGCGGAAAGTGCTCCTGTGGCAATAACTCTCATGGAGGTTTATGGCACTATATGGAGCTGCACACTCCCACAGAAAATATCTGAAACCATTCTAGATGGTGCACACCAGGGAGGTCAGTGAATAGGATGATTTGTGATTAGACTGCATTTTATTTCTCCTTGAAAATTAAACTTAACTCACCATCCACACACCACACATACACAGAAGCAGATTCACTTGAAATAAGAGTGATATTGAAGCTAAAGGTATGGCAGGCTGGACTGGGATTCTACTCCCATGGTCTGGATGGAAAGGTTATTCTATTGTTTGGTGGGGTCAGTTTCACCCTCAGGTGTTGCAGGTGAGCTATCCCTCTGGTTTCCTTCTGAAAGAGCCTCCTCCTGAGTTCACTGTGCTCCTTGTATGTTTGTTTGCTGCTGTAGTGGATCAGTTTCTTTTGGATGACCACATGGGCAAAGGCTCCTGCAGTCCCGCGTTCCTTTCAGCCGTAGGGAAGAGCAGTGCTGAAGGATATCAGGCCTGTGGAAGGAGGTTAGATAGACTCTTATCATCGAAGTTTTCTGAAGAGCTGGAGTAGCTGCTTTTAGACATTACAAGTTCTTTGAAGGAAGCCCAGCTAAGGGAACTGTGGTTCTGTCAGATCACTGAGGCTATGGGCCATGTTTGTTTCTTCTTCTGTGAAGTGATTGTTCAGGGTTCCCAGCTCTTAAGAGTCAGGGTGTCCATGTTCCTTATGCACACGCACACCCTGGAGTGCATGCAGGTTGCTATCTTAGAGGGAAGCCACATCCTCCGTGCTACCTCCAAAGGATGCTATGGTGTCTTTTGATTTTCTTTTTAGCCCAAGGAAGTAACCATGCCCTTACTGTCTTAAAAGCCAAGAAATCATAAGGCAGGTCAGGCTCAAGTCCAGAATTCCTTTGTCCACTTCCTACAGAGGTGGCTCCTAGGAAACATGAACATTAAATTTGGGGGATGGAGCATAGAGTGGGATTTGAGTTGGGGTTCAGGATATCAGGCTCCAGATCAAACTCAGGAACCAAGTCCATGCCCCTGGGGAAGAGGAGACAAAGTGACCTTTCTAACTGGAGATATTCTGTTTCTATTCATAAATTGTAGGTGGAATTCCTGAACCAATCCCTGCTACAGGTGTGGGAGAGTGTGGGAAGAGGGGCTAGAGGCAGGCCTTCCCAGTCCATTCAAAATGTGGTTTATTCAGTTTTCTGGATTAAAATCACCCATTCTCTTAAGGCAATGGCTACTGTTATTGTATTCAAGGTTCAGCATATGCTTTGAGGTGGTGCAATGAGGCATCAGGTACTTCTAAACAATGAAATTAGTTTCATAAGGAAACAAATGGATAAGATTGAAAGTGAGGCAGGGAAATTGCAACAGTGTGTGAAAATAAGGATCAGAAATTGATCTGAGTTGTTCCTGACTTTAAAAAGCACAGATGACCACATACTTAAAACCCATTTAGGATGTTTTTAAGTTGTCTGATCATCTGTCGCCTACTCATCTATCAAAACAATCCTCACCTATTTTTATAAAATAGATGGTTAAGATAACACAAAACCTAATTCCAAAAGATGTTTTCCAAGACTAAGTCCTCTGACAAACTTTAAAATGGTCTTGATAAGTAGGTCTCTAGACCTTGTGTAGGCCTTGCTCACAGCCGGGGACTGTGAGGCCAACAGCCTGCTGAACTTCCTGAAGCTCACCTCTCCCATTTGTTCAGAAGCAAGCTGCAAAGCTTTTCTAGAATGCCTTGAGATAAATTACCCTTTTCTGTAGAGTACTTAAAAAAAAAGTATTTTAAAGTGGTGTAATATGAACAAGAATGTAATTAACTCTGTTTCATGACAGGTTTGTTTACATACAAAGGAATTGCTAACCTTTGTAAAGATAGTATGTCATAAATTAGAGATACGGTTTGAATTAAAAAATTTATTATAAAATAATAATAAATAATTTAACAAATATGTCACAGTAGATTTTCTGATATTTGTGAGCCAAAATATAAAAAATATAATTTAAAAATTATGTCTAATAAAGGGAAAAGTTTGGAATTAATTGCTGTAGGTTACAGACTATCAGTGCCCCTGGCCTGGCCCAGAGGTGATGTATTGGCCCTTTAAGATGGAGTATGCCAATGGAGGCTGGGGGGGGGGAGCAGGGTGGACCCTGGAAGTGCTAGGAAACAATTTTGCTACCCAATTATGTATCTGTGTTATAAAAAGGATTCATAATTTTTTTGTACCTTTATTTTATTTATTGATTTTTATGTGGTGCTGAGGATCGAACCCAGGGCCTCGCCTTGCACATGCTAGATGAGCGCTCTACCGCTGAGTCCCAGCCCCAGCCCCAAAGGATTTATAATTGCAAGCTGATTTCAAAGAATCATTTTGACTAGTGTCAATAGCCACTGCAAGATTTATAAGTGAGAAATGGTGACTAGAAATCAGCAAAACTAACCTTCCCTGAATAGGTGTCTTTGCCTGGCATTTTGGCGCGGGCGGGGGGGGGGGGGGGGGGGGGGCGGTGCGGGGGCAACTCCACCTTGCTAAGTGGCCGTGAGACCTCTACTGGTCAAAAGGAAAGGGAAAGGGACTGGGGTTGTGGCTCAGTGGTAGAGGGCTCACCTTACACTTGCGAGGCCCTGGGTTCGATTCTCTGCACCACATACAAACAAATAAATAAATAAAGGTCCATCAATAACTAATAAAAATATTAAAAAAAAAAGGAAAGGGAAACATTCATCACAAGCCCTGTTTTGGAAAGCAGTATCTCAGTCATTCACTAGATTTGGTTTTTCTTGCAATCAAGAAATTGGTTGGGAGGAATGAGAAATCTATGGAAAATAAGATCTTGCATACTTCTGCTTTTTGGAAAATGCTTTGATTTGATTTGGTTTATTCTTCAGGTAAGTCAGGGGAGAAAGGCTGAGTCAACTCATCCCTTTAAAACCCCAGGCTTAAGTCAAGTCACCTGAGAACTGGCACTTCCATGCTTTCTCTAGCGATCTCTCCGTCTGGGGAATTTGGAGGGCAGGGTGTGCTTCTCACATGGGCACTCTGCCAAGGCAGGTACCTGGACATACCCAAGAGTTATTGCAGGCCAGGATCTACACCTTCTATTGCTTCTTCCTCTTTCATCTTGATACTTTTATAAAGAACAAAGAGCCCCCTTCCAACAACAGACATGGCCCTTGATCTAACTAAATGTGCCCACCATTGAAACAGATGCTGGTTCACTCCCTTCCTTTGAAATTCTAATGCATGACCAGACATAGATATCAAGTGTCCTAATAGACAAAATGTTTTCATATTCTGTCCTATCTTCCATGCTTCTTATTTCTAAACAAAAACATGTGGGAAAGTTCTTCTAAAAAAATGCTCTCCTACTGGGGCATGGTGGTGCATGCCTGCAATTCCAGCAGCTGGGGAGGCTGAGGTAGGAGGATTTTCAAAGCCAGTCTCAGCAACTTAGTGATAGTGATACTTTAAGCAGCTTAGTGAAACCCTGTCTCAAAGAATAAAAAGAGCTGGGGATGTGGTACAGGGGTTAAGCACCCTTGGGTTAAATCCCTGGTATAACAACAACAACAATAATATGCTCCCCTATCCAAATGGTTTCCAGATTACAATAGGAACAACAAGACCTTCAGCGTAGAGTGGTGGGGATGTAGCAAGGATATGGTAGGGGCATGGTATGAGTGGAGCTCTTAGCAGGAGGTATGTGTGAGCCTTGGGTCACCTCAGGTTCAGTGGGCCAACTGGGCCTGGGAGCCCAGGATCTGCCTCAAGCAGTACCTTGGCTTTTTGGCGGGCTCCAGCAGCTCGAGGATGCAAAGGAAGGTCATGAGGTTCCGTCTGCTGTTTATTAGCAAAGTTCACAAACACCTGGAGTCAAAAGACGAGCAAGAGTAAGTAGATGTCTCCAGAAAAACAGCACCCTACACGACCCACCCAGTTAACTCTGTATTTTCCAATTATCATACAGCCCTACTGGGGTGACTGGTGTCCTAACTAGGGGAGGCTGGTACATGCACACAAACCCAGCCACTGGTGCCCTGGACAGAGCTTGCATCTGAGCCAAGCCAAGGAAGTTCCTGTTAGAGGTTTCAAAGGACTTTGGGTTCAGATGTTGGAGTAACCAAGGCAAGGCAATTTCTCAGATAGCACCTTCCTAATCTGTTAAAGAAGGAACTAAGAAAAGGTAGTTGACTTTTTTTCTGATCTTCATTCAGTGTACACAACTCCTGCCTAAGGAATCCAATTTGGCCTTCACCTGCTCAAGGCTGATAAGAAGGTGCAGGTGAGCAGGTGAGCCAGCTCCTCTTCAAGGAGTAAAGGGTGACTTGCCTGTTTCTACTGTTTTGTTGAACTGTCTTTCAGGGTGTTTAGTAAAGAACAAAAGACATTTAAAAAACACTCAGAAAGAACCCAAATGTCCACTGATGAATGAATAGAAGGATAAGCAAAATGTGGCATTTAAACCCAATGGAATATTATTCAGTCTTAAAAAGGAAGGAAATTCTGATACACGCTACAACATGGATGGGCCATGAGGATATTATGCTTAGTGAAATAGGCCAGTCCCAAAAGGAAAAATTTTGCATGATTCCACTTGTGTGAAGTACACAGAATAGCCAGTTTCTTAGAGACAGAAAGAAGAATGATAGTTGCTAGGAGAAGCAGCAGAGTGGAGGAGGAAGAACAGTACAGTTTAATGGACACAGTTTCAGTTTTGCAAGCTGAAAAGAGTTTTGGAGATGGGTGGTGGTGGTGGTAATTAACACTCCTGAACTTTACACTTAGAAATGGTTAAGTGGTAAATTATATATATTTTACACAAACACATATATATTTTTACCACAATAAAGAGTGTGATTACATTATAAAAATACAGATGGAACATGTTTATAAAAACTCACCAAAGTGGGGCTGGGGTTGTGGCTCAGTGGTAGAGTGCTCACCTAGCATGTGTGAAGCACTGGGTTCCATCCTCAGCACCATATTAAAAAATGAATAAATACAATAAAGGTACTATGTCCATCTACAACTAAAAAAAAAAAAAAACTTTAAAAAAAATCACAAAAATGTACAATTAAAATAGGTGTGTTTTATTGTATGTAAATTACACATCACTAAAGTTGATTTGAAAAAAAAAAGCCACCACCACACACAACAAGAAAGAAATAACATGTAAAAGAAGAACAATCTAAAACAAAAAATCAATGACATTGTTTGCTGATGAGTAACATTATTAGAAAACAATTTCTGATTTATCAAGATTTACCTTAATAGAGACAAAAGTGTGTTAAAAATCGGGAATGTCATGCCTGCCTCTTGTGTCAACTGCAGCCCATGTTGGCATTCTGGCCCAGTCTTTGCACAGTCTTCTCTCCTGTGCCTGGTGCCCTGGGGTGGACTTGCCTGATCCAGTGTAGTCTGTGTGACTGAGTACTCCTCGATGAACAGGCTGTCCTTGTGGGAGAGGAGCAGCTGGAAGATCCTGGCCAGGGAGGAGGAAGAGACCTGGAACTGGAGCATGTTGTAATGCCTCTCCCTCTGCACACTGCCAGGGAAGTTCCCCTGGAAGAACTGTTCCACGGGATTCAGGTCAGGAAGCAAGTCATCCTTTGGGGATTTGATTTTCATTGTGACAATGTAGCCATCTCCAAACCTAAGGGATGCACAGTGAAGTACAGGCCTGTCAGTGGGTGGGGGTCAAAGGCAATCACAAAATAAGGAGTAGACTCATCCTGCACACTGGGGTTAGCCCCATACCATTGGCCATTTGTGTGTGTTTAAAACTAGAAGAAAGAAATGTAGTAGTCCTTGGGGAAACCTTTTGGTACCAGTTTTTAAAGGTCTGAATGTGTGTGGTAAAGTGGCAAAGTTGTACTTTCTGAAGTCAAAGGTGGTTGTAGCCCTGTGGAGATCCCAGGCCCGCTGATAAAGACAAGTGACCAGTGCATTCTGAATGGGGTGGCAAGGGCTGACTGGCCTTCAGGACACCAGCCAGGGGGAAGCAAAGGCCTGGGAAGATAGCACGCTTTCTCTAAGGAAGTTTCCAGAAACAGGGCCATTGGTGCTTCCTTCCTCCCTTCACCAGGTTGCTGGTTATCTTCACAGGGAGGATGAAGGATGGTCTACCAGAGAGTGTGCTGGTGGTCCTCTGGCATCTGTATATGGCTAGGTCAGGGTGTATGATGTACACTATCACTGTAAGGTCCCTCCTTGACCTAGGGCCATTCTCTATCCATCTTTCAGCTCCAGAGAATTGATGTCCCTCCACATGGGAAAATGCTTTCTCATCTCCTCAATCATCTCCTCAGTCATGGAGAATGAGAGGCAAAGGAGTACGGGGTCATCTCTCAGCAGTTGGGCACAAGGAATTGCTGACACAGATCTGACCTTACATGCTGATGTCCTCACTAATATCCAGCTTGGAGACTGTAATTACTCAAGAAATCAGGGTCAAATATCCATTTGCCAAATGTAGCTCATCTACTAGACCTTTCTCCCTAGACCTTTTCACTGAAATACACTTTCACTGATCCTTAAGATTAAGCACATCTGCATAGGTAAGGTAGATTCTGTGATGTCCCTTTTATCAACTAGCTGATGATTTTAGATTCTGGGCTCTTGATAAGTGTGTTAAATAAAATCCACAACTGTAAACCCACTCTTTCCCAGGTTAGAAGGCATGTCAGAATGCAAGGGAACCTGGCAATATAATGATAATCTTGTTTTAACTGGTTGTTAGTTTCAGCACACAAACTGTAAATAAGGAATTATTTACAACAATTTATGGGTACAGGATAATTCTAATCAAGACTACTGGCATTCTTAGTATCTTATGGTCATTTTTCAAACTTAAAAGCATATAATAGTCTAGAGAAGAAATCTGGTTTCCAAGTTGTTTGGTCTCCTAATCATTCTTATATTGGTTGTGGCCTCTCCTGATAAAGACCAGAGTGGACCTGTTAGGATAAGTGAGGTGACATTGAATCAGTGTTTTAACCACAAGCAATTAGCCCAATACAGAGGAACTTATCAGCACAATTCTTTCTGCATTTGCCTCGGGGGCACCAGGCCCAGCTACCACTAGCAGGTGGAATGAGAGGCAGCAGGATTCTCCCAAGCATCCATAGAGAACACAGGGCCTGATTCAACCCCACAAAAGGTAGCAAAAAGGAGCCACCCCACCCCCACCCCAGCTTGCTTACTTGTACTTGAGGTGCTGAATGGTGCCCAGACACTGAAAGGTGCCCTTCACCATGATGGCCAGCCGGGTACACAGCGCCTCACACTCCTCCATGCTGTAGTAGAGGAGAGAGGAGGTGAGGCAGTAGGCAGGGACTCCCACCCACCTTCCCTACCCTGGGCATCTCTTGCCTGTGAGAGGTGAGGACCACGGCTCTCCCTTCTCTGAGGATGCTCACGATGGTGTTCCACAGCATGCGTCGCGCCTGAGGATCCATTCCGGTGGTGGGCTCATCCTGTGGGGTGGGAGAGAGAGCGGGGCATGTGGACTTGGAGTTGGCCTTTTTGGGTCACTGCAGCCTCTGCCAGCTGACTCCCTTTGAGCAGCCTGGCTGAGAAGGATGAGCTGACAGATACTTTCTCAGCAGTTTCCCAGCTCAGCAAGATGGGAGAAGGGCACCTGGGTGCAGCACTTGGAAGGCTGGAGGTGAATCAGAGTAAAGAAACATGATGTACACCTCTAGATTCCTTCAACCTGAGAGTAGGTTACAGTTGATATAGGCAATGGTAGAATTATCTGTTGAGAGCCACAGCCGAGTCAGAATGACGCCTGGCATATTGCCAGAGGGAATGGTTGAAAGGTGATGCCAGCGAACCATTGAGATGATGATTTGAGTTAAGCTGTATATAATTGCTGTGATGCTGGATTGATTGAGTTGTATATGGACCCTGCTCCGGGAGTAGGGAGGCTCCGGGAATCTGCCTTGGAAATCTGCCCGGTGGAAGGAGTGTGCTCCCGAGTAGTGTGTGTGCAGTGCCGGTGAGAATTGGGGAATAAAGTAGTTGCTGTGGCTTTGTGGCGGCTCGGTTATTTGTGCCCAGCCAGACTGTGGCATTATCCTTTAAAAAGGCCAAAATAAACAAAACAAACAAACAAAAAACCCCACCAAAATGGACAACACAAAACTACAAGTGTGTAAGGAGAGAAAGATAACCCAGGTAACTCTTTGGCTCCCTCCATGTCCTGTGACCCATGCCCTCATGAACCTCAGACTGCAAGGTCTGGGGCCCTGGACCTGCTCCAGCTCTGGGGAGAGTCATGGGAGCCTTGGATCCAGATCAACATGTCTGTCCACAGGTATCCCACACAGACCTCCTCATGCTGAAGTAATTTCCAACCAGACACCAACATTCCCCAGAGGGGACAGAACTTCCCCATGGTGAGCTGTGGCCCTGGAGAGACTTCCCAGCAACTCCTAATCAGACCATGCCTGAAAGCTGCAAACCAAACACTGGGCTGATGGCTCAAAAAGAACCGTGCAGGGTGCAATCCAGATGAAAACAAACTGCCACAGGACCTGGGACACATTTCCCCGACCAGAGAGATGCTGACTTGCTTGGCTCTTAGGGTTGCCCCCCAACTTCCGGTTGCGATGCCCTCACCAGCAACACCAGTGGTGGGCAGCCGATGAGTGCCATGGCTGTGGAGAGCTTCCGCTTATTGCCCCCACTGTATGTGCCCACCAAACGATCAGCATAGAGAGACAGGCCCAGGCTCTGGATGCTCCAGTTTGCAACCTAAAGAAGAGAATGAAAACCCATCTGGAGAGGAGGAACATGGGCACACGGCAGACCTCCATAGTTCAAAGTTTCCCGTTCGCAGATCCCACCCGTCCAGGATGACAGACCCAGTTAGGGCTACCTGCTGGCTCCTGTCCTCTGGCACATGCTTCAGGAGCAGACAGAGTCTCCTTTCCACTCTGTACCTTTGATACCAGTGTGTCTTGGGCAGCTCAACACTCATCAAGGGAGTGAACTTAGGGAAATGAACTTAGGCCTTACAAAGATAGAGAGACCATTTCTTACCATGTCCTAGACTGTGGCTATTGGAAAAGGAAGAATCCTAAGGTCTCTTTGAGAAGATGGTGGGTCCAAGACCCACTGGTTCCACCCCTCAACAGAGTCACACCTAAAGTTTTGTGCAGTTAATGCATACTTACAGAGCACTCACTATGTCAGGCACTGTGCTAGGCACTAGAGAACAATGGTAAACACAACCATCATGCTGTGCTCACAGATGGGGAGCAAGGACAGACAATAGAAATTAAACAGAATGACAGCAGTGTTTTGAGGGAGTTCTACAGGGAACCATGATAGAGGTATATACACGTGCACATTTGCACAGAGGAAAAAACTAAGAAAGTTGATGGAGATGATCGCACCATGCTCTGCCTTCTGCATTTGTTGTACTCTGCCTGGTATGGATACTTCACTGATTTATCAATTGTCCCTCCTGCTAGACTATAAGCTCCATTTTTGAATTTTCACTTGCAAATAGTTTCAAACTTTTAAAAATGTGTAAAAATAAAAGAAATACAAAGAACATTCATCAGCTCCCCCTCTCTTTCTCATACAAACACGCACGCACGCACGCACGCATGCACACACACACACACACACATACACACACACTTATTTTTCCTGACCTGTTTGAGGATAAGTCATGGACCTTCATTTCTAAGTACTTCCATGCATAATTCCTAAGAGTAGGGATATTCTCTTACACAATTGTAGTTTGGTTATCAAGGTCAGTAAATTAACACTGTCATGATATTTATCTAATCTACTTGTTCATAGTTCAGTTTTATCAACTGTCCCAATAATGTTCTTCATGTCACCCCACTCCCCCACACCTTGCTTCAGCACATGATGCAGTCTATTGTCTGTAATTCACTCTTTATATCTCTTTAGCCTCCTGTTACAGGAACATTTCCACAGCCTTTCTTTGTCTGTATGTCTTTGATATTTTAAAAGAATATTTTTTAAAAATGGAATGTTCCTTCTTTGGAGTTTGTTTGATATTTCCTCATGATAAGATTCAGATTACACATTTCTAGTAAGGATTCCATATGAGTGAAGTTGTGTCCCTTGGGTATCCTGTTTGGGGCATGAGATGTCCACCTGTCTCTTGTAGATAACATTAACTTTGATCACTCAGTTAATATGTTGCCTAATTTTTCCATTATGAATTGCTCTCCACCCCTTGCAACCAAAAAGCTATCTGTGCAGATGTTCTTTTAAAACATGTAAATATCCTCTCTCATAAAAAATTCCCCTAGATTTATTATCCATTGGTGATTTTTGTGCAATCTGGTCTTTAATATGGTCATTGCAAAGTCGTTTTCTGACTCCAGAACTTCTTCACACTAATCAGTTGGTGCTCAGCACTTGACTGTAAGCAAGATCCTTCCCTTCTCTTCTATTTATCTAACAGTATCAGACACAAATTCCTACTTTGCCCCCAGTGTTTTACAACCTATCATGATATTTCATTATTTTGATTTTCAGATTGTTCCATATTTGTCTGTGGTGGTCCCTTCAGGATGGCTCCTATGTTCTTGTGACATGTCTCTTCATTTTGCTTCCTACTTTTAGCACAATAAGATGTTCCAGCTTTGGCATCAGTTACTTATTTGAAGAGTCGTGGTTCCCTTTAGAAGGGAATATTATAAAGATCAAAATCTTGGCAGAGTACACTCACAGCTATTAGGGTATTCTTCCTTCTTGGCTCTTTCAGAGGACAATAAACACATAACACACCAATATGCACATGCATATATGTGTGTAAATGTGCACTATACATGAGCCTACCTATATACTTACATAAAAGCATGTAAGTATTTCATGAATTCACAGTGTTAACTCTAACTCCAATCCACCCCCATAGAGCTCCTTCTTGCTTTTCCCCTTTCTGTGTTTGTATTGTTACTTCTTCCATGGTGAGAATGTTGGCTCCAAAAACATCAACACATTTATCCATTTACTTAGTCCTATATAACACATCTAAAATGGTTTCAGAATTGCTTTTTCTATGCCACTGTAAAAATCTAAAAAGAACTCAGAACTTGAAGTTCTTTGTCCTCACTGCACCCTGCCCAAGACTGAGAATAGCCGAATACTATGTTCGTCAGTTGTATTAGTTCTTCTCCCACATCTGTATGCTTATGATATTTATTTGAAATAAAATTGGGTTTAATTAGCTTCAGTTTATGCAGTGCTTTTCCCTTCCATTTATACCTTCTTCTCATTCTTTTGATTTAGTTTTATATGTGAATATGTAGAATATTAACATCTGCCAGAAGCTAAAACTATAGAAAGAGATACCCCCAGATAATTATTATCCCTTCCCTTCTTCCATCTTAACTCCCTCTTGTTCATCACCAAATCCATTCCCATTTTGTGTTCTATTTGTGAAGGTAAACAGACATTTAAATGATCTTTTATTTATTTTTTTACATAAAAGTAGCATTCTATTAGTTCTCTTTTGCATTTTGATTTTTTCCATTTAACAATATTAGAAATAACTCCCATCATTCACAGAGATCTTCCTTATTCTTTTTTTTTAATAGCTGCACAAGATTTGTTGTGTGCATACCATAAATTCATCAACCAGTCTACTTTGCCTAAACATTTAGGTAATATCCAGTATTTTGCATTATAAATGCAATGAATAACCTGTACATATGCATTTTTTTTTTACTGTGGGATGTGTATTTTCAGGGTGAATTTTCAGAAGTATAACTGCTGGGTTGATAGGTAAGTATACACATCTTTTTTGATATGAATGTAGGAATTTTTTTTTTCCTACTTTGTTCAGTGCTCTATCCCTGGCTTCTAGATCATTACTTGGCATCCAATAGACACTATAGAGCATTTGTTGGAATGAATAAATGAATGGATAGTATGCTTTAGTTTCCCATCTCTAAATTAACATACTCCATGAAACAGGCTTATGGTTTGCCAAACTCTTATATGGCCACAACAAACCATTATTACCTTCTCAATTTCTTCTGCTGGTACACCCCGAAGCCGGGCATAAAGGTAGAGGTGTTCTCGGCCCGTGAGCAGGTCATCGACTGCATCAAACTGAGGACAGTAGCCCATATTTTGATGGACTTCAGAAATATTGGTTAAAATACTGCAAGAAGAAACAGCAATTGGTGAGTTTCCTTCCTAGAGAGAATGACTAGAGATCTGGGCTGGAAAGCTTCTCCCAGGGGGATAAGTAGGCTGACTCTTCTCCTTCCTGCTTTGCTTTAGCAATGCACACCAAATGCACACATTTGGAAATCAAAGCAGGGACCTAGCAAAGAGGCAAACATGTGAGAGGTCATCCGTTGTCCTGTCCCATAGAGGCAGGAAGTCTGTTTAAAATTGCAGAAGGCAGCATTTACCCTCTGGAAGCTGAGGACACAGACCAGTTTTTCCTTTATACTCTTTGGTGTGGCAAAGCCAAGCATCAGCACACAGTCATTGCAGACCTAGGGCTCCCAAGAGTCCTTTAACACGTCCCTATCTAGAAACAACCTAGAGAAAGGACACTTCATCATGGTAATTCTGAACTTGGGATCCAGGGGCTCCAGCAGGGTTATGAACATGCTTCAGGGTTCAGTAAATTCCCTGAAACTTTTTGCAAAAATGTGTGGAGAGAGGTCATGGGAGGTGCTGGTGTATTCTTTTGTATTTTTTAGTACCAGGGATTGAACTCAGGGGCACTCGAACACTGAGCCACATCCCCAGCCTTATTTTGTATTTTTATTTTAGATTTTATGAAACATTTTCACTAAGCAACTCACTGAGTTGCTTAGTGCCTTACTTTTGCTGAGGCTGGCTTTGAACTCTTGATCTGTCTCAGCCTCCCAAACTGCTGGGATTATAGGCATGTGCCACCACCCTGCTGGTGTAATCTTTTGTAGGAAGAGGGTGCTCAAAAGTTAATGACCCCAGAGAAATGAAGGATCACTGACTTATTGCTTCCTAGAACTTTCTAAGAACCTGTGCTAATAGCACTCTTAACAATCACAATTCATTTCCATTTTTCAGTGGATCTCTCATGTACTTTTAGGACCATGCTCTCTGGGAGGCCCCTTCCTCTGCAATGATCTTTCTAGGTTACAGAGTCATCCTGACATAGGGTCTGAAGATCACCTTCCCTATGTTGGATCAGGGATGTGGCCTGTGAGCTACACCCTGAGGCAGAAAGGGGCAGGGGCACTTACCTCTTGCCTGCTATAGTGGCATCGCCTGATGTCACTGTGGTGTCCCCTGTGAGCATCTTGAATGTGGTTGTTTTGCCTGCACCATTCACTCCCAGGAGACCAAAGCACTAGGAGAAAAAACAGAGCTGGCCTTGCACAGCAGAATAAGAGGGCCTGGAATGTCAGGCTCCAGTGTCGGTGTGTGATCTGGGGGAGGCATTTGAGACCTGGACTGCCAGTACAGAGGCTACTAGCCACATGTGGCTACTAACACAAAATATACCTAGTCCCAATGGACATTGGCCCTATGTGTAAAATACTCTGGATTTTAAAGGCTTAGAATGAAAAAATATGCAAAATAGCTCATCGATACTTTATATTAATTTCATGTTGAAATGACAACACTAGACATATTGAGCAAAATTAAAAATATTATTAAATTAGTTTTATATGCTTTTATTTTTTAATGTAATTATTAGAAAATTAAAATTCACATATGTGGCTCTTGTTAAATTCCTATTGGGTAGCTGTGCTTCAGAGGGGAGGAGTCTTGCATATACTGATTTTCTGAAGCATTTTCATATTGGTCTGCAGATACCTACCTCACCAGGTCGGATTCCAACACATAGCCTGTCCACTGCTGGGCTGGAGGAGCCTGAATAAACCTGCAAGATCCAGAGAAGCTGAGGTGAGGACTGAGACAGGGTTAGAGCAGGGAGAGCAAGAGCAAGCAGAGAAAGGTTAGTTTGGGAGAAAACCATCAATGCTCAAAGGTTATGGATTGACTTGGGTGTTCACAGAGCAGCTGTAAGCTCTGAGAATTGTGAAGCTGACCCATGCTGTGCAGAAATGGAATGGAGAAAGATCAGTGATGGTCAGCTGAAGGAGCTCTCACTGAGGTTCTGTATCAATATCCAAGGGGAATAGCAGGGTCAAAGCATGTACCTAGATGCTCTTGGAAGACAAGTTATAACACAGAGATGATGATGATGCCACATATTAGGAAAACAGAGTGCTTGAAGAAGCAGATCACTTGCTCTAGAGAAGGAACATGACAACGTTGTGCCATCTGAGGTCCAACTAGTAGCACCTCCTAAGCAACATGCCTATGCCTTTTTCTTTACCTTGGTGAGTTGATTTAGCCTTAAGATATCAGTTTTATCTCCACCACTAGTAATTCTTTGTCTCTCTTCAGCCACATCATCATCTTCATCAACAATAGGCTCCTTGGGGGGCTCAGCAATCCTAGGGGAAGGAAGAGGACAGGATTGGGCTGGGTGTGTGGAGTCCTTGGCACTGTGGTATTCACCTGACCTTTTCTCCAGTTCCCTCACTTCTGCTTCCCCTGGACTTCCATCCTCTAGGGCTTTTATTCTAAAAAGTGCTCCTAACAGGAGGTAGGCACAGACAGAGAGGTTGAATGTTCACATCCAGAGTCAGCTCCAGGATCCAGTTCATGCTGGACCTTTGGCAGGTCATGGACCTTTCTGAACCTTTCCTCCTCCAACCACAGGATGGAGAGAAGACTCTATGTCATACAGTTTAGTGAAGATGAGCTCAGCACAGTGCCTGGCACAGAGTAAAGACGCAGGACCTAGAAACTTATTACTAAGACATTTTTTTCTATGTCAACAACTCAATGAAGCTTAGTTGCTGTCTACCAAGCTTTCTATGTTCTTCCACCCACTATGAAACTCAACCTCTTAAAAACTGCTGTCATCTGGTCATCCCATGCCACCAAACCTTCCATCATTCTCCATCAGCTATAGGCTAAAACCAGATTTCCCAGTTGGAATATCAGAGCCCTGTGCTCAGGCCCCCCGGCCCTTCCCACCTGATCATCTCTTGAACTCACTCTTCTATACTACTGGCGCCTGCCCCTGGTCCCTAGCTCATGCTGGCCTTTGCTACCTTTCACATATTCTTTTCCTCCTGCTGTGCTACAGGAATCCCCCCATCCTTAAAGGCATAGTTTCTTCTCTGAAATTCTCCCTGACTACCAAGGCCTCTAGTCCCCCCATTTTTTCGCTCACTGGCTATATCTAGCCCATCACCAAGTTTTGTCTAAAAATCTTCCTGCTATTTATCCAATCAACCTATTTTTCTCCATCTCCTGATGCCACCATTTCTATCCAGGTCACCATGGTTCTTGCCTGAGTACCAATATGGCCTTCTGTCTGGTCCCCCTGCTCTAAGTCCTGGTAAGATCACATCACTTCTCTGATTTAAACACCCCCCAGGGTTGTGTGTTGCCCTCAGGCTTGAGTCCCAAGTCATTAAGATGAGAGGGTATTTCATGACAGATCTGTGCCCCTCCAGATTCATCTCCTGTCCCACTTCACCTTTCACAGCTAATCTGAACTCCAACCATTTCATGCACCATTACTTTCTGGGGCTTCTGTATCTTTGTGTGGGCCCTATCCTTGACAAGAGCACCCTTCCTTTCTCCCCTCCCTGGCTCCTTCTTAATATGGGTGTGGCTGGAAACCAGAGGCTGTGACATGCCTTTTTGGTCCTCCTTAGGATCTAAGGCAGGCAGGACCCACTCAACTGTGCTGTCCTCAGAGTGTGATGGTAATGGCTTATTTGGCTGAATAACCCTCTTCTCCACCCCTTCTCACTCATCACAAAGGCCTTTAAAAGATGTGGCCAAAGGCTGGGCTGGGGCTCAGTGGCAGAGTGCTTGCCTAGCAAGCATGAGGCACTGGGTTCGATCCTTAGCACCACATACAAAAAATAAGCAAATAAAATAAAAGCATGCTGTCCATCTACAACTACAAAAAAAAAAAAAAATGTGGCCAAAGCAGTAGAGAGGTCTTCAAGGGCTGAGGATCCCAAGAACAATTCTTCACACTGTGTCCCGTAAGTAGAACCAATTCCTGATCATGATTTATCAAAAGTGTTTGACCCATTATTTCTTTCAATCCTTATGACCCTGTGAGTAGAACAACAGATTAATTTGCAATGAATCAATTTCCTATGGGTCAAAACCTTAAAAAATACACAAAAGAGCAAGTCCAATGGCCAGGTATGGTGACACCAGTAATCCCAGTGACTTGGGAGGCTGAGGCAGGAGGATGGAGCCAGCCTTAGCTGGCTCAAACCCAGCATCAGCTACTTAGCAAGGCCCTAAGCAACTTAGTGAGATGCTATCTCTAATAAAATATAAAACAGGACTGGATATGTGGTTCAGTGGTTAGGCACCCTTGTACAAAAAATCAATCATCAATCCCTGATACAAAAAAAAAACGCAAGTCCAAACTTGGAATCTTTATTTACATGTGACTAGAATTAGTCTGAGAGAGGAAATATTAAGAAACAAAACACTGGCCAGGTGTAGTGATACACACCTGTAATCCTAGCAACTCAGGAGGCTAAGGCAGGAGGATGGTAAGTTTGAGGCCAGCCTCAGCAACATAGTGAGACCTTTCTCAAAATAAAAAAGAAAAGAACTGGGGAGGTAGCTCAGTGATCAAGTGTCCCTGGGTTTAATCCCCAGTACAAAAAAAAAAAAAAAAAAGAGAGAAGAAAAAGAAACAAAACACTGTCAGGAAATTTTGTTAGGGAGGGCCCAGTGATTGCAAAGCCAGTAAAGGTCCGGATTACAGAGGAACCTGGGTTGCTGCTCAAAATGAGGTAGTTGCTGGCAAGGCCTGGGGGAAGAGCCTAGGGAAGATGGGCTGAGCTGGGTTGGGGCCCTGGTCAGTTGACCCAGCCATTGAGAAGTCCTGGTAAAGTTAGAGTTAGCAGCTATTATCCAGCATCCAGGGAGGGAGGGTGAATCATTGCCCCTCAGCCTTCACAGGCTCCTGGCTGCACTCATGGGGCACGTAGCCCCTATATTACTCCCCATATTCTCTCTGTCCTATGGTAACCCCACTCAAATTTCTAATTAGCAAAAGGGTATACTTTGTGTTTTCTCAAAATTATTTCCTAGTTCTTTGGATGCTTTTTTAACCATTGTTATTTGCAATGCTATTGTCTAATTTCAAATGAGTATGTGGTAATTAAATGAGAAGATTAAAATAAAGAATTAAAACTAGTGACATCTATTTTAAATAGTTTAAAGTTGAGACTTGGCTTCAATTCTAATATGCCTATTTTAACCCATCTCTTCCTGTGTTATTTAGAATAAGCCGGGCCTTGAGAATGTAAAAAAAAATCATCATGGAGTGGGACTCCTGAGGAAAGAAATGACCATATCAGTATGAATTTCAGTCCAAGACACACTGAGCTGCCCGCTGGAACCCCCAGGTGCAGCAAGGGCATACCATCTGGTGAAGAAGAAGTGTTTCTGGACGAGGAGGTTCAAGAGGAAGTACACCACCCCTTCTGCTGCCATGGCAATCACGTTCTTCCCAATCAGGTCCCACTGGAATGGATTTGGGGAGTGCTCCTCACCTGGAGATTTGAGGCCACTGAACATCAATAGGGTTTGAGTCTGTGTCAGCTGCCCCAGGTACCCCCTAAAAACCTGGCTACAATAGGCCCAACTGGACCAGGCCTCATGCAAGGGATTAAGTAAGAGCCAAACATGAGTCTCATCTTGGCTTTCAAGTCAAAGAGGGAGAGAGTAAAAACCTGCCCTCTGCCCCTCCTGTGACTCCTGAGCCATGAGAACAGAGGCACCCTAATCCCTCCTGGGTGGCAGAATAAACCCAAGCCAACACAGTGCCTTTCCACCCCAGCCCAGGGTACAGATATGATTGTATCCTGCAATCCTCTCTGCCTCAGTGGATCCAGGGCCTGTGCTCCATGGACCTTGAATGCCACCCACCAAACCGGGCATAGACGTCTGTCACAGCCTGACTCAGGGCCAGGTCAATGAGGCCCCGGCCCAGGCAGAAGTGGGGGAAGATAATGAGCAGCTTCCTCAGCATGGCGTTGAACCTGAGTAGCGTCTGAAACAGAAGGACAACTGTTAGATATAAGGGCTGATGCTGCCTACCCTGTCCTGAGCAGGTGGGCCGGGATGCCCTCTCAGGGTGGGAGCAGAGGAGGTCTGCAGGAAAAGGACTTCCAGCTAGACTGGCCACAGGAGGGATTGGTCAGGCAGGATGCAGAGGGTTTGATGTAGCCATCCTGAAGTACTTACTGGAGGTGCCTCAGGACTAGGCCACAGAAGTAATAATAAATTCATGACTAATCAATGCCTGGGGCTCCCTGTGTCATTCTTGTGGGTAGGAACTGATTCCTAGCCCAGCAGCATTTTCTGAATATTTATTGTGCTCAGTGCTATGTGGGCACTGGGGCTAACTGTAAAGAACATGCACATTGCTTTCCTTAATTAACCCTCCATGACTCCATGGACTACAGCAATAATCCATGGAGAAGCAGCGGCCCTGATGCTGTCTCTTTGGGCAGCTCTTCTGAAGACTTTTTTTGCCATGGTGTGGGAGTCCTCCAAGATGCCTGTTGCCAGAAGATGCAGCAGCTGCATCTCCCTCCCTCCCTTTCTCTTCTCTTCTCTTCTCTTCTCTTCTCTTCTCTTCTCCTCCTCCCTCCCTCCCCTCTCTCCCTCTCTCCTCCCTTTCTCTCCTTCTCCCCCTCTCTCTCTCCCTCTCTCTCCTCCCTCTCTCCCTCTCTTCCTCTGTACTGGGGATTGAATCTAGGGGCATTCTACCACTCAGCTATATCCCCAGACCTTTGTATTTTTTATTTTGAGACGTGTATGGACAGACTGACCTCAAACTTGGGATCTTCCTGCCTCAGATTCCGAAGTGACTAGAATTACATGCTTGTGCCACCAGGCCCAGTGGCATTTGCAATTTCTGACACCTATAGTTCTTAGCAGGAAAGGATGTTCTTTTCCCTTGTGCTCTCTGACAAGATCCCTACCCTTCTTTAGAGAGTCACTCAAGCAGTCCCCTCTCTCTTAGGCCTCCTCTGATTCCTGGGTTAACTATCCTTTCCTCTCTTACCACATTCCTGGGATTATTTCTTTTTTTAATGCACCTACTTTCTCCACTTAAATACCTTGGTTCCCTAAATACCTTGTACAATGGTTAGCTCATTGTAGGTACTTTATGATTCATTAAATAGGCTAATACTATTCTACTTACTCCAGGCCTGATTCAAGTTGAAAATCCCCCATAAGATGCTTCTAATCCCTGCAGCCCAGCTCTCTGGCCCACTCTGATCTGTAGTCTTTTACATTTCTTGCTCCTTTGATGTTCTCTCGAACACTGTATTATGGACTACCATATATCATGGCTTTTGTCAGTTGCTAACTTTGATGTGCAGCTTGTTTCCTTGCTGAAACAGGAACTCCTGGGCATAGGATGAGTGAGTCACACTTGTTTCCATTCACATATCTGTCACATGGTGTTCACCTAGTAAATGCCTCCCAACTAAGCAATGATAGCAGCTACCCTAAGAGCCTCATGTGGGATACTGGAAATTTCTGTAGCATTTATTGATCAAGTAAGCAGCTTTTATGGGAAGAAGAGTGCTTAGTAAATGGCTAAGTGCTCAATATGTGGCTGAATATGACTGCAGGAGGGAGAATGTTCTGAGTTCCTTTTAGTTTGCTATTTAATTATTCTGAAATAACACACCCTCTTAAGACAGTGGGCTGTGAGCCTGTGGCAAAAACAGCTCTGATGAGCAGCATTTTCATCCACCAGGTATGCAGGCCCTCTTCTAGCTCTGTGTTCTTATCCATGTCCCTCTGGTCTGTGATCTGCCATATTTCTATTATTAATGGCACAGGTGGGTTAATTCCTGGCTCAGTAGCCACAGAAAACCTCACTAGGTCTGGGGGAAAGTGGCTCTTAGGAGGTCATGGGAGGTTAGCTTAGGGCCTCAGCACAGACTTACCCTCTGTTTTCCCAGCAAGGGCACAGTGCAGATATGCTGGCTGGTGCCCACCCCTTGGACTGTGAAGAATTCATGAGGAAAGGAAGGGCTATCGAAGTGCCTGAGGATACAGGGACACCAGCAAACCTGAATGCTCTGAGGACAGCCATGAAAGGACTCAGACAGAGCAGGTGGGAGTGTGGAGTAAAGGCAGCCTTGTAGCTACTGCCACTTCTTTTAGCATTCAGCTGGCCATTTCTTTCTGGAAGGGAAAGTCAGAGGGTATGGACAGGACAAGTGGACTTCGTAGCTCAAAACATTTGAGTCATTCAGGACCATGATTTCCTAATCCTGTCCTAGGGATTAACAGGTGCAGTATAGTACATGGTATATGTTATAATTTGCATAAGAAGTGGGAGAAAGAATATTTATATATTTACTTTATGTCTCTAGAACACATTAGAAACTTGAATAAGGTTTCCTCTGGAGAAGGAAACTGGGTGAATCAGAAACAGGGGTAGAAAGGAGATTTTTTCATTATATGTCTTTTGTTCCTTTTACATTTTGAAATCACCTAAATGTGATACCTACCAGAGTCAGTGTGTGTGTGTGTGTGTGTGTGTGTGTGTGTGTAGGAAACTTAACAAACCTAACACTCACAGTCCCAGAGGAAACTTTCTTGAAAGGGATATGAAAATCTAAAAAGTCAGGGTCTTAGCAGTCATTTATAGCTTGCAGAATAGGCTTAGAAAATGCAACATTCAGAGCATGCAGATCAGCAAGAAGAAAGGCATGCTGGGAGGGAAAGAAGACAACAATGCTGGTCTAAGCACTGAGCATCTGCACATGCAGTGCTTGCCCATGGCTCTGCTTGGCCATTGCATACTCTCTAGTACGCAATATACTCTTAATCAAATAGTATACTCTTAATCAAATAAAGATGCCAAGAAAGTCACACTCACCCGGTTACTCTCAAATAATTCCAAGATGAAGGTGATGGCACTGCTGTTGATGCCGATGAATAGATTAGCACAAGACAAAGCCACATAGGCTGTGCTGGGGACGTCAAACAGGAAGGATGCTGGGTACATCATGGGAATGACCGCCCATCTGTGTGAAATGGCAATACCATGGGAAGTGTTCCAATTGTCATCCTATCAGCTGTACCTAGATAGGATGTACTCCCCTCATGTGTGAGGTGACACATTTGAATGGCCAGAGTCCCAGGGGGAAAAAAAGAGATGCTCCATCCCTAAGTTCTATGCCTCATCTTTAAATGAAGATCATAAGGCCCATCCTGACCATCTCATGGGTCATGTGAGGAACAAATAACAGTGGCTGTGTGTGTATTTTGTGAAACACAATACACAGGAGGGTTCTTCACCCTGCAGTGCTTCTGGCTCTAGTCTGGATCAGCAAAGCTGAAGGTCCCCAGCAGCTCATCATCACCGTTCATAGTTCCCTGGCTTCTGAATTCCCCTTTTCCAAGAGAGATGAATGGAAACCATTGCTCTGGTAAGATTTTACTGGCCCACATAGGAAGGGCAGGGATCATTATTTCCATTTTTCAGATGAGGAAACTGGGCCCCACATGGGTGGTTTACCTGTCCATAGTTACACCCACAGAAAGAGGTAGGCCTGGGATATAAAGTTGCATGATGGGCTCTACAACCAGCTGGACTTGAATCTCTGTCACCCTCTAGCCTGACTCAGGAGCAGCTTTCCAGCTGGAGTTTTCTATTATGTGAAAAGAACCCCTGGGCAGTACAGATGGAAGCACAGAGATGGGCAAAGTGGCCATAGATGACTCAGGGTTGTGGAGGAACTGGGGAGTGACCAATTCCCAGACTCCAGACAAGGCCACAGTGGGAGTGGAAGAAGAGTCAGACTATGTGGATCCCTTCCCAATGTCCCTAAATGGACTGGCCTTAGAAATACCTCTATTGGAAAAGTCAGAAACAGAAGCCAGATTCCTGATTAGCAGATGCAGACCCTGCTAGGGACTGGACACTAACCCTGTGCATCTACCACTGCTGGAAGTCCCACCCCACCCCTGGCTTCCCTTTGGTGCTATTAGTTAGGAGCCCAAATGACTTACCCATACAGCATGAGCAGAGCAATAAGGGCAGGAAGATTGCTTGGGGATGTGTAGGCTTTCTTCTGAAACCCCACGAAGATGCCTACCACCAGTCCTGCACTCACTGCATAATTCATCTTGAACAGAGAAGATAGCAAGTCATGAACAACTAGGACCTGTTTCATGGTCTGTACAATGAGGGATGGGACAAGGCTCCTCCAGATCTTAGGGTCTGGGGTTGACTTCATCTGTCTAAACAGTTCCTAGTCTTCCTGCTGTCTCCTTCCCCCAGGGACCTTCAGTCTATATCTATGAGATGAATTAATTGTAACATCCAACTGGATCTCTCACTCTTTTTAATTAGTCACGAAGCCCCACTGATGCTACTTTCTAAGCACATCTCTAGAATTCAGAAAAACTTAAAAAATAGTCATTGATCTCACAAAGCTCAAATAGATGATGACACCCTTTAAAAAAAAATGCAGTCCTGAAGCCATTAGGTCAGGCACAGGAAGGTGGGCACTCGTGGTAGGGTTAGGTCTCAAACAGGATGAAAACCAGAGGAGGGTGAGGAGGGCACCCACAGAGGGTTCCAGGGAGAGTGCTTGAGCCCCAAGGGGAAGGAAGGTGTTCTTCCAGGGGGCTGAGCTGGTGTGGAGTATTAGAGCCAGGACTGAAGGAAGAGGAGCTCCACAGAGCAGCAAAAGCAGGGAGAGGGGGTATCCATGCAGGGAGGGGTGGTGGTAGAAATGGGGCACTTACTTGTTACTTACAGGTAATAAACTCTGATAGGTAAATGATTTGGGGTGATAAAAGCCAGTTTCTCACTCTTGGAGAAGGGAGTTATAAATGCAGAGACAGAAAACTAGAATGAGCCTCTGGTGTTGGACTGGAGCTAAAGGTTTTGGTGAGCATAGAGCTTAGTGTGCAGAGACTGAGGTATACAGATGTAAGTATGTGGATGGCTGTGGACATATATAACGTATCTTCCCTGGGTCTATCTACTGAGAAGACCTGGTTCCAATGACACTTTAGTGGCAGTGAACAAATCTGGCACTCAGATCTTGGTCTCTGAGGGCCACTTTCCCCTGAAATGAACCAGGGCCCTTTGGGGAGATGGTTGGTTCTGGGAAGGGGTGGCCGAAGGACAGGGTAAGCTTGGAGCATCTTGTGGTGCCAGGGAGCAGTGAAGTGCTCAAGGAGGATGTAGACATAGTGAAGAAGGCACAGAGGCCAGCTTGAAGGAGCTTTCCCTGCCACACTTGAGACAATCTTCATATTAAGCTAAGTAATGATGGTATGGAGTTATAATCCATCAATTAACACAGGACCCATGACTACATACAATTATATATAAATAAGTAAATGAACAAATGGAAAGTTTGACAACAAACAGGATATTTTCACATATTCAAAGTACTTCTCAAAATTTTTATCAATTATAAAGAGAAAGAGAATAGTTCTGACAGTGGAGAGTAGTTCTGACAGTAGACACCTTCTTAAGTGAAAAGGTAAACATCCTCAGTAATAGGACAACTTAAACCAGAAGCAAGCTGATAAGATGCAAAAAGAACCCAGCTTCCATTTCATGACACTGCTGCCTGGGACACTCTGCCTCACAGGGAAGGCTCAGGCAAACCCAGATTAAAAGATGTTCTGCAAAAGAAATGGCCTGTAATCTTCAAAAGAACTAAGACCACGAGTATTAAGGAAAAAAGAGAAACTAACTGTACCAGGCTAATGGAGACTAAAGAGACAGGACAACCAAATGCAAGGCAAAATTCTGAGCTAGGTCCTTGTCTAAAAAAGATGTCATTGGTGCAATTGGTAAAACTTGAGTGGGGTCCAAGAAACAGGTGGCAATGGTGCCCCAGCACTGGTTTCCTGAAGTTGACAGTTGTGCAGTGGTTGAAGGGGGCAAGTCCTCATTTGCAGGAGATAAATATTGAAGATGCTGGTATGTGTGTGTGTGTGTGTGTGTGTGTGTGTGTGTGTCAGAAAGAGAGAGAGAAGTGGGGGGAGAATCTTGTCAAGAAGTTGCTCCCAAATGACCCAGATAAAAGTTTTACACTGTACTTGACATTTTTACATAAGCCTTACATTTCTTTTCAACATTTAAAAGAAAAGGAGATGACACATATAAAAAGATAGGAATTTAAAACACCACAGATGTGCTAAGTGACTGATATAAACAATAATTGTTCATTTGACGATGACCCCCAGGTGTGTTTTTTCCTTTTTACCACTGGCTAATGAGGGTGATTCTGTTATCTGGCAGTTCAGCCAGGAAACCTGCCTGGATCTGCCCACATGAGAAGTAGGCAAATAATAAAAAAAGAAAAAGCAAATTTTATGCAACTCTTTTTTTTTTCTGTTTGAATTTTATACAGCTTCTTCTCTCCAGCTTGATCAAACTGCATACAATTCATATTTACTTTTTCCATCATTTGCCTATTTCTTATGTGGGAAGGTGGCTAGATCCAGCCAGGTGGAATCCAGGAAGGCTCTCTGGCCTGGCTGCTGGTAACAGATTTCTGAAATTCAGCACTACAGATTCTGAGATTCAGATTCCAGGCCAGCTTTAAAATTCTAAAGCATCAGGAAGCCTGCCAACACCATAACAAGTGCACTATCTTCTCTCTTCTAACCCTTCAACAGATGGACTAGGGTCTACGTTGTCAGTATGGCTTCCACTCCAGATGGCCACTGTGTCCTTCTAGCTGTATCTTTCTATAGGCCGAGTCCTCTCTCTGTAGACACACACACACAGGTCAACTCCAAGTGCAAATGGTATTCCTCATCTTTTAAAAGTGAAAATATATATATGTATATCTCAGCACTTTAATAAGTAGCTTCTCAGGGCAGGAGAGCCTGGATCCTTTCATGTTAAAATCTCAGGGCCACTGTAACCTCTGCCCAAAGAGAAGCCTGCAGCTTCTGAGTTCCTATGCGCTTGTGTTTTTTTTCACGCAGATGGAAAAGAAAGGAAAGAATTTAAACACTACTGAAAATTTCTAGCTTTGAATGTTAAGTGAGAGCTGCTTAATTAGTTGAGTCAGATTAAAGAAATCATGTCTTCAGGAATCCTAATTTTCAGTATTATTGTCAAAAGCCACAGAGAGGGTCACTTGTACTGTCCTCTACAAGATGCTACTTCTGGCCTCTACCAGTTGATGTGTCATCTGGTGGAGCTCCCAGTGGTCTTAGGATGCTGAGATGAATCAAATGTGTCCTCATATTACTGAGGACACCCAGAAGAGATGAGTTGTTGTTTTCTGTCTCTCCTTTTTTTGCTGTATTGGGGATTGAACTCGGGACCTTGTACATGCAAAGCAGGTGTTCTACAACTGAGCTACACCCCAGCCCCTGGTTGGTGTCACAATGATCCTTGCTATATTATAACTAGGCCTTTGCTACCAATAAGTTCTGACCATGTGGCCTGTCATAAAGTACCCCATTCTAATTCCTTCCTGTTCCCAGAAACCTTGGTTGTAAGCAATGTGGTAGTCCATTGTTGCTCTGATAATTTTTTCTTATTTTCCCTAAAGTGGTGGCTAATCTGATATAGTGAAGGTCTGTCTGGTAACTTTGGGGAAGCAAAATAAAGCTCCTGGGTAGAGTTTCCAGATTTGCAAATAAAGATACCAAATGCTCAATAAGCTTGAATTTCAGATAAATGGCCACTAGTTTTTTTTAGTATAAATATGTCCTATGCAATATTTAAAGTGGGATATACTTACACTAAAACTTTACTTATTGTTTGTTTGAAATTCAGATTTAACTGGGCATCCTATATTCATCTGGTGAACCTCTAAGGAAGTTCTACTTTGGAGTTTTTGGGAATGAGGTGGGATTTAAGAAGGAGATTTTGGGTGAAGAACCCCTTGGTCCATTCCCACATCCAAACTATTTTGGGGAAAGCCAGACTCCTGCCTGAAGTGCAGTGACTGGGTCAGAAAACCCCTTAGTGCAGGACACAGAGCCCTCAGTCCATAGTTGTGAATTTGTGATTCACAGCCTTCCTCAGCTCTGGGATCCAGTGCCTTTCTAAGATGATGTCAAGGGACAGTAGCACACAAAGCCATTAGCTGAGCACCTTCCAGCAGCCGGGACAGTGCAAGAACCCCTCCATGTAGTACCTCTTCTGTCAGAGCACACTTGAGTGCCACCTTGGGCCCAAGAAGGTGAGGGAAGGCCTGACACTTACAATGTCCCAGAGGAAGTTGGTCATCCAGTAGGTGATGGCACTCACTCCACTGACAAACTGGAGGTGCTTGGCTTTATTCATCCTTTCCTGAATCAAGTAGAGGACAAAGCTGGCTGGGACAAAGGACATGGCAAAAATCACACAGATGGCAACGACAGCATCCACTGATGTGGTCAGCCTGCAGCAGGACGAGAGATACAGGGAGAGAAAGGTGAAGAAACAGGAGCATAAACAGGAGAAGATGCACGGCAGGCACTGGCAGTCCTTACCCAACCCAGGTAATGGCCTCCAGACTCCCAGTCCCCAGCCTGAAGCTTGTCATTCCCCTGAACTGTCTTAATCAGTCTGGGTCAAGGTTAAAGGGATATTTGTAGGCTGCCTTTCTGTTTCATCATGTGAGCATTTCTAGACAACTCCACCCACCATTTTTTTTTTTTGAGAGAGAGAGAGAGAGAGAATTTTTTAATTTTTTTTTTTTAGTTTTTCGGTGGACACAACATCTTTCTTTTTTTAATGTGGTGCTGAGGATCAAACCCAGTGCCACACACATGCCAGGCCAGCACGCTACCGCTTGAGCCACATCCCCAGCCCAACCCTTCTTTTTTTTTTAGTTGTTGATAGACCTTTATTTATTTATACATGGTGCTGAGAATCGAACCCAGTGCCTCACACATGCCAGGCAAGTGTGCTACCGCTGAGCCACAGCCACAGCCCTTTATTATGTTTTAATACTATTTATGGTTATAGAAATCAAAATTTGTATTAATCTTATATACTACAAAACTCTTGTTAGCACAAATAATTTATGTGTATAATCTCTTGAGTTTTTATATGGACAGTTATACGGCTTTTTAACAAAAGAAATAAATTATTGTGTTCAATCACATTTTGGGGAAATGTTCATAATGTAAACAAGGCAAAAGAGAACAGGCAAGCTATACAGGAGCTAGGCTCTATTCACCCTTTCCTGGACCAAATAGAAGGCATCTGGCTAAGGGGGTGAAACCCAGCCTGAACTTTATGTACAAGCCACAGTCCCTGTGCAGAGCTGTGCCCACCTGCAGAGAGGAGCATCTGTACACAAAGGCACCATGTGCCAAAATCACAACCTGACTGATAACAGCCCTATATACCACATAGAACCATGACCGGATGGGAGCTCAAAAATGCTTACAGGCAATACCTTAAATTAGGTAGGGTTATAGATGATAAGTTCTTAAAACTTTATTATCTAAATTTTATTTAATGAACATATATTATTTTATAATCACAGAAAACTATTCTTTCAAAATCTATATTTGAACAGCTTGGCAGGAGGTATGGAAACTTGGGCTGAGTGAGAATTTAACATAGGACAGTTCAGAACCCAGGGAGTGTCCAGAGAAAGGCATCAAGGCCCAAGAATTAGCAGACACTCTGGGCATGTTCAGCAGTACTCAGGGTATACTGGGTAGTTAAATGAACTTCCCAGGAGAAGTGTGCACTAATAAAGACAGTCCCAGAAATTCCTCCTGCACATAGTTCTCAGAAAGAGCAATAGGGCACAGTGCACAAGGTGGATGTTTTTACCAAGTGAAGCTGTGCCTCAGAGCCTAAGCTTGAACAAGACAGATATGTCGACAGCTCCAAAGTATGACCACTTGAGGGAATTAGCAGAGTCTTGGATGATCATGCCTGGGAGAGGAGAGGTTCACTGAGCCTTCTCAGCCTCTGGCAATCATTTTGCATGCTGGCAAGGAGAACATCTGGGTAGACTGCAGGAGCAACTTGTTATCAAAAGCCCAAAGGGAATGGAGTGAAATACAAGTCTACTTTCCAAATAAATATGGAGGAGAAAGCATGGCCAAGCAGTTTGGTCCATGAAGCATTTACATTGCCATCCAGCCCTGCCCTTCATGATTGTGAAAATCCAAAGAGTGGAGGAGGTGACCAAAAAGTTGTGAGGCTGGGGGCCATGGTGGCTTACACTGTGATCTCAGAGAGCTGCTCCTTTGTGAGGTTCAGTGGCTGGCTTATGACGGTGATTCCATGCTCCTCAGGATTCCTGTCCTTGTGCAGACTGGCCCGCAAGATGGCATTGTGGGCCACATTCAAAAAGCTGACCAGGGCATGCCAGCCTTTGTTGTTAAACCACACCTAGAGGGCAGAGGTGGCATTTGTTCGGCTGTGCCACAACCTGACACCCGAGACTGGCACTAACAAGGGCTGCTTAAAGCAGAATTAGCAACAGGAAAAAGAAGGTGAGGATGAGGCAGGGTTTGGCAGCTGGGAGACATTCCATAAGATTTCAGCAAGAGGAGGGATGGAATTTAATTATGCTGGAAAAACAACAATAAAATAACAGATTCACATCACATGATTTTCTACCTCTATGGCATATTACACAGGTCCAGTACCTTAATGTTGTCTTCAGTTTCAAGATATTTAAGGAAATCAGACATTTCTTTAGAGGCCTCTCTGGTGATAGGACCCTAGATAACCATAAAAAACAAGCAAGAGGGTTCTGTTTTATTTTGTTTGTCTGTGACACTCATGATAATTTCTATTTCAAATCTCCAATCTGTTTACATACCCCGCTCACGTTCATCATCTGGCCAAGTTCACTTAAAAAACCAACAAGATCTTCCCCAGTGATGAGGAGCACTGGGAGTTTTCCTCCAATGGAAATTCCTCCATATCTACAAGGCAACAAGGAATCCTCAGATCCATGCAAGGAACCTCATACCTCCTTGTGACTCTCCCAGCTTCTGTAGGAAAATGCGTACTTCAGGGGGTATTTTCTGGACTAGCAAGCAACACTGCTTCCCTTTGCAAACTAATGTTTGTTTCTGTTTTTTTTTTTTTTTTTTTTTTGAGACAGGGTATCACTATGTTGTCGAGGCAGGCCTCTAACTCCCAGGCTCAAGACATCCTCCTGCCTCAGCATCCTGAATGCTCCACTGTGGGTGTGTGTCATCACACCCAGTTATAAACCAACTGTTAGCTCTTCCCCATTGCTGCTCCAAGGTGAAGGCTGGATCTCACCCTTGATATAGGGCCCTTCTGAGGTTGGCTTCTGCTATTCTCCAACTTCAGCGCTCCTCAGAGCTTCCCTTGAGGGACGTGTTCCAGCCATGCTGAATCTCTTCTAGAGCTCCAAAAGGTCTGGGTCTCCCTTGGGTCTCCCTGCCTTGCTTCCCAGGCTGTTTTCTTTTTCTGAGCATCTGGCCAATTCCAACTCGGCTTTTAACTCTCTCTCTTCCCTCTTTGATGTTTTCCTGACTCTCCTCCACCCCCACGTTTGTCCTTCATGTATTTGTGGTTCCACTGCATGCACTTTATCTAAATGGGGCCAAGCACTGCTGTTCCTGTCTTAATGCCTGTTAGCCCGCCACAGCTTCGGCAGCACCCACCAGCCTGCCTCTTGCTAACTTCTTAACTGGGATCCTGGTCTTTGGCTCCATCCTCCATACTGCTCTGTCTCAAGTGATCAAACTGAATGTGTCACTCTCTGGTTTAAAACTCTTCAAGGGGTCAGACACAGTTGCACACACCTGTAATCCCAGAGGCTTGGGAGGCAGAGGCAGGAGGATTGTGAGTTCAAAGCCAGCCTCGGCAATTTAGTGAGGTGCGAAGCAACTCAGTGAGACCCTGTCTCTAATAAAATACAGAATACACCTAAGAATGTGGCTCAGTGGTCGAGTGCCCCTGAGTTCAATCCCTAGTACCTTCTACTCCAAAAAAAAAAAAAAAAAAGTCTTCAATTCAGGATAAAAGCCAAATTTGACAGAACAAAATAAATTCCCTGGTAAAGCAAAGCAGAGGAGGAAATCCTTATTTCTCAGGATCTAAAATTGCCCCTTCACTCCCACTTTCTGCTTCAGTGGAGGTATTCCAGTTCCCTCTAGTGGCATTTCTAAAAGTTGAATTTCACTTTACAGTCTAGAAGCTACCCAGGAAAGGTAGTCAACATCACCCTTGCACCCATTCCAGAGGCCTAGTCCCTGAGGGAGTGACAGCTCACTCCTAAGTACTCCTTGAAGATTCTCCAAGTCTCTGGAACCACATGAGCCTCTAGGATGGTTCAGGAATGGGGTGAATTCTAGGGCTGGACTAGACCCTCTAAGACCTAAAATGAATAGACCAAGGGAAGTTCAGGCTTATAATCTGAGATTGTATTTCTTATAGCAGTCTCTTACCTCTGTTCGTTGACCCAGAATTTGCTCTTTAAGCTGAAAGCCAAAATAAAAATCAAGCAATAACTATCATAAGTATGACAGTATTAATTTTCCTTCCCAAATAATCATTGGGATGTTTCAGTCTTTAGGACCATTTTAGCAATTTCTGATATCCAGTGTGGAAGCCACCCAGCCTGGAGGCCAAGTCTGGAAACACACAGAGAAAGGACTAATGTTTTTCGCCACTGGATCCCCCAGTCCCCCAGCATGCTGGACTTTCCAAATGGACACATAATCAGCTCACATGTCAGGCTGGTATATCCAGTGTAGACCCAGAAAACATGGCAATGACCATGCCAGTGTGGAGTGAGGGCTATACCCTTACTGTTTTACCTGTACAAACGAGATCCCCTGCACACTTGGGGGAAATTCTGACTTTCCTCACTCAGAGGTAAGACCCTGACTTCAGACAATCAGAGGAAAACTGACAAGATGGGAAACAGGCAGACACCAACCCTAGACCTCAGAGTTCAGGCCCTTTTTCACTGTCATCAATCAGTGAGTAAAAAAAAAAAAAAAATCTAAAATCCCATATTGCAAATGTGCTGTGGAGAGTGGCTGCTGCTTACTGCATTACTGAATCAACTCTGTGCACACTGCTGTTATTTCTGGGCTTGGATGGCGTTCATTTTGCTAACTGTTGGCTTGGCCCTGCCCTCCCAGCAGCTGCTTTCACCATCTGTGGTGTGTTCTAGTCATTTGAGTGTAATTGTCCCTAGTTCAGGGCTCTGGTTGGGAAACCAACTGAAAATACTACTAAAATTAGATGCTATGTTTTATTTTACAGTCCAGACGTGTGGGGACTGGCTCACAATTCCTTAGGATCTGTTGTCAAGCCATTGGCTCTGATAGGGGATGCTGAAGGCCTTCCGTCCCAGAGGTGGGGCATGGTAAGAACAGCTGCAGAGCTGAGAGAACTAGATACGTACTGAAGGGTTCATGGGCATTTTCAAGGGCAGTGATAACAGATGATAACCTAGAGTTGGAGTATGGCCACTGTAGCTAACCTGGTCACCCCTCTCCAGGGGCACTATCACTTTGGACCTAAGGTTGTCCTTTCTCCTTTTGCCTCTTACTTTTCCTTCCTGCTTCTCTTTTCTTCTTCTACCTCTTGACTTACACTCCCCTCTCCAAACTTTTCTCTGTTAACCAGTTAAAATACAAGGCTGCATAACTTAATAAATTCTGTGTTTCTGGTAATATTTTTAATAGTGCCTGGGTTAAACTTTGTTTGCTCTAAATATAAAAATGCAAAATGAAATGAATCTCACATGGTATTTTGCTTGTATATATTTCAGTTGCTTTTTCTCATGGATGAGGCCCTCATATTAGAAATCAGAAAACATTTCACTGCCATGGTTATAGGTAAAGTGTTCTGTCCCTAGTCAATATTGTCTATAGGGGCCCGGGGATGATAAGAATCAAAGGTCTCTTCTTACCTGTTTCTTATAAGAGCTGGATACGTTTTTACCAAGTAGTCAGAAATGTTCCTGTTTGTAAGGTTTTGTAGGATTTCAGTGCTGCGCTGTATTCTCTGAGGCAATGAGACTAACATTAATCACTTTGGAATTTGAGATCTTAAAAATTTGTGAAACTGCTGTTGTTCTCCAAAAATTATTTATGGATTCAGATGCTAAGGAAAATATTAGATAAAGCACTGAAGCTATCCTAGTTTCCATATCAATCATGGGGTAGTCACCTTTGATCCCTCTTCTTTTCCTCCAAACCATTGACAGGATAGGATGGCTTAAGCCATCTGCATCTCTCCAGCTCCAATCTTGGCACCCTAGTCCAAGCTACCATCTAGACCTCACCTAGGTCTACACGGAAACTTCCATTCTGTCTCCATCCTTGGTCTTCCATGTTCCATTCTCCACTCAGCTTCCAGATCAAAATACAAGTCACACACTTTAGCCACCTTGCTTATCACTCGCCAATAAACCCTAAGGTCCAACCCAATCTCATTGTCAAGGCCCTATGGCCCCCTGTAATCTGGCCCTGCCCCCTCTCTGAACTCACCTGCCACCCTCCCTTTTCCACCCATTCTTAGGGGGCACCTCTCCCTCCTGTTATGGCTCTGCACTTGGTGGTTCACTCTGCCTGCAAATTCTCCCTGCAGAACTGCACACAGCTCACTCTCAGTCCACATTTGAGTCCTCACTACCACATAGGCTTGTGTTCGCTTCATAGTGCTCATCTCTGCCTGAGACTTCCTTTCTGATGGACTATTTACTTTTTCTGTTTTCCTTGGTATGATATCACTTCAGGGAGAACAGGGGCTTCCTCTGATTTGTTGGCTATTATGTTCCCAGTTTTCAGAGTAGTCTCTGACACACAGCTGTCACACAATAAATTTGTGACATGAATGAAAGAATTGGAATAGTGCCTTATAATTTACAAATGACTTTGAAAATACATCTAGGACTAGAAGCTAGTTAGTTAATTTAAAATTTTTGGAGAATTCAAAAATGCACAAGCTTGGCCTCCAGGTGGCAATAATACTTCATATTCAGGTATGCATAGTATAGAGTTTATTGTGCTAACCAACTTGGTAGGCTGGTCACGAGCCTTGGGCAACAGCATTCATTCTATCCAGGGTGTGACCTAGGGTGAGCAGGTGTGGGGGTTGGGGGGCATTAAACCACCATCATTATGCACCATTCTTTCATTTTTTTTCTTCACTTTCATCTCCCCCTTGCCGTTCCCACTTGACTTTCCCTCCTTGGTTCACTTTCTTCACTTTCCACTCTCTGATGGAGAACTAGCACCTACTGGATGCTTGCTGAGTGCCAGGCACCATGTTAAGTGCTCTACATACATGATCTCACTTAACCCTGACACTGTTATGAAAGAAGAATTCTTAATTTATAGACAGAGAAACCAAGGTTCAGAAGGTGGGCTAATATGCACTGGGTTGCAGAATGCGTAGGTGGTTGGCCTAGGATTGGAACCCATATCTGTCTGACTATAGTCCTGGCTCTTGCCACTTTACTGGCTGCTTCTCTGCTGTCGATGGTATCCAGGGGAAATGCTAAGCTTCCCTGGTGGAATCCAGGTTGGAACAATTGCTGATGCATGGGATGATTTATGATAATTATTGTTTTCTAAAAAGTATGTCAAATAAAACACTCCTACTTTATCTCCATGTACACTAGAAGTTAGGGAAGAGCATTCCCACCTCAGGACCCTTCCTTCTCTAACATTCTTTCACTGCTGCTGCTGGGTCCTGAGGTGGGAGTGCTCCATCCTTTCTCATTGGGAATGAACCATCCAGAACAAAGCCTCTAGCCCCAGTCTCCCTGGCTGCTGGGTTCTTCCCAGTGACATGTAAATGAAGATGTTATGTGGCAGCTTCTGAAGTTTTCCTTGCACACATTTGCACATTTTGCCCTCTTTTTCTTTATCCCTTCTTCTATTCTGCTATCTGGAAAGTAGAGTGCCATTTTGCCCAGGATTATGGTGGCCTACTTGGCATAGATGAGCAGCAGAACATCATGCACCACCCACATGAATGTGCACATGGGACAGGCAAGAGTTGTGCCTTGTTTCACCCACTGTTAGTTTGGGGTTTTCATCACTTGAGCTGAACCTAATTCTAAGTAATTCTTTATCCACATTATTTCATTCAATCTTCATAATAATACTGCAAAATAAGTACAGTTTTCCTGCATTTCTAGGTGAGAAAAATGAAGGTTCTGAGAGGCCATGTAATGAATCCAGGCCTCCCTCACCCTCATGCCTGTGCTCTTCCCACTGTACCACACTGCCTCTTTGAGGATTGTTCATTTTTGATAAATCACGAGAGGGGCTGTCCAAGGTCATTCTCTGCGAGACAGCTAGGAGGCCATACTGGACTGAATAGGAGGTGTTTGGTAGGAAATGAAGCTTTGGGTTAGTGACTTCCTCTGGGTGGCATAGTGATAAGTTCATCTGGGAAAGACCTCTGAAGGACACAGGGATGCAGGCTTAGCCCCCTGATCTAGCCTTGCTCACTTAACAGTTTGAAATGTTATTTGGATAGAAGCTCAGGAGGTAATAAGCAACCCCCATCCCTGGGACTGCAGGCAGATGGGACCCTGGCTTCCCGTGCTGGGTACCTGTGGGGGTGGGAGCCCCCCAGCACCCTCGGGGCACTCAGGTAGCATGGTGAGCTTCTCTCTGGTGCTGCACTGGCAGGAGGGTGAGGGGTTGGCTGGTGTCCATTTTTGCTTCTGGAACAGGTGGGTGATGTTCGGGGACACTGAGGGAATCTTCCAGGGGGTTGAATTGCCACACGGGTACTCCCTCATGGAAAGCAAGAAGATATTCCACAATCAGTTTCAAAGGTTAATTTAAAAATCCCTAGAAAGGAGAAATAGTGCCCAACCCTCTCCTTTTCAGCCTTTCAACTCCTCTGAGCCATGCATTTTCTCTAGCTATTGAGAGATGGAACAAATTAAAGAGGAATTTTCCTTATTGAAGCTTTGAAAAAGACTAAATAAGAGAAGAAATTAAAATTACATTGAACCAGCTGGGCACGGTGGCACACGTCTGTAATCCCAGAGGCTAGGGAGGCTGAGATAGGAGGATTGGGAGTTCAAAGCCAGCCTCAGCAACGGTGAGATACTAAGCAACTCAGTGAGACCTTGTCTCTAAGTAAAATACAAAGTGGGGCTGGGGATGTGGCTCAGAGGTTGAATGTCCCTAAGTTCAATCCCCAGTCCCCTCCTCCCACCCCCCCCACACACAAAAATTACATTTGAACCTTTAGGATTTCTGGTGAATTTCAACTCACCCCTACAACTCCCTTCTCTATACTTAAAACAATAATTGAGAGCTGGCCATAGAAGTCATTAATGCCAGTTAGGGTTCAATTATACAACAGCATATGCTCCATCTCCCTCCTGCCCCTGCTCAGGAGGCCTTTCAAATAAATTAAGGGGACTCATATATCAACTCAATATGGAATTTTTATATTAAGAAATACAGAGCTTTCCAATGTTGCAGGAGCTACCTGGGAGGTAGTGACTGCCCTTGCACACAGTGCTAAAGAAGAGGCTGGGTAAGCACTGGTCTAAAACAGGAAAGTGGTCCACAAAATACGAAGCAGGGCGGAGGGTGTCCCTCCCATCCCTGCCAACCCAGACCCTACTGCCAGGCTCCCAGGGGAGATATGGTGTCAGGACAAGGGGGCAAAGGAACTCACAGAAGCCACTCTTCCTTCAGGCAGCGGTTGCCAAAACCTGGCTTGTTCAGGAGGACGTCTGCCAGTATCTCAAGGTGCTTGTTGCCAGGCTCATCCATGCTAGACAGAGTGAGAGAGGCTTACCTGGTGGTCACGTGACTGTGACGGAGTGGACAAAAGCAGCCCACATCCAATTCAAAGCATTTAGGGAATGGCTACTACATGCCAGGCATGTTCATAAAGCTCTGAATGCTGCCTAGGGATGGTTGTAGGTCTCCTAGGAATGGGGTGGGCTGCATGAATAAACCTAGAAGACCATCTACACCTCAAAAAGATGGCTCCTCTGCTCACTTTCCCCACTTTGCATTCTCTTTTCTTACTCTCTGTTTCTAGGGAATGGCAGTACATTAACTTTTTTTCTGAGGGAAACCCAAGGACCCCTGCTGTATTGGTGGAGATCTCAGGGAAGTGAGGAAGTCAGAGCCCTTCCAGGCAGCATGTAGCCTAGGAGCTCCACACTATGGAGGATAATGGTGACCTCTGGGAACAAGTTTGTGTACCTGAAGAAGGTGTACTGCTGCCCATATATCCAGGGGTGGAGGGTCAAGGCAGGGTATTCACCAAAAGGAGGTACAATGATGGAAAGCACCAGAGCCAAGAACACAAAAGTGGCTGGGAGCACCATCTGTGGGAGAATACACATGGACACACGGCTGTGGTATAGAGATATAAACACAGCCTCATGGTCAGATCCTAATGGAAGATGGGATTCTGGGGGAACAAACAGGGTGTACAAAGACAGGATATGTAAAAGAAAACAGAATGTTCTTGTGGCCATCAAAGAATCTGAATATAGGCAATGCTCAACCAGAGGCTAAAGGTCAACTCAAAGAGCAAATCACATGACTTCCCATTCTTTGAAGCAGAATTTCTTTTTCTGAATGAAAAATAGGAAAAGAAAAATGAGGAGAATGACCTGCACATATATAGTGTCAGTGTAAAAAGGAGTGAAAACATGACTTTGCCTTTCTCTGTAATAAAGAAGAGCAATATTAGCATATTCACTGCTATTTCATTTTCTTTGATGAGGGAGGTTCAGTTCTCATAAAGAAGGCTTTTATGGCTCTGAATCAAAAGAAAGGTTTGGCAGGGAGAAAGTGAAGTAGGCAGGATGTAAAGAGGGTGCTGCGGGCTGTGTTTGTACCCACGGGCCTGTTGGGTCCTGGGCAGAGTGAAAGAGCACAGCCGAAGAAGCCCTTGGGAATACCTGGGCCAGGAAGTCCTTGCGGCTGCGAGTGGCGTGGTGGAACCGCTTGATCAGCAGCGCCTGCACGTGCTGGAGGACTAGCCGCAGACCAGTGTTGAGTACTGTGCCCCTGTCTTGTGGCTCCAGGGGAGGCTGCACTGGGGAGCAGGTGCTGGAGCTCTGGGCAGCCTGCTGGGCCTTCTCACTAGGAACCAAACAGGGATGTCGCATGCTGGCATGTTCCCTTTTCGTCTGAGTGCCATCTGTTTGGGAGATCAAATTATTAATTTGGAAAGCCAGACAAGATCTGGACCTCATGTGCCATTTTTCTTGCAACATTGATTTCCCCTTCATTCTAGATCAGCAACAAAATACCAGACCAGGCAGATTAAAAATCTCTTTAAAAATCCATTTACAGTGTAGATTCTGAACAGGTAAAATTACCTGAAATTGCTTGAAAATTCCCTTTTATCATTAAAGAGAAGAAAATATCTCTGAATGCACTGACATAGAGATCTAAAACAACTTAGTACAAAAAAAAATAAGGTGCAGAATGATCTGTGTAATAAGTTCATGTTTATGTTAGAAAGTTCATGACATCTTAAGTATATGCACACATAACTACTGTCTAAAAGAATGCATACCATGTCAACAGAGGTACCACTGGTACCACTGGGTCAGATGGGGGTGCGTGAGGAGGAGAATTTCAGCCTTTTGGGTATTTAAATTTTTAAACAACAAAATACATTCACTTATTACTTAAGGGAATATATTTTAAGTGTACTTAAAAATTAAATTACAGTCAACTTCGTTCTTTCTGAATTTTTAGAGGGCACTGAGAAGTAGAGAAACCAGTGAAGTAGGAGTTAGCAGATCTGGGGGTGATCCTGATTCTTACAAGATGCATACATTTGGGGAAGTGACTCAATCTGTGTGAATCTATTTTCTCATTTGTGAAATGAAAATGAGAACATGTCATAAAATTGCTTTGAAGATTAAATGAGATAACACATGTAACTGTGCTTTATAAACCATGCAAGTTGCCATTTACTTTATAGTTCATAGTGACTAATTGCTATTTGTTTGCAAAACATCTGTTGTGGACATGGAGAGTCTATAGGACCACTGTTTGGTCCCCAGCTACTTTCTTAATAGCCTCAAGTTCTCCAGGACAAGGGCAATTGTAGATAGTTGGATCAGCTCAGTCATCCATTTGCCTAACATTCATGGGGGACCTATGAAGTACCAGGCCTGGGATGTGACAGCCCTAGTGACAAGAAGCCCCAGCCCTTACACATAGAGAGGTGGGGGAAGTTCTGTAGGTTCACTGACCTCCAGGCATCAGAGTCTCAGTTCTGCATCCTCCTCTTCCTGACCTGGGCTCCCCAGATTTGATCTCTGCAGGGGTGGGATCCCTGTTGCTTCTCCCCTTTGCTGCCTGACTCATCTCAGTCCTCTGATGGCCCCAACCAGACTGGAGCCTACTATCCCCCATGCCCGCCCCCCTGCCCCCCACCAGAGCTGAAGGGCTCTGGACCTGTTCAGCTGGTTTCTGTTGCTCTCCAGTAGTCTCTGGCTCTGAACTACTCTTTCAGAAATGGCACTGACCTTTTGGTGTTTTAGGTTACTTCAGACTTTGGGGACAAGATCAGAAAATGTCATTTTCTAAAACTGAGCTAATCTAAAACAAATGTACTTTGCCATCTGAAAAGTGTGTGTGTAAGGGGGCAGCTAGTGAGAATAGAGAACTGAGGATTCTAGCTTTGAGAGTAAGACCCAGAAGCCTGTGTGTTTCTAGGAAAGTCACCCAACCTCTGTGAGCTCAGCTTCCCTGCCCTACCTGCCTCAGGAGATTGTGATAATAATCAAATAACACAGTGGATATTAGGTGCTTGTCAAGTATAAAGAGTGACTTGAGTCTGAGGTAAGAGGTGACTTGTAGATGCTGACATGAGAGTGTCGCTATCTTGATTAGAGATCACATGTGGTGCTAAGACTTGACATGCATTATCTCATTTAATTCTCTCTACTACTCTAAAGGATAGGTGCTAGTATTATCCTCATTTTGCAGATGGGGAAACTTAGGTACAAAGAGGCTAAGAACTTACCCAAAACTACTCAGTTAGCAAATTATGGAGCTCAGGTTTGATGTTTGGCCTGCTTCACTCTTAACCTCTACCCTTGACTGTCTCTTTGAAATATCCTAGTATCTACTGACCAAACAGTTTTCAAATAGAATAATTATTAAAGAGGAGTATTCTGTGTAGATAAATGGCCCTAACTTCTCAACTCTGCATGACTTTTAACAAAAATTAGCATATTTGCATTCTGATCTTGGTTAATGTAAGTCTTTGTTTTGGGATAAATTGTATCAATTTCTGTATCCACAAGGCTCAAAGAAAACCTGGTGAGCTGCTCTTCTCCTCCCCATAGGACAGCCCCTCCCCACACACTGTGTCATGATGACCATCTCTTTGGGCCATGATATATGGCCTGGTACGTGTGGTCAGTTCTAGGCAAAACTAGGATAAACACTTGGGATCACTTAGAAGTAAGTTGAAAACCATATTATCATACAAACTGGTACCAGAACTCCTACAGGGAAAAAACTCTGCATGGGAAAACACCATGATGTGCCACACTGGGTAGGAGAAGATAAGCAGTGGCACAGGTAGTCTCAGGAGCCCAAGGCAGCAAAGGAGAATTGGTGCCCATCTTTGCCTGTGAACAGGAGAGGGGGCCTAGCAAGAGAGCTCTAAAAGCCCAGGTTGATGCTTCTTGTTCTATCACAGGTGGTTTGTGTTGGGGCAGATGAATCACCTCCCCTGCACTTCCATCTCCCCATCTTTCTCTGCAGTAGAGCCTACTCCACCCACAATGCCTCTTGTGATCTCTGGGTTTGGTTAAAAATCATGAAAGGATTCCAGCCTTACACATGTGGAAGGGTATCCCAGAATTCACAGTAATTCTGGTCCCCACATATTCAAAGTCCATATGCCACCAACTGAGGGTTTGCAGTGATTTTGTCTTTATCTCTCAGGAACCAGAGGAATCTAGCTGGCATCTGGGTTGTATTAACAGTCACCATTATCTCAAAGGACTTTGCTAGCTGTCACTCATGCAACAAGAATGGATCAGAGACCTGGTGGATGAGAGATGAGAATGGCCACATGGCAGAACAAGAGGCTGAGGATGTAGAATAAGTCTGGAGAGAAAGTAACAATCTGACCTCCATGAGAACCCCGATTCATCTGGAATGTTCCTACCCAGGCCTAATTCAGTCTCTCATTCCTTTGTTATCCCAAGGCACCAAGAATACAAAATGCCTGTTATTTGGGGGTCAAACACTATAGAGGAGAATTTGCATGTGTGGCTTTTTTGTGACTTTTCCTTTAGACTTTCAAGACAGAGTCTGGGTGTGGGGAAGAGAGTGGCAAGCCACATACCCCAATACCATACCAGCAAACAGAGGTCCTGAATCAGAATCTTCTGTGACCTTCAGAAAAATCTGTCAAGAAATAAAAGAGAGAATTTGGTAGGCATTCCTACTCTCAGAAAAATCTAACCAGGGTCCATTTTGTCAGGTATTGCTTCATAATGGGAAAAAAATGCAATATGGTCTTGATTCAAGAACATAATCTCCTATAAATGCAAAAATGCAAGCATACAGTGAGCACAACTACGTAAAATATGTATGCATGAGGACAGAAGCAGGAGGAAGTAAGCCCAAAATGAGGATAATTGCCATGCTTGGGTGGGGAATTATGCCTTTTTACTTCTATAAAACTTCACTATAGTGTTAGACTTTCACAGAGAACTGCCTCTTCTGGCACCTGACAGAAGCCTGCTGGAATATCTGTGTTACCTCTTCCAGGGGAGTGTCAGAAATGCCAAAACTGCTGAGCCCCAGGTCGGCCAGCGTCTCCTCCAGCTCCCTGAAAAGGCTGGCGTATGCTCTCTGCTTGAAATTCTTATTTGGAAGTAGGAAGATGAGTTCCTGACCAATGCATTCCACCAGCTTTGCCTCTGGAACATGGTGGCAAACCACATCCATCAGCTCGTTCACATCCCCTAGCACAAGAAAAAAGACTGAGGTCAACTCTATTCTCCAGAACCCAGAAGACTGTGAGACTGTGAGGTATTCCATTTTCTTCCACCTCCCATTTGAGAAAGGGGCATTTGGTGACTCAGTAGTGACTCTTTCAGAGGACTGACACTCATCAAGTCTGTTTTGAGCTAGTAGGCCTGCAGTGACCTCTGAAAGGAGAAAGGAGCTGGAAGTGAGCCTGTTCCCCACTGACTAGCCATGCAGCCTCTGGGAGGTCATGCAATGTCCCTGTGCCAGTTTCCTCCTTTGTTCTATCAAATGTTCTGTCACCTCAAGCTGTGTTATATTGGAGAGGTCCTATCCTAATTTTATCATCTGTGAAAAGGGAGAAATAACAGTATCCACTTTGTTGTGAGGATTACATGAGATAATACACATAAAGTACTTGGAGTGGCATCCCCACCACCACTCCACCAGGTGACTGTTAGCTGCTATAGCGATCAGGACATCATCTCAGGGAAGAAAGCTCTTTGCTCATTCCATTTCACTGAAAATGTAAGAGTTAAGTCAAAGTTGCTTCCATTTTCCTGGTAGGACACAAGCTAGCTATAGGGGACTTATCCAAGATGCATGCCTAGAACAGGTGACCAAAATGAGTGAGAAGCCCCCTTCCTAAATTACACACCCCTGCCTGACCTAACTCCTTGGAGGGCTGCATCATTTCCCTTGGGACTGCACATGCCTCTTCAAACAAAACAAAACTTAACACCCAGCTCTCAGGAATTTCAGGAAGCTGAGAAGCCACAGAGAGAGGCTGGGGTGGAGTGGGATGTGCAATGTGTAGCAGAGACTGTGGGCAAATGTCATTGAGAATTTACTTGATGCCCTTGTACAGTTGGAATTGATTTTTTTTTTGCACAAGCATATGTTACTTTAAAATTAAAAACTAAATTTAAGTAACTTCAAAGCATGCACCCGAAGAGACAGTTCCCCAGCACATTGATAGGCAGGTCAAAGGAAAAGGGATTTTGGCAACTCAGAACGTGACTCTTTAGAAAGCAGTTCTCTTAGAGATTCAGGGTCACCAGGGGATTCTTTTCTTTCTTTGTTTTAAAGAGACCTTTTTGGAGGACTTTCATGGCTTTCAATCAAAATGTTTCTGCCTAGCTGGATTGAAAGTTTTATTTTATGTCAAATTTGCAAATCGGACTTGGTCATCTTTGGTTCTCGGGTCATTTCAGACAGAGGCTGGGTAGTTCTTTACATAAGGAAGCTGCTCTGCCCTAGTGGCTCTGTGGGGTCATGCTCAGTGTTCTCTTAGGAAGGAAATGGAACCTGAAGTCACTGGATTCCCAGGAACCATGTGCCAGCCTTTCAGAGGGAGCCCTACCAGCCAGCAGTGCTCTCAGCTCTGGCTGCGAGGTCCATGAGGGGGTATGTGGGTGGCAGGGGAGCCATCCAAGGAGCTACCTGGGATTAAAAGTATCTCCCCTCCCTTATTTCGGGCACAACTTCTTACAGCACTTCCTACAATTCAAAGAATCCCTATTCTAGTCAAAGAAAGCCTTTACTGGGAAATAAAATAACAATTAAATACATCATCCTAGCCAGATAGGCCCTAGTTTCCAACTTGGATTTTTGGTGGTCCACAGTAACTAAAAATATTAGTATTAATTAAAATAAAATCAAATTCTTGACCAGGATTCTGAGGAGGAAGCTTCAGAAAGCTGGGATACCCTCAGCAAGGCAGGCAAGGCATGAGGAACAGTGACGTCACCCTAAACATATGTTTTCTGTTCATCCCAGGCTCTGTCAGTGCAGAGTGTGGGGAGTAAATATTAGCAGTGGAACTCTGGGTATTTCCCCTCAAGTTATAAACATAGTATATAAGAATTGTCTGGCTTTCTTGTCTCATCAGATTTCACTTAGTAAATTCTGTAGGTTTAGAAAAAAAATATGCTAAATAGGAAACTTCATTAACCTGGGATAGTACATTAAATTTAATTTTGCTTCTACTTAGGATTTTAGGGTATGTGATATTCCATTTGCAGAGACTTCCCAAGGAAGGCATGGGAGGTGAGCATCAGTGAAGAATGGAAACAGTGTCCCAAGTTCTCTGGATCCTAGAGCTCAGATCCTAGGAGGTGAGGGATTGTGTATACAGTGATGGCCTCCACTGAATCTCTGGGGGTGAGGGAGAGTCCCTGAGAGCTTCAATGCACCCTCATTAAGGGGAGAATCTCTGGAAAATTGGGAAGCTAAGGGGAGAGTTAGAGTATAACAGGAGTGTGGGGCATCATGGAGACCATCCATACAGGCCATCTCTTAGTGAAAGTTCACTGTAAGAGCTGTGCATCATTGTGGTTCCACCAGAGGGCGCTAGGTGCACCTTTACAAGAGGATCTCTCCAGACAGGAAGGAATATTCCCTGGAGCCTGGGTAGGAGGACCTCAGGAATGGAGGCTGCATATGGGAAAGGGCATAGAGTGAACATACGGAATTCCTCATTAAAGGGAGAGAGTGGTGCATGACCTTTAAATGCCATGGAGAATGGAGTAAAGAGGAGAAAGAAGCTAAAAAATAAAAAGATGAGCAATTGCATGACTTTGCCCCCACGCCCCCTTCCCAGCCTTCCAGAAGTACAAATGTTCTCTTTGCTCCCATTCTAGTACAACATGACAGGACACCCCCAGCAACACCAGGTGATGATCACTAGACTAAAATGGAAATACATAGCCTTCCCCAGCCCTTACCATCCAAGACTTGCTCTGGAGTTATCTCATCAATGCGGGTTGGACACTTGACAGAGAAATCCTTAGATGCACAGCTGCAGGTGCCCTACAATGGATGGACAGGAATGACTGACAAGGTACACATCACTTCAACAATAGCATCTCTCTGATGCCAAGAGCTGTCACCACCTGCTTGGTTTGTTTCTCACCACCAATTGTGTTTTTTCCTGCACTGTTTAACCTACTAATTCACTGGAGCATTTTGAGGGTGTAGCCACTATATTTTACCTTGGAGAGTGTGTGAGTCAGGGAGAAGCAGAACCTCAAAGGATCTCTTTGGCTTATCATTAATCAAGTGGCAGCTGTAGGTTCTGCTCACATTCTGTTCCTCCCTCCCCATGGACATGCACTGGTCTGTGGAAATCTACCCAAGACAGGAAGCCCACAGCAGCCAGACACTTTAACCACAGGCATAAATAATCCTACAATATAATGCTTGTGACAATTTGAATGTGAGCAATGTTTGTTCTCAAGAGCACATTCATGATAAATTATCTCATATATCTCCACTACATCCCTAAGAAGCAGAAGCAGAGATCATTAGTTGCATTTTCCACGTGGGAAAAATAACAGCAAAGAAGTAATTTGCCCATGATACAGTATGTACACTTCCCAGCCCATTTCTGGATCAAGGTCTCCTAACATGCTAAGTGGTCTCTGCAGGTTATGCATTTTTTTTTCCCCTTCACAAATCTATTTATTTATTTATGGTACCAGGGATTGAAACCAGTAGTGCTCAAGCACTGAGTCACATCCCCAGTCCTTTTTTATGTTTTCATTTTTAGATAGAGTCACGCTAAGTTGCTCAGGGTCTCATCAAATTCCTGAGGCTAGCTTTGAATCCTCCTGCCTCACCCTTCTGGGCTACTGGGATTACAGGCATGTGCCACCATGCCCAGATTGCTTCATCAATTTTAGGTTACAGTTCCCAATGAGAGTTTCCTTAGCTTTCATTTATTACTGGAATTCAGGTTTAATTAGGAAATGTGAATTTTGGGGATTAAAAAAGGAAGTTTCAGGGCTGGGGTAGTGGCTAAGGGTAGAGCACTTGCCTTGCAAGTATGAGGCACTGGGTTTGATCCTCAGCACCACATAAAAATAAATAAATAAAATAAAGGTATTGTGTTCATATACAACTAAAAAAATTTTTTTTTAAAAAAGGAAGCTTTAAACATCTACTATTTTTGGGAGGTGTGGGGCAGTCCCAGGGATTGAACCACAAGCCTTATACGTATTTGTCAAGTACTGTATCACTGAGCTACATCCCCAGCTCATAACTCTTCAAGCAGTTCAACTTTGCAGGATAAGATGCTTCCAGGTTGCATCTAACCACCTATCCACAGGTTGGGATATTGGTGCGAAATCATTTCAGTTTTTTAAAACTAGTTGTTTCATTTTGGGAGACACACCTCTGTAGGAGGGTTCAGGACGTAATTATCAAAATCTCCTGCAAATGGTCTCAGAAACAAAGAAGCTGGTTCTGACAGCTAGGGCTCCAGTGGGTAGAAATGTCTGGAGTGGCCACCCCCGCCCTGTGTTCCCTCTCACCCAGGATGGGCTCCTTCCCAGGAAGACATGTACCTCACAGCCACTTCTTTGACTCTGGATGTTTTTCATCTTGCGAACCAAGGTCAAGTAGAAGCCCTTGCCAAAGCAGTTCTTCAGGAAGAGTGGCGTGCCCGAGCAGTAGAGTCTTCCCTGGGAGATGATGGCAATACGGTCGCCAAGGAGGTCTGCCTCGTCCATGTGGTGAGTGGACATGATGATGGTTCTGCCTGCAGGGGGGTCAGGGCCATGTACAGAGGATCAAACCCAGGGCGCTTAATCCCTGAGCCACATCCCCAGACGATTTTTTGTATTTCATTGAGACAGGGTCTCCCTGAGTTCCTTAGGGCTTCACTAAGTTGTTGAGGCTGGCTTTGAACTCATGGTCCTCCTGCCTCAACCTCCTGAGTCACTGGGATTATAGGTGTGTGCCACTGTGCCCAGCCACACTGTCATCTTAATGGGTACTCTGAGCCCTGCCTGCTGTCTCTTCTGAATTTGAGCCCTTTGGAAGGTGCCAGGACAGGGATGAACAGGTCCCATTCTGAGACATGTCCCTCCGCAGCACCCAATACCCAGCACACTGCCCTGGCACCTGGTTCCCAGTGGTCACCTGACAGCTAGGGAGCTTATTTTTGTTTGTACAAGTCTCCTTCACTAGATGGGAATTTCATTTAGAGCTGCACCCAATGTTCCAGACAGAAGGACTGGAGGTTGAGATAGGTTTCTAGAATATTTTGGGAAGTAGGCTGCTACCAGTGACTCCATTTTTATTTATTAAAAATCTCAGGAAGTTTTAACTCATACTTCAATTCATAGATAAAGCCCACCTGAGTGTGGTTATGGCTGTTAGTATACTCAGCTGCAAAACACCAGGGATGAGAGAGCAGGGCCCACAGGGAAAGCCCCAGTGAGAGCACCAGGCACTGAGCAGTGGCTGTTACCCGAGCGATACTTCAGGAGCAGGTCCCAGATGGAGCGTCTGGAGTAGGGGTCCACCCCAGAGGTGGGCTCATCCAGGATGACCACCTTGGCATCTCCCACAAAAGCAAGTGCAACGGACAGCTTCCTCTGCATGCCACCTGGAGGCCCAGGAGGATGGAGGATTACAGGGAGGATAAAGAGAAAAAAAAGAAGAGAAAAAGCCCAGGAAGAGAAAAGGCCAGGGTTGATGCCAGCATATGGGGGCACCTTAAATCTGGCAGGGGTTTGATGCTGTCTCCTGAGAGGTCTAGAGAGAGTTCAGAACTCTACTGGAGTTGAGGGGAAGCCTTGTAAATGCAAAAAAGACCCTTACTGCTAAGAACCTGATCATTGGAAGACTTCTCTTCTCACACTTTAGTTCAAACATATAAACATCAGAACAAATAAAGTCCAGCCTGACTGCAAGACAGAATTCCATGTGGCAAATGATCCAAGGGCAGCTGCTCTTAGATTGTCAGAGTAGCTTCACAGAGTGTTCCAACTCTTAGGTGCTTTCCTGTTACAAGCACCCCACCCCCACTCCCACCCCAATTCCTCCAGTTTCTCCAACCCTGGACTCCTAGGTGCACTGAGAAGCAATGGATGTGCCATCCTTGGCCCTGTCACCTTCCAACACCAAGCACCTGAAAGATCCTGTGCTTCTTCATTCCTCTTGTGGTGAAGGCCTGTATCCTCTAACATGGCTTCCATCCCCAGCTGGGCCTCCTCCCAGGACTTGCCTTTCAGCTGGGCATAGAAGAGGATGTGCTCAGCCACTGTGAGGCTACCAGGACAGAACAAGGAAAGCAATGGGCTCAGCAATTGACTTCTAGTAACTTATTTTTTATAGAAATAATTCAAGATGACCAAAAAAAAAAAATGCAACAATCAAAATGCTACAAGTTCACTGAGGTATTGTTCCTGATACAAATGCAAAACATACACCAGATCTGGCCTAAGTATCTATTAGAGAGCTTGGCTTAATAGTTCATCTTATAATGAAATATTATGTAAACATTGCAAATTAATTTATAAAGGAACATGTAATGACATGAAAAGATATTCATATCCTAGGTTAAAAAAAGAAATCACATTTCTAAAAAAGTCAGATTACAAAATTATATGCATAGTTTTTTTCTTCTTTATAATTTCAAAGAATGTATATATGTCTATGCATGTGTAAGAGAATGTTTTGAAAAATTATACACCCAGGTGTTAACCATAGTTGTCTCTGCATGGTGAAATTACTGGTAATTTTTATTTTCTTCTATTTGTTTAGCTATCTTTTCTTACTTCTTCCCTCCCTTTCTTTCATATGACTATATCTAAATATATACTTATTTATATGCTTTCACACTATATCTAACAATATATAGATTTTTAGATAAGAAATAAAATATATTTTAATTGAAAAAAATAAAAAAAAGAGTGCTCCAAATGTTCTGAAAGTCAATCCTTAGTGCCCTGGTTTAGAAGAAGAAAAGGAACCAGGTTCTCCTCTCTTTGATCCCCGATGGGAAATACTTCAGGGCTGAGCAGGGGGCCCAGCCACTGTCATAAAGAAAAGAGTGTCACTCTTCTGAGGGGAGAGACCTCAACTCTGAACACCAAAGGCACAGTCCCATGTTCAGAGGGACAATTCTCAGTGCAAGCCAGACAAGAACCTTGAACAAAGGGGACATCAGCTAAGAGCATCACCACATGTACCCAGACCAGGCGCCCTGGGCGAGACTCTAGAGAACATATGTGCTGGGGCGGGAGTGAGGATGGGAGATGGAGGCATCTCACCCCTGTTTTTCTTACTGTTGGAACAGGATGTTGTGCTGTGGACACATGCCGAGGCTCTGACGGACTGCATCCAGGCTGGTTTCAATGTCCTTTCCTGCAATGAGCACAGTCCCTGATGTCGCCGGCAATAGACCTGTCAAGATGGACCTGCAGAATGCAGGAGCAGGGGTGGAAGAGATGGTCCTTAGGAACTTGCATTGGGAGAGCAGCCAGTGTGAGGGGGTCCTCACCAGGGTGAGGACTCTCATGGTTACTCCTGCTCATGTCTCTGAATCAAACTCAGGTTCATCATTAGCAGCAGGACCCAAAGTTTCCCATACAGAGACTAGCACCAGTGTGTACATCAAGGCCCTAATGGAGAGGAGCAGAGAACGAAGGCAAATGTGGCCCTCTGCTTCCCCTTATCCCCTGGAGCTCTCTGGCAAGCACTAGTGGACTTCGGGGATTCTCAGCCTCAGAACATTTACTTGCAGGCCTTGAGCTCCCCCAGCTCTAATTCAGCCCTCAGTCCCTGGTGCCAGAGGAGCTCAACAAAAGGTTTTCGGTGTATGGCTTGCTGCTCTGCTTTCTGGGTGAGCAGTTGCTGATATCGACAAGCTAAGGTGTCACCATTACAAGACCAGGAAGGCCTTAATGAGGTGAGAAGCTGGCACATCTAGGCATTCACTGTACCAGTTGATCAATTGACTGAAGCCAGATCACCACCAAAAATACCATCGTTGGAGCCAAAACACAAAAAGTCTAAAAGCAATGATGCATGTTTTTTTGTAAAGTGGGAAATAATGGCCCCCATGTGCTGAGGTGCCTGGTCTGGGTACATTAGAGTTAATACATTTGATGCATTTAGCACAGCACCAGCATTAAGAAAAACTAAAAAATATCATTACCATTTTTACTAAACACTGTTTCAACCCCAGGGGAAACTGTATTTCTGCAGCTGATGAAGTAATGTGTTTTCCTGGGAGAAGTTCTGGGGTTCTGCCTGAATGATATGTCCAGCTCTCTGACCATATTAATTAATAAGAAAAGAAATCAGACGATTTAGTGCCGCCACACCCAGCTCTGTTCCTGAGTTCTGATAAAATCTCAGGCTATCTGAATTTACACTTAGAAGCTGGAATCTCTGTCATTCAACCACTAGAGGAAAACAGAAGCAAATATAATGGCACCAGCCCCACATTCCATTCACACAGAACAGCCCAAGAGCACATTCCTGTGTAGGGTATACACTTGCTATTCCTTCCTAGGCCTCTGCAAGAAGCCAAGGATTTAAGACTGCATATCACATGGGCTGTTGTCCTGAGAGGTCTGCATAGGAAAGCTTGGTGGCTGTGTTCTCCTCAGCAGATGGCACTTGGGCCACTTAGAGAAGTGTGAGGTTCATGCACAGCCCTGTGTCTTGCCTGGATTTGGCCTTCAGTTACCAGGCTGCTAGCCCAGGTCCATGTAGAGACTGTGTCCTTTGTACTTTCTCTAGAACTGGGACCAGCATTTATTGGGGGCCCCATGCTGATATTGAAACCTACCTAATAACTGGCAGGAAAAGGAATAATCCTTAAAAATAAGTCTTGCTCTACAGACCCGGGGCATGGGATGGCGAGGGCCATGACACTATTACTATCATGGATGATAATGATGCTGAAGAGACTGGGGAGAGGGGAGAGTACTCAAGGCTTTAGAAGCAAGAGGTGGTTTGTGGCAGCAGGGCCTGGCTCATGTCACCATGTAACCATTATACTCAGTGCTTCAGGAAAGTCCCCTAAACTCTTAGAATGTCCAGTTCCCTGGCACACAAAGCAAGCACTAAACTAACTCTGTTTCCCTCTTGTTGCTTCTTAGGAAGATCAAATTAAAACCAAAATGTGAGTGAGCTTTGACTATTGAAATATCCTTTACAAATTCTCAGGGCCAGAAATATAAAGTGAATTTTGTCAGTAAAACTCAGTGAGAAAGAGTAGATTGCAGCTAACAGGGGAAGAACAAAGCCAAAAAATGGCAGGGTGGTGTGGCCTCTGCCAGAAAACTCACAAGGTGGTGGTTTTCCCTGCTCCATTGTGACCTAGGAAGGCGGTGATCTGGTTCTCATAGAAGGTAATGTTTAGACGGTCCACTGCTGGTCGGGTACCAGGCTCAAAGATCTTTACCAGATTCTTCACACATACCCCAGGAACCAGCCCTGGAAGCTCACGTTCAAAGAAGGAGTCTTGAGGAAAACAAACAACATGATATAGACCCAGTGCCTTAGCATACACGCTCCTCACGGTTCTTTCTTCAGACCACTGTCTTCTGCCTATAATTTCCCTGCCCTACCCCAACCCCGTCCTTGCTTCAGCTATGACCTTTGTAAGGAAAAGCAGAATTACAATGAGATAATAGTATTGAACATTTATTTAGCACTTATTCTGTGCCAGGCACTGTTTCAAGTGCTTTCCATGAATTACTTCCTTTCACACTTAAAACAGCCAGCCCCTCCTGGTAGATATTACTAGGCTCATTTCTATAGGTGAGGAAACCCAAGACAGACATCAAAGTGTCCTATCAAGGTCACAGGGCTCAAAAGTGGCAGAGCTGGGATTTGAACCCAGAGCCCATGTTCATCCTAGAGCATCCATGGTCCATGCATACAGTTAGCCCTAAGCTCTGTCTTCAGTCCCAGACCCTTGTTTCCTGTGGTCTGTGGGATTCCTCATGGATTTCTGGTAGCAGCTCAGACTCCTCATATTCTTCCCCAGACAATGGTTTCCTTCAGATTCCCCCATGTCCATTCCTGGAGGCACCATTATCCCAGACAACCTTGGCTTGAGTCTTTGAGTCCACTTTGACCACAGCTGACTTCTTACTCCTTGGAACTCCAGGATGGGCCACGCTTCCTCAGCACTGTCCCTCAAGCCTTGTCCTCCTTTCTATCCTCTCCTATGTAGACTTATCATGCTTTGCCCTTGTCCCTACCCACAGCCTCATTCTTCTTGGTTGGTGCACGGTGTTTAACTCTATATAGCACACTTCACTGGTTGTCTGAATATTGTAGGTCTAGGCATTTGCTCTCTGCAAAATTAAAAACAACAACAACAAACAAACAAACAAAAAAACCCTTGCTTCTTCTCTCTGTGCCTCCTGGCCTGGCCCGTAGGTGAGTTGGAACCAGTCTCCAGTCTCCCCAGCCCCCAGTCTCAGCCTTGTCATATACTCTGGGATGAGGGTCTTCCAGAGGCACTGTTGCCTGCAAAACAGCTCTGTGGGGGGAATTGCTGGCTTCTGACTTTAGCTTTGTGAAATGGTATCTGGGGTATGTGGAGGCTGGATCTTCTCTAGCAATGTCAGGCCAAGTTAGAGGCTGTGTTCCTCTTTAAGCTCTAACATCCCCAGAGAAATGCACATGCTTAGGGTTGAAAATCCTTGGGAGAAACACAGAATTGATTCAGAGGGAAGATAGAGCAGCCAGAGCCAGGGACACAGACTAATGAACCTGGCCTTTTAGTCCAGAAAAGATTAGGTAACTTCCACTGTCAGGAAAGGCTTTTGATTGTTTGAATGAATGGGCTTCTAGATTTGTAAATCATGAAGTGCAGTAAGCTCCGCTAGACTCTTTCCCCCTTCACACAGAAGCATTTATTTTTGTCTTTCTTTATTGCTCATGTCTGCTTAAAGTCCCAGTGACCCAAGTCATTGTTCTTGCTAAATCCTTGGAAGTCAGCATATTAATGCAACTCACTTGAGATCTGCCTAACAAGGGCACAAACACAGTACAGACTCGGGATTTGCTTTCTCCAGGAAATATGCGTTAATGTCTGGGCTGAACAATTCATTCCCCACACGTGCACCTGGACATGAGGTTCAACAATGGTCAACAGAGGGAGTTGGTTTCCTGGGCTTCATTTCACCCATCCTGAGCTGTTTTGCTCTGGCCTTTAAAGGGTGCACAGCCTTTCCCTTGCTTCTGCTCTTTATTAGGGTTTTACCATTCTTTCCTCCTAGGTGGTCCGGATCCTCCATTTCCTCTGTTAGGGGTTCAGTCTTTTCCAGGGCCCTCTCTTCTCTGGTTGAACACCCTGCACCAACCAGAAGCCAGTGTTACTGTCCCAGTGAGAGCTGAGAATCAGCAGGAACAGGAAAGGAGGGGAGATGTAGGGGGAGCAAGTGAGTTTTCCACCACAACAGGAAAACAGTCCCCTTAGAAGGCTGAGCCAGTGCCCCTGTGAGACCAGCCCCTGCAGGCCCCCTGGTCTGTCCTACTGAAGAGCTCCAGCCTCAGCGTGCAATCTCTGCCAAGCCCAGGGGCGTTTTGGAATTGGAGTTTCAGAATTAGAGTTTCACCTCATCCTCTTGCTTTTTCTTTTTCAGTGGTGCTGAGGATGGAACCTGGGGCCTCAAGCATGCTAGGCAAGTGCTCTACTGCTACCCTGCCTCCTTCATCCTTTGAGTGTGCCAGGGAGGGCCTACAATGCCAGAAATGGATTTGAAAACCAAAACCAAAACCAAGATTGAATTTGGAATGGGTTAAATTTCTTTAGCCCACCACTGGTTGTTTTCATTACAATCCAAAACACGTAGATATCATGATGAACCTCTGGTAAAAGTCCAATCAAGTTGACAAGATGGGCGGCAAGCTTAAATTGAGAAACATCTCCTCTGAGAAATCCACCATAAGGGCATTCAAGTGTCTTAGGGTTAATGGTAGGTGGAGTCTGGTGGGGGTATAAACCTGGACAAATTGTGACATGTGGTATATACAACACACACACACACACATACACACACACACACACACTTTTTTGGTGCCCAACGTGGGGCATTTGTAAATTTGGCATTTGTTCTCAAAGGGCGTCAGGAAATCCTGGAAGGGGAAGACAAGCAGAAAAGCTGGGCAAATTGAGAGGAAGCAGGAGAAGAGGAAGCCACTGCTGCCAGACTTCAGGACCCTGGCCTCAAGTGCAGATGGATGAGCGGTTTTCTAAATGCAGAAGCCACCAGGGCCCTGGCACAACCCCTCTGTAGATCTGGAGGGGCAGGCAGGTGTGGGAGACCATCCTTGCACGTGACTGGGTCACACTCCCTGGCTAGGTGCTGAGGCGCTCAGTCGCAGAAATGTGGCAGAGCTTTCCCCACCCTTCTTGGGTCCGAGGGTCGGGGTCTCCTGCATGGGTGTGTCTTGCTATAGCCCCATGAGTGAAGCTACGCTCACCTGTTCCTTTATAATATAACCCCTTGCTCTGTTTAGGATAGAATCTTCCATGGAAGTGCCTTATATGTGTCCCCTTCTCTTAATGTGCCCTTGGGTGTGGCCTACCCAGGTGTCAGTCAACCTGCTGACAGTGGACATAATGAAGATAGACTCAGCTCCCTGAAACCTGACCCCTTGCTTCATTTAAATAGCTTCTCCTCAATAAAAGGGATCAGCACATGCTCTTGCTTTCTCTCTTCCTGCGGACCTTAAGGTCAGAGGAGCTGTCACAGCGACCCCAAACAAAAGGTATTTGTGTCTCTTGGGTGGTTATTTTGCGCAGCCCAGTCAGCCCAGTTTTACTGGAGTGACCCCTGAGCCTTTTAGTCGTGAAAACAGAAACCTGGCAATTGGTGCCCAACGTGGTGCGAAAGGTCTGTGTCCTTAAGCGGCTGTGACAAAAGTGACAAATGCTGGCTCCTAAGGGAAGTCCAATTTAAATATTAAAGAAAGTTAGTGAGTTTGGTAATTCTCTCCAGAAGTAAAGCATGCTTAGGATTGCAGAGTTTTGTGGGCAGAATTGTAGAAAGTAAGTGAATTAGACAAAAGGAAAATCTGTGACGTTAAAATTTTTAATATCGGGGTATAATTCTAGAGATTCTAAATTCAGATGATTAATGGGCTATATTGTTGAGTTAAGTCCTCTCCATGGAAAGAGCACTTTTATGGATGTTTTAAAATTGTTTTTGTAAATCTTTATAAAAATTTTTTTGTGGGGGGCTGGGATTGTGGCTCAGCAGTAGAGTGCTTGCCTAGCACGGGCGGGCGGGACCTGGGTTCAATCCTCAGCACCACATAAAAATAAAGACGTTGTGTTATGTCCATCTATACCCTAAAAAAAAAAAAAGATTTTTTGGCCTTTATGTTCTAGAAGTTTGCACTAGGAGAGTGAAAAAGAAAGGGAAAAAATGTTGTGATGTTTACCTTGAGAGAAATAGTTTCAATTTTCTTTGTTTTTGTGAATACTCAGAAAGTTCGTACTAACCTCTTTGCTACATGATTGTCCTGTGCATCAGAATGGCTGTGACTCAGCCGCTGGGGAAGAGAGACTTTAGCTGCTGCTCCCTGCACTATGGGGTCCTAGCCCCTGAAGCCAGCAGTGCTTTTAACCCTTAAATGACTTGACCTGAATGCAGAATACAGACTAGCTTAAGATCTGATAATGCTGGCGTCTGCCACTAAAAAACCTTTGAAACACCCATGTGCCACAGAAAAAAGTGCAGGATGCGGGAATACACAGGCTGCAACCACAGGTTGCAGAGACAAAGCAAGCTACTACCACTGAGGATCTTGGCCAGGCGGGGGGAAATGCAGACAAAAAAAACAAAACAAAATGCAATTGGCTAGGAAAACTTGGGGAACTTTTGCCCCGACAATGGGCAGCGGACTCCATGGTGTTTGTGTCACCATGGTAACCACGAGGTGCCTGGCCAGGGAAACTGGCTTCCTGATCCCACCTCCCACACCTTCGGGGGCTTCCGATTGGTTCTTCCACAGTCACTCAGACAGGACTTCTGGTCCTGCCTTCCAGCCAGCCGCTAACCTGTACTTACTGTTTCAGATTGCTACTGGAGCTACTCAGAGCCTGCATTTTAAAAATGCCCACCTGTAAATGCTAAGGAAAGATATCTTTTTCAGAAAAAATTTAATTCCACAGGTTTCTATGTTGCAGCCCTAAATTTAAATTAGTTCTGAGTTAAATAACCTGACTTTTCTTATAGTTGTGTTACTAAATAATGTTCTATTGATGAGAGATATCAAACATGGTTCTTTGTATTTAACTTTTAATTTTGGAGGTTATGGGGATGCATTTGCTCGTCACAGGAACAAAAGCTGGCAATGTTCCTGTGATGACCAAAAAATCCTTATTCTCATTCCTAACTATAAAAAATAAATATGTATATACAAGGATCTTATTTCAATTACATCAAGTGACATCACATAAAAGAGTGCACTCTTAGGTAAAAATAAGTTGAAATGGATCCAAGTATTTTAAAAACCACATGGTTACATAAAGTTAATACAATTATAAGTTATGTCCTTATTCTTAATATATATTTTTCTTGGCATTCAGATAACCTATATTTGTTAATCTATAAAATATTTAGCACATGTCTAATTGTTTAGTTTATATATATATTTGCCTAATTGTTTTTCTTCAACAGAAAACCCATAATTTATGTTTTATATGTACATTTATCAGGTACTCTGCCTTTTAGAACAGATATTTAAGATAAATGTGTTTGCTCTAAATTTGCTTTTAAGTAAAAATACAATCTTCAAGTAGTTTATAATTTTCAAAGTTATTGTACAAACTCATAAAATGATAAACAAATATAATTCTGTCTACAAAATATCTAAGGATTTTGACTTAAATATTTTCTTGATATTTCTTATAAAAGTACAATAATTTATTTATAGATTCTAAGGTTTTCAAAAATTGTTCCAAAGTATAACCAGAAAAAAAATTCTAAAAGAAAAAGATGCTTCAACAAAAAGAAAACACACATTGGATCCTAAAAAGAAGAAAAAAATCATCTTTGGATAAAACAAGGTCTTTATATTCTAGATTTTAATGATAAAAGTATTTTCCTAAATAAGAAGATTTTTATATTATTACCTAAACAGATGATGTAAAAAGTTAGAACAATTAAAAAAGGGATTTATATATACTGGACTGACTATAAATTTTTAACTGATTAATTCAAGGATATTTCAGGCTATTTTCCTAATTTAACTATACTGATATGAGCTAAGATTTTGTCCATATTTTGTCATGATAAAACATTAAAATTTTAAGTTTATTTCTTTAAAAAAAGGTCTTTATTGCCTAATAATTCTTGCTGTTTAAGACAAAGGTTAATTTTGGTAAATAAATTCACATCGTTGATTAAACACTAAATAAATTAAACTGCTAACTTAGATCCCAATTTTGACAACTGTTCTTTAAGACTATATTTAATTGATTCTAAGACACAAAGACACTGTTGATTTTTACATATTTTGTTTGTTAGATAATTATAAAATTTAAAAAAAACATTTTAAAAGACTCAAGTTCTCCAAATTAAAGTCATATGTTAATTTTGACCAATAAAGGTTACAAACTTTAAAAATTCATTAATATTATGTAAGTTCTCTGACTGAACCTATTATGTATAAAAATTCAGTAAGATTTATGTACTACTCCCTACCTAAAATATAACTACTCCCTACCTTAAAAAATAACCTTAATCATATTTTTTAAAGGCAATTAAGAGATACCTATTTAAAGGATAATATTCTAAAACATACAGATATTTTAAAACCTTCTCTCAAAAAGAGATTGAGGATTCTTTCTAAATTGTTAGGAAGGATCGACTAGTCTATATTGGGAAATTATAATAAGTAAAAGATAAATCTATTCTTCTCATTTAAATACTTGTACTATTTATTATCTATAACTTAAACTAATGATACTATGACTTATGCCAAGCCTTTACTCAATTTTATTAAATAAACAAAAGGGGGAATACAGGACTCCAGAGACGCACACTAGATTTTACAAATATTTTAAAGTTTTTTCTTAAATGGTAATATTGAGAGTCTTAATGCTACCTAACACGACTCAGTGAATTATATCAGATATCAAAGGAAAGTTTAAACCAGTCATCATGATAATGACTGAGAAACCTGGCTCAGGAAGGTAAATTTCCAGCTGTAGAGTTTACAACCATGCAGCTTCACGAGCTTGTCAGGTAAGTAAAAATTATGAAAAGACTTGTATGAACCCATTTCCCAGGTCCACCTTTAATGTGTCTTACAGAGTGGACTGGAAAGTCCACCCATAAAACTAGATTAATTATCCTGACTGTAATGGTCAGTTATACCTATATATTGATTCTGTGGTAAACAGACTGACTGGAAGTATCTTTTGAGAAAAAGACAGTGTTGAAATAAAGGATCGTTCCACATCCACATGGATGGTGGCTATGGACCAGATGTAAGTAACACCAACTAAGGGCCAGTTATCTATGAGGGATCATGCCCTGAGTCTTAGCACAGCTCTCCTCTTCATCTATCTGTGTTTCTTGGCTTTGTCACAATATTATTGTTTGTCTGTCTATGGCCTTTCTCCTTTCTTCCTGAACACAGCCTCACCAGCCCAGTGCTGTGAGCTGGGGCCTCCATGGAGAAGAAACCTGAGTTTGTGGGATCCTAAGGTAAATTCTGGTATGGAGACCACGGGGGCATTATCTATCAAGGAGACAGAGAGCCCTCTTGGGGACAATGCCTTGCACACTCCACATCACCCTGTTTGGCCCTGAAGAATGGCTGGTTAGTCAATGACAGGTAAGATTCCTCAAGGGAGGGACAACCTAAGACAGGCACAGTTGCAGAGCGGCCATCAGGAGAAAACTTGGGGGCCAACAGAGGTGAGGCACAGAATCTCACCCAGCCACACACTGGTGCAAAGGCCTAAGTCTTCACCCCTCTGAGAGAGGTCTCCTGCCCCCCATGACTGCTTTGCTCCCCACGTCCAGAGACCTAGTCAACAGTGACTGCCTGCTCATCACAGCAGAAAACAACTGCAGCTATGGAAATGGGACATGTCTGGATGCTTTTCTCTTTCTTGGTTCCCATTTTTTTCTATGCTTTTTCCTTTTCCTTTCTTCTCTCATCAGGGTTCTCCTTTAGCAATACACTTAATAAAGGGGAGGAAATGTTGGAATAGCCTTAAGTTGTAACTAGCAGCTATGAACAGCTTGGAAGCTTGAGGAATCCACATTCTTCAGGCCTGACAGAAATACCTGTAGGATGGGGTGCTCTGCTCTAGCGAGCCATCAATGAAACCACGTGCTCAGCATTTGTGGTACAGGGCCAAACTACCTTGACTCAGTAAGCCTCTTCCCTTAGGGACAAAGACTCTTCCAGATTGCTTTCCACCATGACAGCAATATTTAGAGTTTCATCATAGTGTGGTTACATTAGGCAGAAGATGATTGGCTTATGGATATTATCTTGCTTATGTATGGTTGACGGGCATGCCCCACTTGAACCCTATAACAGTTGTGTGCATTCCAAAAAGAAACTGAACTACTGGACATCGACTTGAGGTTTTTCACCAGCCAGTTATCACCAGCTCCCATGACTGAGGTAGCCAAAGTAGCCGAACAACAAATTGACCACACCAGTGACAAAAACGTATGCTAGACAGCAGATAAAAAACCCAAGCCAGCCAATTATGCTGGACTTTAGTGACTAAGACTACATTTACCTATATGGACAATTGTTGGGAAGATTATTAAAATAGATTTTTCCAAACGTATTTATATTACTGACAGACCTAATTAACTCCTTAAATGTGAGAGTTAAGAGAAAAAATGATAAATAACCTGTAGCCTATAAGAATACAACTTATTGTGTCATTAGTTATTGCCGGCTAATATTTCAGAGCTATAATATGCTGAAGTTAATATTCAGGCTTTAAAACAGGTGTATGTCAATTAACCAGACCTAGGCAAACTGCTGGTCTCATAATCCCTGAAATGACTACTTTAAATATTATTCCTTGTTTATTCAATTGCAGCCTTTGTGGCTATGTCTTAAAACTTACAATGTATGGATTTTCTTAATGTTGACTTAAATTACTTCCAAACTCCTTCATGGTCAGATAAGTGCTGATGGAAGGATGAGAACTAAGTAATTATGTTCTAGAAGACAATGTAATAAATAATGTGAGTGAGCCCTTTGCTCTATGGTTTATGGAGAGGCCTAAATGCCATGGCAATGAAGATGTCTGTTACTATGGCCAAACACAATGCATCCCAATAAAATAGGAAAAACATTAAAAATCTTCTGATGAGTGTTTGGTGAAGTAATAATAATCCAGATTATTGTGTTGATTGTGTTATGAAGATGATATGTTTTCTACTAATTGTGTTATGAAGATGATATGTTTTTTACTAATTCCTTTTGTTTTTCAATAGCAGATCGTGATGACCTTGGACCAAGAGTCAAGTGACTGAAAGATAGAATTTCCCAGTGGCAAGGGCCTGATGGTCAGGGATGTGCTCCCTTCAGTATTTGTAGCCTTGCTTCCTGAAGGATTTTTCAATCTATTCCCTGCAACTCCCATGGTCACTTTACTAGATGGCAGACTGCACTAATGGGTAATAGCAAGGGGAAACATCCTTCTGAATAGTTGAGCCATTGGGGTGGGGTCCTTGCCAGGAGAACTATTCAAGCTCCAGATTTTTTTCCCCAGTGACCAGTGGGGATTTGTGCAAGATACTGATACATCCTGGACTCCATTTCTTCAGTTGTGAAAGGAAGGGATAATGTGGAGAAACTTAGCTATTTTCTGGTTTTAGACAGTGTTAGATATCTAAGTCAGTCTAGTCCATGAGACAACTAAAAAATATTTGACTTCTGTCAGCAAAAATGTATGCGATTCACTTTTGAGGAAGCATATTTGTCTTCAGATATTTTTCTTGAGAGGCAGAGTATCTCTTGGGATTGGAGAAAGAGAGAGGGGAATAAAGCCAAGTCCTGATATTCAAGGACACTAAATATATTCCAGAAACACACTCCTGTGTTGAAAATTCTCCCTTATTATGGATTATAACTTTATTGTAGTAGAAATGTAAAGGTTAATAGATAGACAAGATGCATAAAACAATATAATGGGAAAATACTGGGCTGTCAAAATTTGGACCATTGGAAAGAAAGAAAGAAAGAAACAAAGAACACCAAAAAACTCACCAGGCCTTTTAATGTTCCTAGACAATTGCCTAGAGACAGCAAATATTGATCTTAGTGCTTCAAGGGTAATCCTGGTCTAGGCCCAATAAAGTGAAGGGCAGGTAGGTGAGCAACAGATTGGAAAGTATTTCCTTTGCTTCCAGAAACTCCAAATCTAGGGAAACTGTAGCACATAGCTGTAGAATTTTTTAGCCTTCTCAAAAACTCCAAAAGAGGCTGTGCTTTTCTGTACTTCTAGAACTTTCTCCAGGCTTCTCTTTTGTTCAGGATTAAAGTTAAATTTTATCTCAGGTCCATCATGGGCAAATGCCCTTTTAGCCTTCTTTCCCAACTGTAAGAAAGATCAACACTAGGAGAGCCTGGAAGTGTTTGCCTTGGAGATTGACAGCTCTGCCTCTGCCTTTGATGAGTTCTCAATTTGGAAGAATGAATTAATTTATATTTTGGAAATGTGGAGAGGAATCAGAAAGCAGAAGGGAGGCAGCAAAGGACAAATGTAGAGGTCCCTCCATGATTCCCTGGATCTCTGCTTTAAGCTGAGAAGTTGGAAAAGTTATTTGAACCCTGAAATGGTATGGCCTTCTTATAATAGGGCATTTAATCCACTGGAATGAACTTGTTTGCCAATTCTCAGTCACTGGCCCAGTGACACAAAGGTGGGCTCCCAGAGGCTGTGTTTCTAGGAGGTGGTAGAGATGGCTTAGCAGGAATCTCACCCTTGACAAAAAGGCTCATTTTTGACAACCCACGTACATCCCACATTAGCACAAGGAGCCAGTGTCAACAATTAAGGGTTTTTTTTGTTGGGCTGGGGGTGTAGCTCAGTGGCAGGAGCACTTGCCTAGCATGTGTGAAGCACTGGGTTTGATTCTCAGCACCACATATAACTAAGTAAAACAAAGGTCCATTGACAACTGAAAAAAAAAAAAAATTAAAAAAAGAGTTTTTTTTTTTGTTTTAATTTTTAAACAACTCACCTTCACCACCAAGCCAGTAAGACTCCTGTAGAAAGAAATACCAAGGAAGTGGGGTTCCATGGTCCCCTGAAAACAGAAAAGCAAATAAGAAACCTAAGTTAACTGCTATCTCACCCTACCACAGTTCTATAAGATCTAGAATGTATCTGTCTCCACCTCAAATTATAACTACAGATATTTATAGTTTGCAAGCCATTAAATAGCTATCCACAGGCTACCAGAAAGATTACTGCTTTCAACATGTTGTAATGCAAAAGGTCATGTTCTTTGGGTGTTACTAGCAACACTAATAGTGATGGTCTTGGCTGATATCAGTTTTCCAAGAAAACATTTTATTGAAGAATTGAGTCATATCAGCAGTTACCAGATAGCAGAAATGATGATAATCACTAACACTTGTTGGATACTTTCTCTGCATCAGGCCTTGCTATAAGCACTTTCAGTGTGTGAAATAATTTAATCCTCAAAACAACCCTAGAACATAGGTAGTAATATTATTCTTGTGGATACAGAAAATGAGGCTCTCTGAGTTTGAGCCATCTGCCCCAGGTCACAGGTAATTAAGCAGAAATGCAAGAATTCCAACACAGGCAATCTGGTTCTAACATCACTGTTTCAAGCCCTCATTCTACTGGATCCAGCTGGGGTTCAAGGAAAAGACTCCCAAATTTCTAGTCCAGTGTTTTTTGCAACTTTTGCTCCCTACAAAATATTGGTTTTGTAAGAACACTGTCCTTGCTTTTTAAATAGTTGTTGTGGGTCATGATTTTCCCCCCACTGAACTGTAAGTTCCTCAGGGCAGGCCTGGGTCTATCTTTGCCACCCCTTAATTCCCAGAACCTGCTGGAACTCACACAAAGGTGCTGCATAGTAAATAGTTGTTTGCAAAACAAACTATTTAGCTTGGCTAAAACCAAGCTCTTGAATTATGCAGAATTTCAAAGTACATCTCCTTCTACCAGCACAGGAGATATAAGAAACAGATGATCAAGTTCAAGATCTTGCTTGGGTCACTGCCAGGGGTTGAACTGTCTCCCTCTCCAAAAGACAAGTTGGAGTCAGTGGTATTATATATAATATCTTGGTCTTAGTCCTTAATTCCTGTGTAGGGCACAGGGCTCCTAAAACCCTTGACATTTCCTGAGTGATAGGAGTGTCTTCTGTTATTTATGGACCCCTTTTCTCAATGTACCCCAGTTATTTTTAATGAGGTGACTCATTCAGGGTGGGGCAGGATGGAAACTGGTTATCAGAAAGAACAAATTTGTGAAGTGACAAACTTTTAGCCCCAATCTCTGACTTGTGGGGAGAAAGAGCTCTGCAGATTGAGGTAAAAATTCTTGATTAGGACTTGGAGAGCATCCAGGTTGGCAAGCACATTTTGGTGCAGGGAGGGTTTTGGGCACAGAGAAGACATGGAACCCCCCACCCCCACCCCACTGTGGCCTTATGCATCTCTTCTATTGGCTGTTCCTGAGTTTAATGCTCTATAAAAGTTGTCATTGAAATTAGGACACTGTGGCAAAATGTGGCTATCCTGGTATTGCCTTTGCCCCTGATGTCTGGATTGAGGGAACTCTTGTGAACTGAGCCTGTGGCATCTTTGTTAATTCTGGATACTGTTAGAACTGGGTTGAATGGTTAGTGTCAGAGAATTGGTTGGTGTCTGAAAAAAAAAAAACAACAAAAAAAACACATTTGGTGTCAGAGCAGTGTTGAAATAAAGACACCAAATTCCAACCCCATATATCTCAGAAAATGACGTCATGTGGAAATGGGTTATTGCAGATGTGTTCAGTTAAATTGAATGAGGTCACACTGGAGTAGGGTGGGCCCCCATCTAATATGACCGGTTTATAAGTAGATAGCCAAGTAAAGGCAGACATACCATGTGAAAATGGAAGACTCAAGTGATGTATCTCTGTGCAAGAAGAGGCAGAGTACTGAAAAACCTGCAGAAGCTCATTTCAGGCAAGGAAAGATCCTTCACTTACAGGTTTTGGAGGGAACATGGCTGTGTTTTGGTTTTGGACAGTGAGATGCCAATTTCTATTGTCTTAAGCCACCCATTTTTTTTTTTTAGTGATGTATTCTCTTTTTTTTTTTTTTTTTTTGAGAGAGAGAGAGACAGAGAGAGAGAGAGAGAGGGAATTTTTTTTTAATATTTATTTTTTAGTTTTCGGCGGACACAACATCTTTGTTTTGTATGTGGTGCTGAGGATCGAACCCGGGCCGCACGCATGCCAGGCGAGCGCGCTACCACTTGAGCCACATCCCCAGCCCCTTAAGCCACCCATTTTTGTATTTTAGTATGACAGCTCTAGGAAACGAATATACATCCAAGCCCAGGCCTCTGGACTCAGCCTAGCCATCTTTCTCCCATTGAAGTTTGCTGCCTACTTATTTTTGCCAACAAAGGCTGCTTTGAGATGATCTGAGAATCATGAGCTTGTCTCTCCCCAGGGACCAGAACCCACCTCACCCTCCCCTACCTGCTCTTGGTCACAGCATCAGACCCAGCTACCATAGCACAAGGAAGATATTCTCAAGGTATAGGAAATGCTAATTTGAAGGAAAATCTGATTTAATATAAAACTGTGGAAATATACAATTTTGTTTCAGGAGTTGATTTTTCATGCTACAGATTAATTAGATATTTATTCAGTGTCAGGCACTACTAAGTATCAGGCACTATTCTGGGCACAAGTACTGTCACAGAGATCAAAACAGATCAAGTGCCTGCTTTCATGGGCTTAAATTCTAAGTGTAGAGAGTCAAATATGATATGTCAAGATCATTGTAATGTTTTGAGCAACTAATAAAAAAATTAAAAAAAAGATATCATATCAGGTGGTGATAATCATTTCCCAAAATAAAGTAGAATATGGGGAGGTAGGCACAGAAGGAATGTTGTTTATATAGTGATAGATATCATTAGTCTGGAAAGATCCTTGTAATGAGGAGACATCTGAACAGAGACCTGAACAAAATGAGGAAATGAGCCTGCAGGTATGAGGGAGAGAGAGAAACATCTCCTGGCATTGAGAAGAGCAGGTGCAAAGGCCTGCAGAAGAAGTATACTTAGGGTGGGACCATTCAATGGGGAGGCTAATGCATCTGGAGAAGAGAAACATGAGGGAGAAGGGAAGGACAGGAGATGAGAAAGATAACTAGAGCCAGATAATAAGCATGGGCTAGGTCAGAGTTGGGACATTGGGTTTTACTCTGAAATGAGAGAAAAGCCACTGGAGGGATGTGAACAGAGAGGGTTGACACCATCTGACCCAGATTCTGAAAAGTTCTATCTGAACACAATGGTAGGAGTTAATGGAGGAAGAAGGAGGTTTGGACTGAGACAGTGGTGACATGAAACAGATTCTGGATCTATTTCTAAAGTAGAGCCAACCAAATTTGCTGATGTATCTTTGGCTTCTAGATTTAAGTTTTAAATGCTGGTTCTGGAACCCAAATTCAAAGATCTAAGAAGACATAAAATTTAAACTAGATGGTTGAGTGAGATCTGGGAATCTGAAGAACACAATCACCTTTATCCTAGGGAGGGAGACACCCACCTGGAAACACCTGGTCAAGGTACCAGGCAAGCAAGCCATATATAGCAGCATCAAGGAGCATCATCTTCATGGACAGCAGGAAACTATACCCATCCCCTTCCACGGGACTGTTCCCAATGTTGTTCCACTGCAGCCCCAGGCCTTGCTCTTCAAAGCGAACCAGGTACTCAGTGCCAAACCCAAATGCCACAGGGGACAGCAGGCTCTGCAGTGGGGTAAACAGGACGGAAAAGACAAGCAGAGGGTCTTTTACCCAACCCACCAGCACCCAGAAGCCCGCATACAGGGAGGAGTGCCAAAAGAGGGTTCATGCTGTGTCTGAATGTTAGGCCAGTCAGGGAGGGGTTACGGTGGTTTTCCCATAGGTGAGAATTCTGGGGATGCTTCTCAGGCCTCAGAGACCCCTGCCCAATATCCACTGGGCCATGCTCATCTGTTCAATGGAACATAGTCATGTTGTAGTGCAATGGGGAGACAAAGAAATGTCACACAGCATAACACACCACAGAACCAATAGCTCTCATGTTCTTCCCTATCTGTTCCTCCTTTCCTTTCTGTTTTGGAGGAAATCCACATGGTTCTGGGTAGAACAAAGATGTTAACTTGAGCTGTGTTATGACAATCCCACTGGAAGAGTCTGTAGTGGCACCCCCCCCTCCACAGAAAATCTTAATTAAACTTCTCCAGAAATCTTCATCATAATTGATTTTAGGACTATCAGCAAACGAGTCTCTACAAAAGAGTTCAATATAGTTAAACTTCCTATTTTCCTGTTGTTCTATTTTATTTGGCCACTGGCCTGGAAGAGATCAGCATTCCAGGTGCTGAGTGCCACTTTTCCTAGTTTTTCACAAACATTTATCCAGTATAGTAGTTTGTAAAAGTGTGTTTGCAAATGCAAAATGTGATTTTAAAAAAAAGAGACAAATCCTTTAACAAGGCCTCTGGCCTTGAGCTGGAGCCTTACAAAGGTGCCTACATTTCTAAGATAAGTTACCAACTGGGCTCCATGGTAACAGCTGGCAGGGGCAGGAAAGAAAGGGGAGAAGAAGCTCTCCCCTCTCAGGCAATGCCCTTGAAGGATTAACTTGCCCAAAACAGTTAAAGAAAAAGCTGCTTTTAAATGAACTTCTGAGCCCCTCCACTTATACACTGGGTGTAAAGTTCTGAAACTACCTGAACTTGGGGTTCAGGGGATTAATTGATTACAGCAAAAGTTGTATGCTCTGAATCTGGCTGCAGCCAAATAAAACTGTTTCCTGCTACCTTTGGTGTCCTGCCTTGTCTGTCCCCTATAAGAAGTCCACAAAGCCATCAGTTTCCTGGGGCAAGGAATGGTCTTGTGGCCTCCTGAGGCCTGTCAGATAGGTCAGAAAAGCCAGAGATTACATGGACATTTCCCATCTTCAGACTGAAGATTAGAATTTATTTAGGTTCTCTTGTAAGGGTAAAAGAAATTGAAGTTAAAGCGTAAAAGTTAAAGGGTAAAAGACCGGGTGTTGTAAAGTTTCTAAGCTGCAAGGTCTGAGTTAAAATGTAAAGGATTAGGTATTGTTAGGTTTCTATGCTACCTGCAAAACCTGAAATTTCTGTAGCTGTTAAGACAATGCTTGGAACTGCCCAGTAAATATTTCCCCTACTATTTGGTTGTTTAATAACTGAAGGGCTCTGTGTGGTCGCACGTAGGCATTGCAGGGCCTGGACCAATCAGTTTAAATGTAACCCCCTCCTTAGAAATGACCTATCACTCCCGCCTGACCTGTTCCCGCCAATGTATGTACTAATCAAGTCTAAGAATTGTTGCTTGACTTTCCCGCGGTGTATGATGATTTGTTCTGATGTATACAAAGCCCTCCGCCCTCCCCAAAAAGTGTACTTAAGCAGTGCTCAGCCCCTGCTCGGGGCTCTGGGCTGCTTTCCCTTCTTGAGTGGGCACGGAGCCCCAGCATGCTGGTTCAATAAATCCCCTTCTGCCAATTGCATGAGTGGTCACTTGGTGGTCTCTTTCTCCGACGCTTCGCTGGACCCTTACACTCTGACCAAAGAACAAGTCAACTGAACAGGTGAAATGTAGAAAAAAATATGAAGAGCAAGTTCCCCAGCCAAGTCCTCAATGGTGGTACCTGCAAAGCATGTGCAGAAGAATTTGCTACCCCCCATTTGCTACCCCTCTGTGCTCAGAGGTCTCCCTGTAGTTTGGACGTCCTTGGAGAGATTTCAGGGTGTCTCTCTGCGAAAAGAAGAGATTCTCTAGCTCTATGTCTACATAAAGCACTTTAAAAAAAAATCTCAGCCCAGTTCTTGTCCACACAGTTGTCATATCTATAACTTCCTATGGATCCACATTCCCAAGATGCTGGCTTGGCCTCAAAAATACTGACTGACTAACTACTGCATACCAAAGCAGCTCAGCTTTGCCCTTAGGCTGATGCAGCATTTCTACCACTACACTGTGATCATTTTAGAAAATTGGGAGCTATATATAGCAGCAACTAACTGCTTATTTAACATGAGAAATAAAAGGCAGATGCCCTGGCAGCTCTGCAGCCAAATGAGTTTGTGTTATGAGAACAAGTTCTGCTAAAGAGAGGCAGGCAGTAGTCCTCTCTTGACTGACAGCACAGAAACAGTGAGATTCTGGAGGACAAGGAAAACTGCACCCTCCAGGACTGAGGCTGATTAGTCTGGGCTAATGAGAGGGTGGAAATGGCCCATTTTAAAACAATTAGAGAAAAGACCAGTGTTAGTTTGGGAATTCTGAACTAAGAGGTCTCTCAGGCAGTCAAAAATCAATTTCAGGAGTCCTCTCTTGGCCAGAAAGCCTGACTGACTCTGGGGGTTCATTTCTGCACCAATTTTGCATGTACTGGGGAGCATGTCAAAGACACTTGTAGAACCAGTTTGATCCAAGTTCTTTTGGAGTAGGAAAAGCCCCTTTTAGATAATGAAAACATCTTTCTGAACAGTGAAGGATTAGCTCCCCCCTTTCTGATTCTTCTCAAACAGTAAGAAAAGGAAGGTGAGTGAAATGGTCACCTGGTTTTCCTCTCACTTGTAAATAAAGGGGACCATGGGCTGAACTGGCTTTTCATGGACTTTTAGGGCAGATTAATCAAGTAGGATTGGTGAAGAGGGACCATTAGGGAGGTCATGGTGGCAATTACTGGTACTCTTGCCCCTGCACTTTGAGCTTTACATTAACCTTTTTAGTATTTGGAGCCAAAAGGTAAAGCAGACTTCCTCAGAGAGCAGGCTGGGCTGCTACAGACCCTCCAGAGGCAATACATGCCGGGGGGAGCCCCAGGCTCTCACCACAGCCTTCTTCAGCTCGGCGGTCATTCGGTCCTGCCAGGCAAAGCACAGGATGTGCGGCAAATAGAGGGTGAAGTAGATGACGCCACTGCAGGCTGCTGCCAGGCTGGCCTTGGAGAAGAAGGTGCTGAGCAGGAAGCACTGCATGATTGTGGCAGTGGAGAAGGTCAACAGGAACAGGAAGATAATGAACGGATTGCTGTAATGTAGGATTCTTCCATGCTGAAACCAAAGAGATCTCGGGTCAGTAATTGCCACCCATGCCCAGGGTGCCATCCCATTCAGGGGTGACCTGTGTGCAGTGATGCCAAGGCCTCCAGAGCCTCTGCCCAGGAGAGGTCTCTCCCCTGTGCCTGTTTTTAGTGCCTACATTTCCACAACTCACCCTCTATTCTCGGAGTTCCTTAATCTCAAACATGCCATTTCCCTTGGGAGGGGTGCCACATTAGGCTGCCTCTCAGTCATGGGCAGTGCTACAGAAAATTAACTGAGAGATCATTAAGCTGAGCTGGCTCCAGTGTTTCGGATTCCTATATAAGCAAACCAATCCCAACTCCAAGTAAGGGTCACTTAATCAGAAATTGTCTAGGGACTTTAACCAATCGAATATTTTCTTTTTCTGTCTTGCTTCCCCATCTCTTGAGTGGAGCCCTGATTCACTGAGGAATCACTGTTTGCTCAGATAAACTCTTAAAAATTTTAATGTGCTTAAGTTTATCACTTAGCAGCAATTATTATAGGTTAAGTAAGCAAATCCCAGGTGCAAAGGGGTTGGTGTGGAAAAACGTGCTACAGCAAGGGAAGAAGACCTGGGTCAGGGTGCTTGAGGCACCAATAGCACCCTGGAGGAACTAACTAAGTAGATGAGGACAGAGAGGGAGTGGGAAGCCCTCTCAAAACAAGCTTTGATATTTTTCTGGGGCCTGGCCTGCTGACTGGACCATTTGTACTTGTATCTGAGGTTTGCCAAAACCATATGTGAAATGTCAGTAATGAATCTAGATCACTTGGAAGTGGATGGGCCCTCCCCATTCATGACTATCATACAAATACTTTTCACAGAACTTGCTTGCAGTATTCAGTATCTTTCACATTGGTCATGTAGAAAATAGGAGCAAACTAGCAACTCTCACTAAGTGAGTTACTGCCCAGTCACATTATAAGGCTAGATGTTTAAATGTAATAGACTTTCTTCACTCTAGCAACCTATGAGGAGTTTAACCCTTTGGATATAACTCCACAAATAGATGATCCTGTGCTTTTCTCAGGAATACAAATGTACAAATGGGTTCATCTCATAAATTAATTCTGGCCTATTTGTGGTGGTTCCATGAAGCCCTGGGTTCTTCTCAATAGACAAGAGAGACCAATCAGCAGTATCTGTCATGAACATGGAAGAGTTGATTGGAACAGGTGTGCCTCTTACTGCTGTGGCCACCATTTCTCCTTCATGTCCTTAAGCCTACTGGGCACTAAAGGAAGAGATTGAAAAAAAGAGGTGTGTGTAGCAAAGGAAGGTGGAAGGGAGCTGTGCTTAATTAGAACAAATGTCTGAGGAAGTCTAAATAAAAATCAAAATTAGGACTCAACACCCCTGATTTTATATGTCAAAAGTACTCCACATCACACTAGAAAGCGCCACACCCTTTCTTTAATCACATGCAAAAGTAAGTCTATGGCTGAACATGCGGCTTTTGACTATAAGAACTTTAGGACAGTTGTTTCTGTTCTTAGAAGAATGAAATCAATTTCTTGTTCCAGCCCAAAGCAAAATCCCACAAACGCCCAGGCTGTGTAATTTCTCATTGACTTCAGCCAGGGATGTAAGTCATTTGGCCAACACTACTATTTCACTGGCTTTGACTTTTACCAATGACCACTGTTTTATGTTGTTGTTCCTAGCAGCTTGCATAACAATGGAACCTTCCATTGTCTTTGCTTCCAGCTTCTTTCCTGAGTTGTTGAGTTGGGGAGGAAGGAACAAGGGAAGATGGGAAAGTCATTTAAAAGAAAACCCTACTTTTGTAGAATGCTCAGCTTATCACTGGAGTAATATTCTGATTTTCACAAGGAGGAACCTTTGTGCTAGAAACTCTTCACGACCATTCTTTACCTCATGTCCTAGTTTTGAAATCCAAATAGTCCATTCTTAGGAAGGCAGTTCTCCATGTTAGTTATTAGCAACAAGTCAGGCAAAGCCTCACAGGTGTTCAGTCAGATGTTTACATATTGACTCCTTTAGTTCTTTTTTTTAATATTTATTTTTTTGGTTGTAGTTGGACATATACCTTTATTTTTTTATGTGGTGCTGAGCATCGAACCCAGGGCTTCGCAAGTGCTAGATGAGCACTCTCCCCTGAGCCACAACCCCAGCCCCTAACTCCTTTAGTTATGAGGCACTGGGGATTGAGCAAACCCAGGGATAGGATAAAACAAGTTGCTGACAAATTGGTCCCCTCATCTCTGTAGGGCTCTGGTCCCATTTGCAAATTTAAAGCCACATCCAGGTGGAATCAGGTTGTTTGAGATTGACTTCTATCCACCTTAGCACTGGTTTTCATTCAACTTTAGCATTGGGTTTGGCCAAGGCCACAGCTCACTGGATTACAATGTAACACTATAAAACAAAATCCCTGAGATTTAGGAATTTTATTATAAAGAGAATGGACAGGATTCTTGTTTAAATAGATATGTTAGTTGGAAGGGAAATATGATGGAACATTCTTGGATCAGGGAGATTCCAGGTATGGTCCAGTATGGGATGGGAGACACTCAACAAGTCTGTGGATCACTACACTATTGCATAGGACAGAGGAACACTCACTACAAGATGGTGAAGATTTTTTTTTTTTGAGCCACTACCCCAGTCCCCAAATACCATCCTTTAAAGCAGAGATGTTTTGATGATTTTATAGGGAGCACATTTTTAAAAAAATTTTGTGAAGCTATGAGTGTTATAGCCATGTTGATGATTAATAAATAGTCCAGGGCCCTTGCACTAATACCACTGAAAGAGCATTTCACTTTCAGCTATAGCCAGTTGTTGGAATGATAATCTCAGGAAAAAAGTTCCTGAACTCATTCTATGTGTGCAAAGAGAACACCCTTTTGAACACATAATCACCCTGTGCTGGCTTCTCTTAATAGCAGCCTCTCCAGAGAGGCATGGAATGGGGCTGAAAAATCTGTGTAGTCAGGGGCAGGAAGGTGTCATGATACACTCCTTGAGGGAGGCTTTCTCTCTCTCTGAGAATCTTCTACTTTGGCTGAAAGGGCTGGGAAGCTGGATGTCATGCTATCCTTGGTAGCCAGATGACTAATAGGTGCAAGTTCATTAACAGGAGGAAAGGTATAAGGAACAAAACTGTTTACAAATTTCTAGGCCTTTTCCATTTGGCTTACCATGATGAATATCATCAGGAGAAAGACGCTCATGGACATGATAGAGAAGCTGTCCAGGAACCAGGTACACCAAATCACTGCATTGGAGACACCCTGGTTTTTCAAGGTCTCCTTCAGCCTCAACTCCTTTTCCAAAACGATGCCCTTTACAGTCATGGAGACGGAGTAGATCCATGCCAGTACCATGAAGATAGGGAAACAGCGGTTCAGGATGATCATAAAACTAAAGGAAGAGGAGAGAGGCAGAATAATAGAGTATCCTGTATCTGATGGAGATAGAGTAAATACTTGTCGAAGGAATAGAGTAAAAGGGAAGAAGAAAAAAATCTCCATTGGGCATTCAGTGGGCTAGATCCTTTAATACATTCCATATTTTTCCAGAAGCATTACTTTCTCTTTTGAGAAAGACAGTGGCTTTCTGGTTACCTGTAGATAAACAGTCTACAGGTAAATGGGTAAGTAAATCACATATATATGTCACATAATATAGGTCTAGATCTTCCCTATAAGGACTAATGTGAAAAGATTTGATGATGTAGGCTGTGATTGGAAGAGAGAGGTACATGTAAACTGGCAATGAAGACCAGGATGGTGGAGCACAACCAAGGGGAATTGAAGGAGGTGAGATGGACAATTGGGAAGTCAGTCAGCCCTGCGCTATCTGCCTGAAAGGTTATATTCTGGTTTATCTTAGTTATGGGGAAAGAGGCATAAATATAACCAATCAGTGTGGCCTTTTTGGATGACAGTTGACCAATCAATAAATCAGTGATCCAATAGCCACTGATTCCACCAGCCATGCAGAGGTAGAGTAGATCCTTGAATATATACTCCAGCAAGCAGGATAAATTTGCTATATTGGAATTATTTTCACGTTTCTCTGTGTGTAACATTCTAGAAAAGCCTTTGGGATTATTATTATCAAAAACTGTTGGGTATTGACACAAGAAAGGCCTGATTCCAGGGTACACATGTTCACTTAAAACGGCCCCAGGGAGAGAATCATGCATTCATAAAGCATGCTCATTCAAGAATGGCCACCAGAGGACTTTCCCATACTGAATGACCCCAAACTCAATGTCACCCCACACTCACCCACTTTCCATTCTGATCCTAAAAGTGGACCTGCGCTTTTGCCCTTGGCTCTACTTCCCATCTCTGCCTTTTGTCCAAACCCACACTAACTGCAGAACAGTCTCTGTTATCTCACTGGTTTTCCACAGAGCTATGGCTGAAGAACTGATTGGACTAGAATGTTGAGAGAGGGCTTCCTGTGTTCCATACTTGGCTTCTCCAGCTGGCAGTTTGACTCTTACTTTCTTCAACGCTGTTCATGCTTCTCTCTTTCCTGAACCCCAGAGATACACACATCCACTCTGGTGAACTTCCCAATCTCCCTCCCCCCAACCCTTGGAGTTGAATCCATAAACCAACTGTAGTTCTGTACTATTGTCCTGTAAATGTTTCTGACCCCATCTGCCAGGATCAATGTGTCCTCCCATCTCCTCTCCAGCTTTTTCTCACTCTCTATCACCCTCTAATTCTATGTTCAGTAAAACAGTATAGATATGACAGGCCTGGGGATTGAGGGGGCCAGGGGAGGAGACCGACCCATCCAATGCATTCCTCCACATTTTCATTAAGCATACATTGTGGGAATGTTAATTACGGAAACAACTGCATTACTCTGAGGCTCCTAGGAGCCAGACCTACTTGCTATGCAGAATCCAAATCTGCTGATTTGGCAATCAGTGGGCAAACACACTGACAAGAACCCATCTAATATAGGTGGTGGGAAATTTAGATAGCCTTCATATCTCCTTCCCCAAACTCACTTCCAAGGCTTTAAGTTTCACCTTCTCGTTTGCACTTCCAACATCAGCTCTTTCCCTTCTTCCTTCACTTTCTCCTTTACCCCTGCCTGGAGCTGGGGGCCAGCTTAGTCACAGCTCTATTCTCTTTAATCTGGACCCAGTCCCCAGGGTTCTCTCTGGAGACACTGAATCTTTGGGAGCATGCACCCAACCCTAGAACCCACTAGCTTTTCAAGGAGGAGGATGGGCCGCCTGGGACTCACGAGTCATCTACGAAGCAGGGGTAAGGCATTTGCTGGAGATAGACTCCTACTGGAACTTCCACCTGGGCCTGACTCCTTGTGATCCCCTGCTCAACCATGTCCTGCAGATAGGCAAAGCCTCCCCAGATGTACCGGAAATCTTCCACAGGATCTGCCCTGGGGCCAGAATCCCAGTACCTAAGAAGACATAGGAGGGAGAAACAGAGGATGTGACTGGGAATGAGCAGCTTACCTACTCCCCATGCACAAGTGACTCAGGACTCACTCTCTGAATATCTTTCTCCTAAATGTTCCCAAACTATTCAGTTCTGCTTTCTAGGTCATAGTTTAAATCTCAAAGCTGTGAGCCACAGCAAGACTCTGTAATCACTTTTGTTCAAGGACTCTATATATTTTTTTTTTTTTGTGGTGCTGGGGATTGAACCCAGGGCCTTGTACATGCAAGGCAAGCACTCTACCAACTGAGCTACATCCCCAACCCTCAAGGACTCAACTTTGAGCCGTACAAACATATCTTATTTTCTCTTGCATAACAATTGTATTTATTAGTAGACCGAGTCCAGCCTTAATCCCACTGACTTTGGAGGAGCCCACTGAACCCTGCCTGAAATGTTACCTATCTTTGATCTTATTGGTTTTCTCCACCACATCTATATCCATCCGGATCTTGTACTTCACATGGGGTGGTAGGGAGCTGGTCCAGGGATACATGTCGGGGAATACCACAGCAGCCCAGAATCTGTTTTCCTCCAGCAGGGAGAGGGCTCTTTGGGTGAGCTGAATTTCATCATCATAGCTTTCAAACTTATCCAGGACCAGGCACTGCAGATAATCACAAGAGCCAAGGGACTTTGAGGAGCATCAGCTGCAGAGACTCAAAAGACAGAGGATAAGATGCTGCCACAGGAAATGAGTGAAAGGCAAAGAGACCTATAAACTGAACGTTTTCTTAACTCTGGGTCTAGTGTTAATTTCTCAGTGTGTCTAAACATGGGGATTCCCAGGGGGCTTGCAAATGCTGACTTGCTCTTCTCCCTGAGGGTTGTACTGTCCAGCTGTTCAAGTTGTTAAAATATGCAAGTCCTCAGAATGACAAAAATATAGCTCTCACTCCCTAGCATGGGGAGGCAAGGGAGTAGGGACATAGTGCACACAGGCTGCTCAGAAGATCAGAAAAGCCTAATGATAAAAGAGTTTTAAAGAGAAAGAGAGAGATTGATTCTGAGCATTGAACCTTCCCAACTCACTCCAAACACACAGGATTGACAGCTGAGCGATAAACCGGGAGGAGGAAAGAAAGAACAAACAGTGAAAATGATTTCACCTGAGAAATCATTTTCAATTACAGTTTGACGACAAGAAACACTAACAGAGGGGTTTCCCTCATATGTCTATTTTCTCCTCCTGGAAGAGGAAAAAAAAATGCATCCACAAAAGAGCAAACCTCAGAATTTCTTTGAGTTTGACTGCGAGAGTTTGCTCACTTGTACAGACTGTTAAAACATGTTTATTGTACTGGCATTGGTTTTTTTCCCTAACCATTTGTTCCTATAATACTTTTGGGGTGCTAGTGTCCGTATTTCTTTCTTAGAATACACAAGAGGTCACATGGCCTTGTCGTGATGAATTTCTTCCTGAGAATATGCTATGTGCCAGACACTCTCTGATTACTGGACTCCATGGGATGTTCAGTACGGAGGGCCTCACCTTAAGGAAGGGATTTTAGCCCTTCTAGCAACTGAAAAGTATCTATTAAATCACTGTCACTTTCTATATAGACAAAAGGCTTAAAGATTTGAGCTTGGTTTCTATTCAATATCATAATCAGTGCCACCTTGATTTGAGTGACATCATTTTCAAAAGTGCATTTGCTTAATTTTCCTTAATAGATTATTTTTTCTTTTTTGGAACAGTCAGGGATACAGGAACAGAGGCTGGCATAGGAAGAAATGTTCAGTTTTCTTTAGTACAAGCTCAATTAATGAAAAAAGAGTCCCATGCCGGCCTTAATCTACCTATGCAGTGACACACTTGCTTCCCTGTCCTGGAGAGACCTTCAGAGTCACCAGGGAAGGATTTTCATGGCCTTTCTGCTACTGAGGGATCCTCAGGGTGGGGGTAGAGGGATTGCCAAGTTCCTCCAAACTTTCCAAAACATAAGAACAAAAGCAGAGCAATCCCGGGCAGATCACAGTGACTTTTTGCTTCTTCACCCAACTATCTTGTCTTTTTAGTTCCTTACCACCTCACTTTCCTCCTCCCTACCTCTAAGGTCAGAAAGATCAGAAACCACATTATCATACCTGCTGGAGTTCTTCCACCATCAAATTCCCTCTGAGGAATCCCTGGGGGAGGCCACTGACCTATGACCAGGTGGCCTTTACTCAGAGGCCCTGAGAATGTCCTGGTGGCAGGATATAATTAGCAGTTTTGTGATCTCATTTGTGGAAGGGGCTGATTTAGATGAGGTCTGTCTGATTGTATTTTGTTTAAAAGTTAACGTTTATTAATTACTTATTATATGACAGGCTTTGTCTCAATTAGCTCTTTTAATTCTCAAAACAAGCCTGCTGGTTAAGTACTATTAATATCCCCATTTTATAGAGATGGAACCTGAGGAAAAAGTAGTAGAAATTTGAGCCCAGGGAACATCAGGGTCTGGAGACTGAATTCTTAACTATTTAAGTAATCAATATTTATTAAGTATCTGTTGGGTGCCTGGTGCTACATTAAGCATAAGCTACCTGTTTTTATTTTCTTGAAAGCAATCCTTCAAGAAAATAAGACCTTTATATCAAGACACAAATAATCAAGTCAAAAAAAAGTTAAGATGTATTCATTATAGGACCTCATGAAAACATTGTGAGAACGACTGAACTCTATTTTGCAAGAATAAAGGAATGGAGCCCCCTGTTCAGTCCTGCCTGGATCATAGCAGTTTGTGAATGGTGGTGGGCCTGGCTAGGGGTGTGGACTTAGCAGGTAGAGGCACTTTAAAAGGAGAGTGATGTCAATTAATTATGCCCAGGAATGCCAATACTCCACAGATCTAACAGCTGTGTAAATATAGAGATTAGCAGGCCTCTTCCCAGGGCATTCTGAGTCAGTCAATTTAGGCTGGTGCCTAGGAATGTGTTTTATGAAAAACACTCAAGGTCACTCTTGTTTTCAGATAACTTGAGAATGGCTTTGTAATTCTCTAAACTTTGATGCTGCTGCTGCCATGTTCGGCACCTTTTGAGAAGTCACCTATGAAGTGTGTGCTAACACTTCCAGGGTCATGGAGAGGGAGGATCATATCCCTAGGGAACTCTTAGTGGCTGCAGGGCAGCAGGGAGTCCTCAAAGGCACACAGGAAAGCACAGCCAGGTTCCTCATCAGTAGGCAGTCTTCCTCAGGACCCACACATCTGAGATAGGAGGGTTGCTGGTTCCAGAGACTCTCAGTTCATTTCCTCCTTTATGGCTTAAACATCTACCTTCTGATGGTTTTAGATGACACCAGGCCCCAGAGCTCATTGGTGGCAAGATCAGGCCTTAGATGGAGATATTCCCTGGAGATGTGAAGCTGAGAATTTGAAAATGACTCTAACTGAATTGGACAGGGGTCTGAAAGGTGTGAAGAGAGAGCCACAGAACAAATGAAAGAGGAATAAATGACTAAACCTATGTTAAAGCAGAAGGGACATTTGAGGACTGAGACTCAAAGAATGAATGAGTAGATGGAGAAAAGGGAAGAAGTCCCTTCAGGTTTTATTAGTTTTAGCGGTTTTTCTACCTCATTTTTCTTCTTTTCGTGAAACACCCTCACCCAGTTTATGGTAATCCTGTTCTTAGTAATGCTCCCCATGGTGGACATATAACCCAGGCCTCCTACTTGGAGTATACTCACCTGAGGGGGACAGGGATAGTTATGGGAACCTGGCCAGAAGGGGAGTTCTCTGGGTACTGTTTGTGCTGTGGGGAAGCCATTCCCTCTTTCTGTGGAATTTTTGGTGTAAGAATGACCATTGAGGACTGCCAGAAGCTGAGCCACCTCCAATGGAGAGGCACTGGCCAAGTGCTTTGGGAATTGCATCATTAAGATTTTAAATGAGGGAGTGATGCAAGCAGATGTGCATCTGGAATGTAGCTCTGGTGTCAGTGTGAAGAAATGCTTAAGCCAGCAGAGACAGGACTCTGGAGTCCAGGGCAGCCATGGGCTAGCACAGAGACGACAAGGCTTCTGATCCTCAGAGATCCCAGAAAACAGAGACAGAATTGAGAGATATTTAGGAGGTGGAGGAGACAAAGCTCAGGCGACACTGAAGCCAGGTACAATCAGATTTAGATTCTGCTCCACACTCCTAAAAGCTTTGGGATCTTATTCAACATCCTTAGCCTTCAGCTTCTGCATCTGTAAACTGGAAGTGATAATGCAGGGCACTTTATGGAGCCGTGAGGATTCTAGGAGGCTACTATAGGCAAAAGCATGAAGCACAGTGTTCAGCACGGAGTAACACTCAAGAAAAGACTGCTCTCAGGTGGAGATGAAGAAGGAAGAAAATTAAGTGTGATTCTAAAATACTGAGCTTGAGAATTTGAGCAAATGTTGATGATGCTAATCAGGACAGGAAATGCAGAAGGATAGGTTTGATAGGGAGGGAGGTGAGTTTGTTTCTTTAACTTGTTGAGTCTGATATGCTTGTAGAATGGTGGGGAAGAAGCTTCCAGCAAGCAGCTAGCCTCAGGACTTTAGGTTTGGTGGACCCTGGTCAATAGATGGTCAGTGCAGCCATGGTAGACAGGACAGATACAGGACAGATACAAGGGAGGAAGAGCCAGTCAAGGAGTCACAGAGCACTTAGGAAGCAGGAGATATGAAAAGGAAATCTTTTTAAGTGTAGAGAAGGTATTAGATAGAGGTCAGCATCTGTTAAGCCATGAGAATTCTTGTTTCTTTACTAAGGGAAATGAAAGCCTAAACCCAAGACCACTTGACTGGTTAAGGGATCTCTGGTTCCACTCATAGGGCTGTCTTCAAGGGGCTCCCTGAGGCCCTCAGGTGGCCTGCTTCACTTACCTCCAGGTACTGATTAACCAGACGGAGGGAACGGTCAGTGATATTAAATATGTCTCTCCAGTCAAAGTTGGTCATGCCATCAGCCCGATTCTCCGGAGGACCCTTATAGAGGAAGTTCAGCAGGACCTCAGCAGTGATACCTTCTTCACCCACATGTCTATTCAAAAAGTCTTTTACAGTTGGGTGTTCCAGGGTGTCCTTGGGAAGAACAAATACAGTCATAGAAATTCTGTAGGATATTTGGACTTGTTCTTATATCACTTCTAAATTTTAATGATTTGGGATGGAGACTATAAGCCTCCCTAAAAATCTAGTTACAAGGTCCCATGACCCAACAGATGCTGTCCTCTAATTAATTACAAGATATACCTATTTCTATCCCATTTTCCCCAAACACATGGACCCCTACAATAGAGAGATTACACATGTTGGGTGCAGACGTAGGAGGTGGAGAATGTAAAATGATATAGATTTTCCTTTTTAATTTTAATATTTAAAATTATTTATTTATTTTGATGCTAGGGATTGAACCCAGGGTTGCTTTACCACTGAGCTACCTCCCCAGCCCTTTTTTGTTTCTGACCCAGGGTCTCTCCAAATCACTGAGGCTGTCCTCAAATGTGTGATCCTTCTGCCTCAGCCTCCAGAGTTGCTGGAATTACAGGTGTGTACCCAACTGTACCCAGCTTTCCTTTTTAATTTTTTATGGGTTTTTTTTGGTTATCTTTTTTTTTTTTTTTAATCTTTGCTATATAGAACTCCTTTTTCTTTTCTTTCTTTCTTTTTTTTTTTTTTTTGGTTGCTATTGTTTGTTTGTTTTTGAAACAGGGTCTCACTATGTTGCCCAGGCTGGCCTTAAATTCCCAGTCTTCAGTGATCCTTCTGCCTTAGCTTTTCAGTAGCTGGCACTATAGGTGTGTTGCCACGCCCGACTATAGAATCCTTGTCTCTTGACTTTGCAAAGCCACAAATGGGATCAGACAAACACACTCAACCATTTTTGCGGTAACAGAGTTGGCCCCTTAGGGAGATGCCCATTCAAATCTGAGGCCCTCAGGTGAATTCATAAAAGCAAGAAACTCAGGAAGCCACAGGTCTTGTGGTACCTTTTAGATTTCCCCCCAGAACTCGAGAAACACAATTCCTATCTAAAGTCAGTGAATCCACTTGACAATAGCTTCCAGAACTAGTGCCTTTGGGACCTGCTTATTGTATGTTTGATCTGGCTGCTCTAGGGTACCTCCTCTAGTGATTTCCTGTGAGAAGGAAACTGCCTCCCTCTTCTCCACCCTCTAGTGCAAGCCATCCTTACTCTGATCATAGTCATCTGTGTGCTGCTTTCAAAGAAATACCAGATCTGGGGTCCTACTTCCTCCCAGGCTTTGACCAGCTTCCTGAGACGTGCTAGTTCTTCAAAAGTTGAGTTGGCCTAAAACCAGATAGGGAAAGAGGCAAGAGTGAAGAGAAAAATGAGAAAGGACCTTTGGTTGTATCTTTCTTGCCCTGTTGTAACCCTTAATGTTTGGGAAAGGTTTTCCATGGTAATGTTCCCCCCCCCCCCAATCTATTGATATTTCCTAGGACATGACAATTTCTCAGCCTTCCAGACTGACAGAATCTAATTTCTTAGTATCTCAGAGGTATATATAATATTGATGTCATTTTCTCAGAACCTCATTAAAACTATATTGGGACTCCTAGTGATCAAATACTCTTCCTTCCTATCTGTGATGTTTCCAGGAAGCCAGAATTCAGAGAATTGTGAATCTGTCCATTAGGGATGTAATTCAAGCATCAAGAAGGAAAACCTTATTGTAGGCTGCATAGGGAGTGAGGACCAGGCAGGGGCAGGGGAGCTGTATGTACATCTGATGGCTGTAGATGGGGGAGAAAATCCAGGATTCCACTAGCAAAAAACAAATACAGGACTCACTGGGAGGAGAGCCTGCAGGTATATCCATCCCCTCCCCCTTCACACACACAGAGGCTTACACTGGAGGTCCGTGTATGAGACACAGGACCAGCTGTGGGATCTTACGTTCTTTAGTATCCTTTGCGCTGCAGGGGAGTCAGGAGTAAAGAGGATTTTTCCCATCAGTAAGGGCTTCACTGCCCTCCAGGCTATTTTGGTTAAAGGGTTTGACTCCAGGCTCTGGATCAATGCATTACAAAAGGCGGCTGCCAGAAGAAAAGGAACAATTTTTTTTTTTTTTTTTTTTTTTTTAGAAAGTCCCTTTTTCTTTTTCGTTCTTTCTTTTTTTTTTTTTTCACATCCCCAGCCCTATTTTGTATTTTATTTTGAGACAGGGTCTCGCTGAGTTGATTAGTGCCTTGCCATTGCTGAGGCTGGCTTTGAACTTGCAATCCTCTTACCTCAGCTTCCCAAGTTGGCGGGATTATAAGTGTGCACCACTGTGCCCAGCTCTTTTTTTTTTTTTTTAATTTTTTTTATTGGTTGTTCAAAACGTTATAAAGCTCTTGACATATCATATTTCATACATTAGATTCAAGTTGGTTATGAACTCCCAATTTTACCCCAAATACAGATTGCAGAATCACATCGGTTACACATCCACATTTTTACATAAGTCCCTTTTTCTTATGACTAAACATGGACATTACTGCATCCAAATCACACGTGTCATTCAATTTCACCCTGGAGGATTTGACAAATAACCCAAATTAGTAGGCTGTACCCCCACCAAGAGGAAGCTCATTAGTTCCTAGCAAAATGCCACACTGCTTCTAGATAATGGACTCATTGGTGAAACAAAGGATAGGGCTTTCCCTGTAGTTTATTCTGTTAGAAGGAGGCCGCTGAGAATCCTGCTTGGGATTACTGCAAGGAGCAGAGGCCAACCTCAGATGAAAGGGAAAGAAAGGCCAAACAGGTCCCCCTTGGAACCTCAGCTTTAGCCTCTATGATTTCCTTTCAATCAGCACCTTCCCTTCTTTGCTTTATGTAGCTATCTCAGGGCTCTTGTCTTTCAATTTTTAACTAAAGGGTCAACCATCTGCATTTCTTCCCCATTCCACTATGCTTTACCCTAGGAGACAATGATGATGATGATGATGATAATAATAATTATTATTAGTAGTGGTAGTAGTAGTAGTGGGGAAGGTGAGTTGCCATTGGAATGTATTTGAGTACCACACACACAGATTTTCATTGCTTTATGTTTGTAAAACAACAAAACCAAAAAATATCCCCAGCTAAGTTGACTTGCCAGGTCCCATTTGAGCTCAGCTTTTCTTTCAACTCTGGGTTGACTCCTCATTTATCATTCTCTCTTTCTCTAGAGCCTAACCCAAGTTCAGTTATATCAGTGGGAAATGTCCCCTTTGTTACCTTTCCAAGTGGGCCTCAGTGGATCATATCCAGAATATTTATTTATTTCTGAGCACCACTCTCTTTCTACAAGGGGAAGTAGACTTTCTGGGAAAAGTCTGTTTGCCCAATGCCACAAAACAACACCAAGGGAGAGTCAGTCCCAGGACTGGTTTCATTTGAAAGTGTTAAACCATCATCTTAACCAACATCATAGGCTGATTTGTGCACAAAAAACTTACTTGTTCCTTTGTCATAAGAATAGAGAGGATCTTTCCTGGTAGAGTCGATCCCTAGGAAGGCTTTGTAGTTATTGTCTTCATACCAGTTGAAGGAGAACACCCGAGAGCCCCCTCCCTCTGGGTACCCACACAGAAGGTCCGACAGGATGCTCATCAGCTGTGTGAAGGTCTGTGGACCGCCATTCTGCAGGAGAGGTCTGGTCACCCACAGCAGGTCTTGAACACTTGGCTGATGGATAAACTAGGGCAAGGGGAAGGCTCTGAGTATATTAAAGCAGCAAGAATCAAGACTTCCATATATATATTTGACTTTCACATTTAAAAGAAAACATCTATATTGTCAGCTATCCAGCTGTGAAAATGAAGAACAAAACCTACTGCCATCGACTTAGGGACTGGGAGAAAAGGACGAACCTTAAAAAAAAAAATCAAAGAATGAGCATCAGATAACAACCCTCTCTGAAACTTTAATGGCATCTCATAAATCTTGGCTTTCCCTGGCCAGATAACAACCCTCTCTGAGGCTCTAATGGCCTTCCTTCATAAATTCTGATGTCAGGGCCAGCAAAAAATATGAACAAGCCTTTGTGTTATGCTTGTCATAATTTTGTTATTTGTAAGATCCTCTGTGTAACTTTCTGGGCTATAAAGCTTGGCTTCTAGAAAGCTTGGTGCTATTTTTGGCTCCCGTGGTTTTTGTTGGGAGAGGCAGCCTGGCCGGTTGAAATAATAAGCTTGCTTTAATTTTAATTAGGGTTAATGGTCTTTTCTTTGCATCGTGGTCTAACAAGATCATTTTAATATTTCCTCTCTATATATTTATATGCCTAGAGAATATGTCCTTGGGGCAATGCAGAGATTATTTCACTGTAAACTAGTTCCTGGGTTCTTTCAACTACATGAGGATTACATGAGGATCCTCAATTACATGAGGATGCTGGGGGGAAATTGAGAAATAAAATAATGGGGAATGCTCCTATTCTAGAAAGACAAGGTCAGGGTGGATTTATTTGGCTAAATAGTTTAGAATTTATTTCCCTAATTTGGAAAATTATTTTTTATTGGCTTAATTTTATCAAATGTGAACTCTTCCATTTACGTGAAATTTGTGATTTGTGATTTGTGTGTGTGTTTTAAGATTTGAGGAACTGGATTAAGTCTCCATTCTTGGAAGAACAACTTTTCAAATTCTGCAACAACTAAGAAGAGCTTGATGCCTTTTGTCCACGTAGGGGTCATTGCACTTGCTGGCCTTGTCCTTTGAAGGTAGATCTGGGATACTGAGAACTGCCAAAGTTGCCAATGCTTTGGTTCCCATGAGGCCATCTGGCTTTGCTTTAGGGGCAAATACAGAATTTAAAAAATGCTGCTTTTATTCCCCAAACTCACCTTATTAGTTATTTTAAAAGGCACTTGGGAATTTAAAAAACCATTAGGACTCAATCAGGTAAGATGGAAAACATTCCCTTACTGCAATAAGTGGTGTTTCTCTGTTGTCCCTCTCTTTGTCCACATACCACACTTGCCATGTGAATTCCACACATGAGTCATACCTATAATTACATACTATGCTTCAATAATAAAGTTAGAATCTCAAATTGCTTCAACAATGTGGTGAGCCGCTTCTGCCGTTTCTGCAGATTATGGTCGCCATTACAAGATGACGCTGGCTCCGCTGTGGTCTGTGACAAACAACTCCTTATCTGGGAAAGTTGGCACATGATTTTTCACCACCCTGTGAGAAAGCTCCACGCGGCAGCTTTGCATTGGGGCTTGGGATGCTTTATTAAGGCTGGGAGGGGCATCCGAGAGAGAGAAGAAGAAATATCCAGGGCCTGAATAAACTGTTGAAAGAAGATTCCCGAGTTGCGTCTTCCTTGCGGGCAAGGGGTCGCGACAAGTGGTGCCGAAACCCGGGAACCAGAACTTTCAACAGTCAGGGGTGGTGCACCGGTTAGTCCCAGGTAAGTGGGATCCGCGATCAAAGCGGGGTTAGTCCCAGGTAAGTGGGATCCGCGATCAAAGCGGGGTTAGTCCCTAGTAAGTGGGATCCGCGACCAAAGCGGGACAGCTCCTCTGTAATGAAAGAGAGAGCCTTACATTTTATTGCAGCTGCACTGTGTACTTTCGCTCCTACTTTCGCTTTCTTTCTTTTGTGCTTTCTTTGTTGTTGTGTCATGGGTGCCGCATCTTCAAGTCCGCTTCTCCTGGCCCTAGATGGCCTGTTACGTTCCAAGGGACTGGAAGTGAAACATAGTACTTTACAGAGATTTTTACAGAAGATAGATATCGCTGCACCGTGGTTTGCATTTTCGGGCAGCCTTACTGTGCCTAGTTGGGATAAATTAGGCAAAGATCTTGACTTTGCTTCTGAGCAGGGCATATTAGAGGGTGGGGTGATACCCCTTTGGAAAATGGTCCGTGGTTGCCTTACAGATGGTAAATGCCAGGAAGCTGTGAGTGAGGGTCAAGCTATTCTTGAGCAATTGCATGAGGAAAAATCTGAAGGATCATGTAGTGAAGTGGCAGAGAGTATTAAAAGTAACAGTAGTGAGAAGGCAAAAGAGCCTGAAGATAAAAATAGGAGAAGGCTCTACCCAGACTTGACCGAATTAAAAACGCCTGAGAACACAAGCGACTCAGAGAGTTCTGAGGACCTTGATATATTGTTACAACAACTACATAAGATAAAAATGAAAAAGAAGAAAAAGGAGACACAGGGCACGCAGGCCTACTGTAAGAAGGGGAAGGGAGTTAACATTGGTCAACAAAACTCTGAGGAGGAGGAGGTAGAATATCTAGAAGAAGATATGGTGCCGATTGCCCCACCTCCGTATGTGGGGGGGAGCCAAGGTTCCGGGAGATCTTTTCATGCACAAGTTTGGAGGACAGTTAATACAGATATGGGACTTGCATACCCTGTATTTCAGGACAATAACAGGGGAAGATATCATGAGCCTTTAGACTTTAAGATAATTAAAACCTTGGCAGAATCTGTCCGCACTTATGGCATAGATGCCGCTTTCACCCTTACTCAGGTGGAGGGACTTACTAGATTTTGCATGACTCCCTCAGATTGGGCTAGTCTAGTCCGTGCTTGTGTTTCCCCAGGGAAATATTAGGAGTCCAAAGTTGGCTGTTTAATGTTTCTGGCAGTACCCAAGACTCGGAGCGAGGTAGGAGGCTTAAAATTTCTGCAAATAATTCGCAATTATCTAATGCTACATTACCCTCCGCAGCAGTCCGTCTCCAATCTCCGTTCCTGTTTCTTTTGGCTAATGTTACATTACAGGGGATGCTTAATTGTTCTAATATTACCTGTTATTTGTCTGAGTGTTGGAATGGCTCCTGGACTACGGCAATGGTTATGAAATTTCCAACCTTTGTCCCGATCCCGGTTACTGCAGATCCAGAGTCATTTCCTATTGTTGAACTGATTAGAGCCCGTAGAGATTTTGGAATTACGGCAGCTATGGTGACAGCTGTGGCAATATCTGCTGCTGCAGCAGTTACAGCTGGAGTAGCCATGGCCAGCCAGGTACAAACTGCTGCCACTATTAATCAGGTTATTCAACAAACATCCACCATACTTGAGTCTCAAAGTAAAATTAATCAACACACTTTATCTGGGATTCTAGCTGCTAATCAAAGGATAGATCTGCTTCAAGCTCAAGTTGAGGAATTGTCTGACCTAGTACATTTGGGTTGTATTGATCAACGTGCACATTTATGTATAACCTCTGTCAGATTTTATGATTCCAGAAATGCCTCCCGCATCATCGGGGAATATTTATCCGGAACCTGGTCCATGGAAGCAGAAAACTTGATCCAGTCTCAACTAACTCAGATTGCTGTTCTGAATAGCACCCGTGTCGAACCAGTGACTTTGGGTCAATTCACCAGTTGGCTATCCTCTGCCTTTTCCTTTTTTAAGGAATGGGTGGGAGTGGGCATTTTTGGTGCAATGTGTTGCTTCGGTGTTGTACTTTGTTTGTGGCTTCTCTGTCGCCTTAAAACTCGCCATGCACAAGAAAAGGCTATGATCATACAAGCTCTTGCAGCTTTAGAAAATGGCAACTCACCTCAAGTCTGGCTTGCGCATCTTAAGCAGTAAACCTTTGTCATGGTCGTTACACCCCAAGTTATTATAACATTGCACTGGGATCGACATGACTTTCCTTGTTATTCTCTTAGTGTTGGAAAGCCCTTGCACTCTGCCGGTCTTACTGCCATTGCACGCAGATGGGTTTCCACACTAGTACTTTTCTATCGCCTTGAAGTTCGTGCCTTTCTTTCAGGGTGCTGTCAACTTGTTTGTCATTATAAACAGCCACAGTTCAGCCTCAGCTATCCCCCTTCGTCCACCATCGTCACGATACAGGATGCGAGGCAAGGCACTGCACTTGAGTGATCCTTGACGTGGACCTCAAGGAGAGCATGTCCTATTGCATGCGGGTTAGACGCGTTCACGCCCCGCCCCACGAAAAAAGGCGTCGGCTGATATGGCTTCGGATCTGGGGAAGGCGCCTCCTTAGGACTGAGTCGTACTATGCAGCCACTTCTGCACAGTGGGATAGGACCTCTACTCTCGCCTGTATTGTTTTAAGAAAACAGAAAAGGGGGAACTGTGGTGAGCCGCTTCTGCCGTTTCTGCAGATTATGGTCGCCATTACAAGATGACGCTGGCTCCGCTGTGGTCTGTGACAAACAACTCCTTATCTGGGAAAGTTGGCACATGATTTTTCACCACCCTGTGAGAAAGCTCCACGCGGCAGCTTTGCATTGGGGCTTGGGATGCTTTATTAAGGCTGGGAGAGGCATCCGAGAGAGAGAAGAAGAAATATCCAGGGCCTGAATAAACTGTTGAAAGAAGATTCCCGAGTTGCGTCTTCCTTGCGGGCAAGGGGTCGCGACACAACAACAGTGAGTCTCATGACAATCTTGGAAGGGGTTATGTTGCTCATTTAACTAAAGCACTCAGAGATGAAGGGGGTGTTCTAAAGTCAAATGGTCTAATATTAATTAACATAAACCAGGCCATCTGCTTCAGCCTAATTCACAAAAGCTAAGACTTGCTATCTAGACAGGCAAAGAATCTTCGAAAATACCCACACAGAATTAAGAGTGTTGATATGCTTTGGGAAATTTTTTACATTCTCTGTCAACTTCAACTTTATTATATTGATATGAATTTTTCAAATGCTATGAAGGAAAGAATGTTAAAGACGCCCACAGCATCAGGTGGCCATCAGTAAAATGGGCCCATCTTCAACTCAGCCACAGTATTGCTCCTACTCTGCCCAAGTTGAGTTTAGTTTTATAAAAAACAGATTCTAACCTTGCAATTTTTCAAGTTGTCTGAGCCTAAGCCAGCTGGGAATACTGAAGAAAGAAAACCATGTTTCACAGTTTGCATTCTTTTATAATAATCATATCTGAGAATTGCTTATTTTATATCTCTCTTCCCTGTTGATGTATGTCCATGAGGCAACAACTGTGTTTGTCTATTCATCACTATATCTCCAGCATCAACCAACTACTGAGTGAAAGAATCAGGTGTTAATTAAAATGTGCACATATTTTATAAATAACACAAAAAGTCACTTATTTGGGGAATTAAATGAGTAGTTATTGGTAAAGCACTTAGGAGTAAAGCTGATAAGCACCATATAAGGATCTGTTACTATATATATATATATATATATATATATATATATATATATATATATTCATGTAGATCTTAAGATCATAAAAGAAAAATGGACCATCTCAGTACTGGAAAAACTTAGATTTAATGGTAAGTTCTCTGAGGATTTGTGCCAGACCAGGCAAATTACTTATTTCCGGAGGTATTTCTTTCCAGGTGGAGAATCATAAGGATGATTCTTTTCTTTTTACATACTACTTAGGAGCAGACAATTTAAGATATGAACAAATCCTCTGAAGTTGCTAGAGGAAAAGAACAAATGTATTTCACTTTGAACAGGAGTGAAGTGCCATTATTTGTCATACTAAGTATGTTAAAATTGCATAAAAAGAAATTAAAATTACCAGCATCAGGCTACTTACTCCTTGAATTCTTGGAGATAGATCAGATACTATTTTTCCCCAGGATCTCAGATTGATGCCTTGAGAATTGCTGTCTAGGAGTGTGGGAAGCTGTAATTAACAGGACAAAAAAAATTAAAATATGTATGTAGTTGTATATACATACATACGTACTCTCTGATCCTCTGTGTGCTTATAAATGATTCCTTTCCCTCTTTCTGATTGCAGGAATTTTCTGCTTTCTGTTATGGTTTAGATGTGTTATCCCCCAATAGCTCATGTGTGAGACAATGCAAGAAGGTTCAGAGGAGAAATAATTGGATTACAAGAGTCTTGACCCAACCAATAAATTATTCCCCTGATAGGAATTAATTAAGTGGTAACTGAAGTGGCAGGGTGTGGCTGGAGGAAGTGGGCATTGAGGGCATGACTTTGGGCATATATTTGTATCTGGCAAATGGAGTCTTTCTCCCTCTCTGCTTTCTGATCATCATATGAGTTACTTCCCTCTGCCACACTCTACTACCATATTATTCAGCATCATCTCAAACCCCAAGGGATTTAGCCTGCTGTCTATGGGTTAAGACCTTTGAAACTGTGAGTCCTCAAATAAACTTCTCTTCTACAGTTGTTCTGGTCAGATATTTTATTCACAGCAGTGAAAAAGCTGACCAAAACACTCTTGAAAATAGAATTCTTTAATTGAGAAAAATGACAGGCACTAGTTCCAAACTTCCCTGCTGAGATAGTCACTCATATTTTCATAATGACAATACACCCATGAAATAGTGAATACTGGTTTAGTGACACCAAGCAACACCAAGGAAAGCAGAATACAGCTGCTGGCATGTGAGGAAGGCTGCTGTGGAGACACCCACATTTCAACCTTAGGGCTTTATAGACATAGCCAGGTGCCTTCTTCAGTCACATCTTCCCTCCCCCCTTGTATTGCTTTCCTGTTGCTGTCCTTGGTTCAACACTATTCCATCATGGAAGATTCCACCAGGAACATCACTTTGCTTTGAAAGCTACTGTTGGCTGGAATCAGAGAGAAGTCCCTTGCCAGTTCTCCAGGTGAGAACATTGTTCAGGTAACCCAAGCCCACTGGACAACTCAGACCTGTTTTTGCATTTTCCATTTTGATAGGGAAGGTGGAAGCCCTCAAATTTGCTGTCTCTAAGCCCCAGAGTCTGATGTGAACACCATTTTCTGAAAACCAAGTTCAAGTCCTGATGGACATTATTCTTCAGTTTCAGAACTGATTGAATCACTGATACCTTATGAGAGTATTTTAGGAAGCTGGGGGCAGTGGCGCACACCGGTAATCCAAGCAACTTGGGAGGCTGATGCAGGCGGATTGCCAAGTTCAAGGCCACCCTGGGCAACTTAGTGAGATCCTATCTCAAAATTAAAAATAAAAATGATTGGGGATATAACTCAGTGATAGAATGCCCTTGGGTTCAGTACTGGGGGCAAGGGAAATTCTTTCAGAACTGAGTTCTTGAATTATCAAATTCAAGAGTGTGCCTTGAGTAGTAAAACCTTGGCTTGTAATTCTCATTCAAGTGTTGTAGACCACAAGCCACAAGCCTTGGCTTTTTATCTGCCAGTGAGGTTCTGTTGAATGATGGCGGCGGCACCAGTTGAGCTTGAAGCAAGGCTGAGAAACAGGTGGAATTAGGTATTGACCACCAGATCCCCATTTTTAGCCCTATATCTTGTCCCCTTTTCTCCCTGCTATAGGTGCAAGAGCCCTAGTATTCTCTCTGATCCTGAAACCATGAAATAAATTTAGGTACACTCAGCAGACATTAGCATTTCAGGCTTATTTTCTAACTATAAAATAAAAGAATTTGTTATGCATGAAAAGTGTAAAACAGACCTGACAGGGGAGGAATATTCCAGAGGAAGCAGCTGCAAAGCTGCCATTGCTGCCACACCACTGAGAAGCATCTTTACCCTGAGCACAGGGCCTATGCATTGGTCTTGCCACGACTTCTTTTTAAATTCCTTGAAAATACCTTCAGTGTATCTGGGAAGAGCACTTTAGATCCTATTTTTCCTGTAAGGGCTGAGTGAAGTGAGTAGGAAGGGACTAAGCAAACAGGTAAAAATATGTGATGATGGAAAGTTATCACAAGTCCTGGGGACCCTCTCTCCTGACTATCTTCCTAGATTATTAGATATATAAAAGGATGGAAGGGACCTATAAATATAGTGTCATGTGTGTTTTTTTCATTCTGATATGGACAATCCAGGTGTAATAATGGAGTAAGTGGACACGGACCACACACTGGACAACACTGAGGAATTATTAAATTTTGTTGGGTGTGATCCTAGCATTGCAGTTTTGTTAAGACAAATACGACCATCTCTGCTAAAGATAATTACAAAGCATGTACTGGTGAAATGGTATGTTGTCTATGATTTATTGCAAAAAAGTTTAGGGGTTAAAAAAAAGGGAGAGAACCATCAAAATAAGAACTAAGCCAAATGTTGATAATACTTGATGCTGGGTGATGGGTACATGGGCTTCGTTATATCATTCACTCTATTTTTATACTTATTTCTAGAAATAAAATGTTCAGATAATAAGAAAAAAGTTTTCCCAGGCAAAAATAAATTATTGAATAAATGGATAATTTAATGAATAAATTATTGAATAAATGAATAAGTAAATACTTTCCCTATCTTACATATTTTTTTCCTTCCCCACTAAGACTGCTTTTGTTAATTTCTCCTCTAGAATACTCCATCAGAATAACCTTCTTGGGGGCTGGGGTTGTGGCTCAGAGGCAGAATGCTTGCCTGGCATGTGTGAGGCACTGGGTTCAATTCAGAGCATCACATATAAATAAGTAAAATAAAAGTTCATTGACAACTAAAAAAATTTAAGGAAAAAAAAAAAGAATAACCTTCTTGCTGGTTCCCTTGCATCTAGTCTCCTTCCTTCCCATGTATCTTCCACATTGTAGACTGAGTTACCTAAGAGGCCTATCTAATTGTGCTACTTGCACTGATCAGAAATCTTCCATGGCTCTCTTCTTTCCCCAGGAGAGAAGGTCAGTAACAGTGCTGGATATACATGGCCTCTCTAGTCTTCTTGTACTGGGAATTAAACCCAGGGGTACTTAACCATTAAGCCACATCTTCAGCCCTTTTTGTTTTATTTTGAGTCAGGTCTTACTGAGTTGCTTAGGGCCTCACTAATTTTCTGGGGCTGGCTTTGAATTTGGGATCCTCCTGCCTTAGCCTCCTGAGCTGCTAGGATTGCAGACGTGCACCACTATGCCTGGCTCTCCAGCCCTCTTACCTGCCTCTCCTCCACTAGGCCAGACTTCTGCCTCTCCTCACATATCTGTCTTTTGCATATCCCTGGGTTCTGTACTCCATTTCCCTTCTTCCTTTGCCTGGCAGACTCCTATTCTTTCAAGTCTCATTCCTAACACAACTAACTATGGGAAAGACAGTTGTCCCCCAGGTAGCTTTAGATGTCTCTTTTCCATGTCTCTTTGCACCTTGTCCTATAGGTTCCCTGAAGGTGACTTGTTGATTTTCCTCCTTACTTTATTCAGCAGTGGTGATCATTCTTTTGTTTACCTCTCATCTGTCTCTCTTGCAAGACTCTAAGCCTCATGTAGAAAGGAACTGTGTCTGTGTGTTCGGCTCACAGTAGTTACTCAAAAAATATGATAAATAAGTGAATGCTCTTATTAGAGCAAAAAACAAATTTATTATAATTGTTTTCATACCTGTAGTCTGTGAAATGGTATGTTTCTTAAGGACAAGAATCTTACTTTTTTAAAAAATGATTTTTACTTTTATTTTTTAGTTGTAGATGAACCTTTATTTTATTTATGTTTATGAGGTGCTAAGAATCAAACCCAGTGCCTCACACATTCTAGGCAAGCCCACTGAGTTACAAGCCCAGCCCAGGATTTTAAATTTTTATTTTTTTGGACTGGCTCTAGCTCAGCGGTTCCTTCGACAGAAAACTTACATTCATAAATTTTTATTTTTGTATTGCTTAAGTTTCTTATCCATCACATTTTTATGTAGCAGCTCAGGAGAAATTTGTGAATCATAAATCCCATATGCTAGGAGGTGGAATGAAGTTTGCCTTAGAGACTATGATACACTCACCTATGTCAGATTAAAGAAGTGTTCAGCAACATGTCTACTTTTAAGTTGCTTTTAAAGAAAGAGTAAATAAATTTTAGTATTTCATCTTTAAGTCAAACTCCCTTATGTTGATGTTCTATTATAAAGAGATATAGTGAAGAAGTAGTAATGACTTCCTGGAAATTCATAATTATTCACTTTTAATAATTCAAGAGAATAATTAAATTATTGCCCAGGGCCTCACTAATTTTCTGGGGCTGGCTTTGAATTTGGGATCCTCCTGGCTTAGCCTCCCGAGCTACTAGGATTGCAGACGTGCACCAGGTAGTTCTGACTCTGATATGGAACACTTAGGCCTTTTTTTCATCTTTAAGATAACAAAAGTAATAGCTACTTACTTACATGAAGTACAGGGTATAGCTCGCCTTACTATCTGTCCTACTCTTTACCCAAGAGCAATCACTGTGAAAAATGTGGTGTAGATTGTTTCAGAAGCACCAGGCTCTTAACTTTATTATGCCTTTCTCCTGGTTGAGAGTTCCACAGACCTGCACATTTTGACCACAGTGACCATATTAACTTCCATGCTAGGGTCTGTAGAATACCCTGTCCCAGATGGTGTTCTTTCTTTCTCCAAAGACTACCTGCTCATTCCAGGAATATAAAATCAGCACTCTTTTCTTCCATTCCAGATGTTGTAACAACATCCTACAAATGGGATAGCCTACAAACTACAGAAGTCTGTTTCTTATGGTTCTGGAGACTAGGAAGTCCCGAAGTATGGTTCTGGCAGTTTTGGTGTCTGGTGAGGACCTATTTTCTGGTTCTTTCTAGGTCTTATTGTGGTAGAAGAGGCAAGCTGGCTTTCTGGGGTCTCTTTTACTAGGATACTAATCCCAGTCCTGACCTCATTGCCTCCCAAAGGCCCAACCTCCTAATACCATCATCTTGGGGATGAGAATTCAACACAGGAATTTGGGGAGCACAT